TCAGAATGGCAAAGCCAGACAAGTGCTCAGGATGGTTGTTCGCGACGAGTGTACTGCGTTGTTGACCTTTGCACCTAGAGCTTGTTTTGTTTTTTTGCTCGCCTGCTAGGTTTCTGTTCATTTTACTGCAACTACCAAATTATTAAGCTACCCTAACAAATGCAGCGGCCTGTGTGATCACTCAGCCTGTGGGGCACAAGAAACGCAGAAGCGAAGCCAACGCTTTTCTTGTTGTTTGAGCGCAGTATAATGTGGCCCTGGTAACAGCCCAGCCATGTTGGCCCTATGGCATCCATGGTAACAAGCTTTTGAGTGACCACTGGGCTTGATATTGGGAAGATAGCAAACAACGACTGCCCTTAGATCACCCGCCAGACCAAGAGGTTTTTAGAACACTTTGAAGCAGGAAAATCGGATGAGTAGAAGTTGAGATTACCGCGGTCTAACAGGAGAGGCCGAAGACCTGCTCAAGATGTTTAGTATTCATATAACTAGTCTACGGAAATCTACATTCCCGCACATTTGTTTGGCGGCAATTGGCGCATTTTATTTTTCGTTGGATATTGTGAAGACACCAACGAAGTACAAAGATGTCTGAGAATTATCATACGTAAGAAATTAAAGTACCTAAGAATACCAAAGAATACCTAAGAAATCTAAGAAACCTAAAAAACTTAATTAACCTAAGAAAACTATAAAACTAAGACAGCTAAGACGAACCTAAGAAGAACCGAAGAGGAACAAAAGATGATTCTAAAGAAGAAAAAAACGAACCTAAGAAATTTAAGAAACTAAGAAAAACTAAGAAAGCTGGAAAACTTAGGGATACTAAAAATCGAAGGAATTCTAAGAATCTAGCAAAACCTAAGAATTATATTATTTCAAATAATCCAAAACACAAGAGTGATCAGAAAATTTTACAAATTTAGGATTTTAGGTCATGCTGTCGGTCTTCGGCTATCGCCATTGATTTGGCCATGTTTTCTTAGATATTTCTATAATTTTACTGATTTCCTTTTCGATTTTTTAACGTACCGAGGCCAGAGGCCGCGGTCTGTCTCTGTAGTTCTGACTGTGCAAAATGTTAGTCCACTTCCGTCTATGGGGGCCCATGGCAACAATTTGTTTTTTGGGGCTTCTACTCTCCCCTTGGGGCGTATTGAATTAGCAATAGCGTGTAAACCTTCGCGCCGTTGCGACGATTCCAACGCATTTTACCGCGTCAAAATCGGCCCACCCGTTCGCCCAAACATCGCGTTGGTTAGTAGTTCCTGTCATAACTGTTTCGAATGTAGATAACAAGCTGAGCACGGATGAATATTGGCTTACGACTGGGCAAATACGCTTGCTTAAAATTCAAACGTTGCAGTGTGTTCGTGGAGACAGTAGTTATGATTTCATAGTTAACAGTTATGCCTGTATTCGAGGAAGCAGTATTTATAAAAGATATGAATTTGTTTGAAACCATTCAATTTTAATATGAGTATAAGACAACAGATCGTCTTCGGTTTATTAGATTTAACTGGTGACAGGGAATGCTCTAAGTTTGTATCAGCTGAAAATTTTCCTGTTTCTGCAATAAAATTATTGACCAGTCAACAAGCGGACGTTTACTGGCATTATATATTACGTTAGCTGCGGTTAGCAGCTTGCACTTTTTCTTATGAGTTGAGGTCGATTAGGCCAATATCTGATGCCTGGTTCTTTAAATGTTGACTTTTCGCCATTAAAATTTGTTTTCTTTGTTCCCCGGCTGCTAGTTTCCATTTTATTTTAAAACTGACTGAATCATTCGTTCACTCGGTATGTAGTCCACAAAAAACGCAGAGGCGAAGCCAAAGCTGTTTCTTGTTTAACCCTAATTTGCCCGTGGTGAAAAACAAGCGCATGTTAGCCCTATGGCATCCATGGCAACAAGCCTTTAAGTGACCACTGGGCTTTTCCTACTTGTGAGATAAGAAAAACCACTAGCTTTGTGTTACTCTACGTTTTGAAAAGATTCTGTGAAAATTTAAAGTTGCAAAATCGGCTCAGTGGAAGCCGAGAACATAGGTAACAAAGAGGAGAGGCCGAAAACCTGCAAGAGATGTACAGTATTCATATAACCAGTTTACGGGATCTAAATCCGTACATAACCGTCGAAGCGACAGTTTTTACGCGATGCACACTTCGCATCCGTTGATACCGGCCGTTAAAAAAACTATGATAATATAAGAAACCTGAGAAAATCTAAGAAATCTAACAAAACCTAAGAAAACCTGAGAAAACCTAAGAAAACCTAAGAAAACCTAAGAAACCTAAGAAATCTAAGAAACCTAAGAAATCCAAGAAATGCAAGAACTCTAAGATATCTAAAAAATCTGAAAAATCTAACGAATCAAAGAAATCTAAGAAATTTAAGAAATGTAAGAAATCTAAGAAGCAAAGCAAGGAAACAGACTGCATTAGTCGCCAGCTTGACTACCATTATTTGTCGAATTTTTTACGATTTTTTAATTTTTTTGCTGACGCGATGCCGAAGGCCGCGGTCTGCTTCTGTCGCTGTGACTGTACAATTTGTTAGCTTACGTTGGTCTATGGAGGCCCATGGCAACAATTTATTTTTGGGGCATCTGCTTCCCCTTTGGGGCGTATCGATTCCGCAATAGCGTAAGAACATTTGCGCCGTTGAGACGATTCTAATGCACTTGGCCGCGTCGAAATCGGTTCAGCCGTTCGCCCAAACATTGGCTACATTATCAATCGTGTATACGTGGTTACGGATTTAGATAACCAGGTTACGGGATCTACATCCGTACACAAACTTTTGCGGCGCAAGTTTGTTACGAAATGCACGCTTCGAAACGGCTGATCGCATTGGTCCCAGCCGCTAAGAAAACAACGATATTTAAGAAAAGAAATTCTAAGAAAACTTGAGACACCCTAACAAAGACAAAGAAACCTAAGAAAACTAGGAAACAAAGAAATCTGAAAAACCCAAGAAACCTGAGAAACCAAAGAAAGCCTAAGAATACCTAAGAAGCCTGAGAATACCTAAAAAAAACCTAAGAAAACCTTAAGTTTCTTAGGTTTCTTGAAACCTAAGGAAACCTAAGAAACTTAAGATTTCTATGAAATATCGTATATAAAAGGATACAGGTATATTGATTACGCTGGTGGGATTGACTGCGATTAATTTTTGCGCATGTTTCTTAAATTTTCGATACTTTGTAACGTGCCGATGCCGAAGGCCGCGATCTGTCTCGGTTTTTCCGAACGGTCCGCGAACAGACAATGCATTTACCATGTATGTCTATGGGGGCCCATGGCAACAATTTGTTTTTTGGGGCTACTCCTTCCCTTTTGGGGCGTATCGATGGCGCAATAACGTAAGAACATTCGCGCCGGATGAAAATTGGCTAACGACGAGGTACTGCGTACTGAAAATAAGTGAGTTAGGATCTTTGGTAGGTCGTATTATTACTGTTTAGTTAACTGGGTTGCTTTAGGTGAGTGATTTACCGAACTGTTGCTACAGCTCAGGGCACTGGGCCCCAAGGTGCGACAGTGACAAAGTGAAATACTAGAAAAGGGTGATGTGTTTTCGACTTATTTCAGACCTCATCAAAATCTAAAAGGACACTATATCAAATTATGAACTGATTGAAATAATTATTAATGCAGGTTTTCCGTCGGTTAACCACAAGAAGCGCAGAGGCGAAGCCAAAGTTGTTTCTTGTGCAAGTGCAGTACGTACAATATGCATGATGAATTACAGTACGAGGAGGGGGTAAATACACGGGATAGACAGAAAAAACGGCAATAATAAGGGATAACCATTCACGTGTTGTGCAACACTGCCAGCCACCAAGTGAAGGCAATTCGGTGACACAGTGCACAACAGCCGTTGAGACTACTGTCTCGAGCTGTTTCTCCGTAGACTTCTATGTTAAACTTAACCACCTTCGTCTTGCACATTTCAGAACTAATCCGCGCAATCGATAGCTCAAAAGAACAGGAAAAAATTTACAAGATTTTTGATATCAAACTACTCGCCACTTATTAAAACTGAGGCAAGATTGAGCCATTTGAGTTTCTCGTAGACTAAGCATAGGAGTTGGATGGTTTGCTTCCACGTTGCTCCTGTGCTTTGTCTATGGAAAACTTAATTTGGCTCTAACTTGTCGTGTTTCTCATAGATCACGGCTTACGTGGTATCGAAAATCTTGTTAGTTATTCCTTGTTCTTTTAAGATATAAATTGCACGGTTTGATTCTGAAATGTCCAAGACGCAGGTGTTAGAATATAACATAGGATTCTACGAAGAAGGCAGCTCGGGTCTCAAAGCCTGAATTTTGTGTAATGCCGCTGGACTGCCTGCCCTTGGTGGCTGGCCGTGCTGCTCAACACGTAAATGGTTATCCCTTATTATTGCCGTTTTTTCTATCTATCCCGTGTATTTACCCCCTCCTCGTATAACATGCCCGTGGTAACAGACAAGCTCATATTAACCCTATGGCATCCATGGTAACAAGCTTTTGACTGACCACTGTCCTTAGGAATTTCACAACAGCAAAGGTCATTAGCCGCACAACACCCACCGCCCTGAATAGATTCTAGAATATTTTAAATCAAGAAAATTGGTTCAGTAGGAGCTGAGATCACTCGGGACAACGAAGAGAGGCCGAACACCTGCTAGAGATGTTTAGTATTCATATAACTATGAAAAATATTTCCAATAGGTTAAACACGTACTTCCTCGCAAACCGCAATTAATTTTTACTTTGCTAGCATAATGACCACTGATCGTCAATTATATATGTACAGTAAACGCAATCCCAATAAGGAACCGTCTGCTTTTATCAATAAAATTTCGGCAACAATAGTACTTTATTGGGTTATTCAAGTGAACATTAAACAGAAACAAACAAATTACGCGTCAATAAAATTAAATAGTGTGATCTCGCTGTTACCGTTAAAAATAGTATTGTCATTGACTGTACATGAACCTGCATACTCACATAAGCAAAGATAATGGAGATTGTGGTGTTGGTGCCCAGTTTGCGGGCGGACCGGCAGCTGACCAGCGGTCTGAACGGCACGGACTACCTGTCGTATCCGCGCGAGATGTTCCTGTCGGGGAAAGTGTACTACCTGTGCGCACAAACGTTGGCGCTGGGTATCCTGACGATGGTGCTGCTGACGTACGCCTTCATGATCATTCCCAAGGCCACCGCCATGGAGAACACCTTCAACATGACCCTGGCCATTCTCCTCCTCATCGCCGGCATCGTCAAGATCGTCCCGACCGAGCAGCGGAAGTTATAACCAAGCTAATAAAACTATGTAAACGTCATCAATATAATGCACTTTTAAATAAACTAGGAAAGTGCACCGCTTCAGGCTAGCACTATAAGACCGAAGCGAAGCTAGGAATATAGCCCAAAAAGGTCACACGTTCAGGTCTGCTTGCAAAGACTACTCGTACTAAGACATAAGTTTAAGTAGTTGCTCACATTGGAACAGTACTTCTCGTACTAACTATTCTGTATAATGTAAGTAATATAACAAAGTCCTTGAGTACGATATTGGTTACAACTACAAGAATGTATTTCCGTAACATTCTACTGACGTTCGTGACTCACTATTAGTACAAGGTGCATGGAATATTAACGCCGCTTACTGCTTAAGGGAAGTGGCCCGGTAAATCGTACCAATTTCATGTACAGGCACGAAACTTACACTTTCGCGCACTCCCAAACACATTTTTGTTTCGATTTTATGACATTCTGTAGCCAGAAGATTTGTATACACTGGTGTGAAAACCGTTTGTGCGCGCAACATCCGGTTCAAAAGTTATGGCTGTTAGGAAATTCCAGAAAGTTTAAATGCGTTCAGGTGTACCAAAAAGTCCCATTATGGACCGATCTCCTTCAAATGCGCTCGTCCCTGAAGATCATTTTTACACCGATCCAGACTTTCATGATTTTTTTCAGATTTTAAAATGAATTTTAAAATTTTTGAAATTCATTTTGAAACTTGAATAACATGCTAGAACAGTGGATCGGTGTAAAAACGTTCTTCGTGGTTACGTGTATTTACGTGCAAAATTTGAGGGAGATCGGTCCATAATGATACTTTTGGTACACCTGAACGCATTTAAACTTTCTGGAATTTCCTAACAGCCATAACTTTCTAACCGGATGTTGCGCGCACCAACGGCTTTCACACCAGTGTATACAAATCTTCTGGCTACAGAATGTCACAAAACCGAAACAAAAATGTGTTTGCGAGTGCGCGAAAGTGAAAGTTTTCGTGCATGTACACGAATTTTGCACCATGTACCGGGCCACTTCCCTTAAGGCGCTAGTAAGCGACGCTTGTCTTTTTCAAGTTGCAACCGTACATACCGCTTCTCTTTAAACTGCAAGTGATACGAGAAGGCCTTTTGATCATAATATTGGTTAGCAAAGTACATTTCCTCACATTCCTATAACAACGTTTATTAATTAGTACAGGATGCATGAAATATTAGCACCACTAATTACTACTAAACCTATGAATAAGTAATTTTGTGTAGAAGCTGCGGGGCAGCAGCCAATACAATAATTACTTTTCTATTGCTTATATAAAATGTTATCCTGTTATATTTTGTGACGTTTATTGCGCGCGCAAACTCTTTATCGTAGATTGCAAAAGAAAATGCAAAACTTCGGAATCACTGCGTCACCAACCTGCTGCTGGTAGCGCCCGTTGCGCTTTTAAAAACCCGATAGATTGAGCGCCCATGCGCCTGTTTTGAGCGCCATATAAAGCAAAAGTTGTCCCCGATGGGAGCGTGGTCCCTACCTACAATCTTTAGTATGCCCTATTACGCGCTCACAACTCTGCAGTTTCTTAGTGTCTACACACCTACCAATCCATTGTTTCTTAGCAAAGAGACCTAAATCATGCTGAACGTAGGACTTTGCTGGGTTGCATTAGTTACTGTTCTCTTTTACTGTTCCGACTCCCAAGCTTCGGTTTGGTCTTATAGTGCAAGCCTAGAACGGTGGACTTCTAAACTCAGTGGTAAATATGCTACCGGAAAAAAGATAAGGGTTTATTTTTTTGAATATAAAAGGTCTGCTATCGCTTTAGCTGATAAATTAGTAAGCTATGCGCTGTTACTTGGTAGTTAGTCTGAGGACATTGTATTACATAGTACAGGGCTTAGTAAAACGTGATCTTAGGACCGTATAAGCACATTAGTATGCCCGTTAGTGTTTTGCCTGAATGGTCGGTTAACGGTTTCCCTATGCTGTCGTGCGTAAGTGTTATTGAGCACCTAGATGTCCCCCTAAGTGCCCCTAAGCGTCGGTCACGCCCTAACTTCTTAGGGCGTGACCGACAACTTAGTGCGTGACCGACGTGCGTGACCGACGCACAAAAATTCCCGTTTTCTTGAACATAGAGGACCTTCGCTTCGCTTCGGTCGATCATTAGCGATAAGTGCCTAAAATACTCGTACAATGTTTGACTGCTATTTGTTTGCCGGCGCTGTATTACTTCAAGCTGCGATGCTCCAGCCGCAAATGCGGGGCCGGTCGGGCCGGATCGGCAATGCCGCGACGGCCTTGCCTTACTGTCGCAGCGCTTTGTAGTTACCTCTCCTTGCACGGCTTGCAGCATCCAGCTGGCGCCGCATACAGACGTGGTGCAAGAGACGCCGGGTGTCCTGACCAGTGCCGCGCCGGTACAACGCGGGACCGCGTTGTACCTGGTTGAACTGATCGACTTCAAGGATCTGTCACCGCAGTACCATCTCCCGAAGTCGAAACGAATCCAAGCCAGAGCGAAACAGAAAATCGGAGAAAGCACGCTGGCCATGCGGTTAAAGAACGGATTTTGAGCGGATTCAAAAAGTTAATTCACAGATACTCAGTGTTAGCGGTGTCAGCTTTTTCAAGTTCGCTCTGAAAACTGTTGATCTGTCTAAATAATCTCTTCTGTAACTTTTTGCTGCAATTTTTACCGACCAGGCATTGAAGTCCTGTTAAACGGGTTGTCTGCTCCTGATACATGAATGAATGAATGAATGACTGAATGATAACCGGCGGCATGCGCATAAAATAGACAAACCATGGCTGATGCCGACGACCCGGTACGGCGCGCCACACCGACATAGGTCAGCGCCGAGTCCTTTCCGCCTCACTGCCCCGCTTAACACACGCGTGTATGCGCCAGCGGCGCAACGCGTACGTTACCGGCCTAATTAAAATTCTGGCTGAGTGCTTTCGTACCGGTATCAGACTATCAGCTTCCTCTTAAGTCCCCATGCCCCGTGACCTCGACATTACATGATGAAGCCAAGGCGCAGAAGCGAGCCGAGCGCACTCGATAGAAAAAAGTATAACCCTGCCCGACATATATATGACCCGACAGCTCCGTGAAACGGGCGCATAACACGCGTTGGCGTAAGGTTGACAATAACACAGACTTAACGGCCTGCATAATTCACGCAAGCGTCTCCGTAGACGTGATCGTCTTGTTTTAATTCAGTTCAATTAGGGACCGGCCGGACTTTTGACAAGGCGTCCACTTGACGCTGCTATCAACAACGAGTACAGTTGACACTATTACGTGTGCACCCTTACGGCAGCAATTAAAATATGCTAATGGTTAGATTTACGCCAGTGACCAGTGCGTTATTGTTAATGAAATTAATCGAATACAGCCTGTACGAGCTATTGCATTATATAATTTGTGTTGCATGTAGTATTTATTACTTACTGATTAATTTTGTTTGGCCACGCCCTTTGAGTGTCAGCAGATGAAATTATTTTTTTAATAATACTACGATGGTATACTATGTTTCTGCAAGAGATGAGATTTTTCTGATTTTGGACCCGGAAAATGTGCCCGGGTAAGAAACCTAGGAACCCTAAGAATCCTAAGAAAAAGCAGCAAGAAGTTAATAAAACTCAAAACTAACGTATCAACCCGAAAAGTCATGTTTCGACAAGACGTTGGTCAACAATTTAGCAGAAAAGCGAATTATCGGTCAGCAATTTGTCGACGGTCAGAGAATTGTAGGTCGACGAATTGACGTGCTACCGGCCGATTCATGCCGAATACCGATTTACATTATAAACTGTCAATATAAATTATAAAATGTTAACTTTTCTGCTTCACAATTATCATAAATCTTGAGCGGAATGAATTTTTCATTGTGAAACACGTAGTGTAGTGGCAATTGTTCTTAGCGCAACTTTCGCGCTACCTTTACGATGGAAATTACGAGACAAGCTTATACCATCACTACCACCGCACGCCGCTCTCACCGTCGTGCTCTTCCGCCAACCAGGGATCGCGCAGCAGCTCCTCCGCCGTCGGCCGCTCCGCCCCGTTCCATCTAAAACACCTCCGCAATACTCCTGCGAACCCTCCCAACACCCCGTCGACCACCTCCGGAACGCCGTGATTTAGCACAAAATCCATGATCAGAAACGGTGGAGTGTTGGCGTCGACGTCCAGATAGTCCGTCGGCACCGGCCGCTCCCCGTCCATCTTGATGAACCGCAGCGGCCGCTCCCCGCGCGTCATCTCCCCTACCACCACGCCGGCACTCCACACGTCTGTCTTCCTCCCGACCCGTTCCCGCCCCGGATGGTGTCCGGCCAGCCGGAACATCTCCGGCGACATGTAGCGGACCGTGCCGCGGGTGGCACGGATCTCCGAGCGGGTGACGCTGGCCAGGATCCCCACGTGGTCGTCCATGTCCGCCAACTTGACCACTATCCGACCGCCCTCGGAGGTGGTTAGGAGGATGTTGGTTGGCTTCAGATCGGTGTGAATGATACGCTGGGTGTGTAGGTAGTGCAGACCGCGGAGGAGGTCCCGGGTGCAGCCACGCAGGGCGGCTGGAGACGGAGCCGGGTGGGTGGGGTTCCGGCGGCACCGGGCCAAATACTGCTCCAGATTTCCGACTAATTACACCGAAAAAAGATGAATTAAAAAGGTTTTCTTTGGTTTTCTTAACCGTGTAAAGGTCACGTACGCGGACAGTATTCCAGGATTACCACGCCTTGTCCGGTGTCGGGGCGCATTTCCGCATGCAGGTATCGGACCAGATTGGGGTGGTCCAGCCCCCGCATCCGCGTCCAGTTAGCTTCGAGCTGGGCGCGGAAGACGCTCGGCGCCGAGTCCGAGTTGTCGGCAGCGCCCGCGGTGACGGTCGGTCGGAGGATCTTTGCGGCGTACAGCGCCGTCGGGTCGTCTTCCTGCGCCACGAGGTATACGGCGCCGAAGGAGCCGCGGCCCAGGCATTGCGCGGCGCCGGTGGTCGGGTCGCGCTGGAACACGTAGGTGGCGCTTCCCACGGTTATTCGCTGACCGTGAGGATTGGACATGAACCTCTACAGTGTCGAATAAAAGAGTGGAAATCGGTCAGGGTTAAAAAAACATACGAAAACGAAATGCAGTGCAAACATTAGGACATATGCATGTACGCAATGTAGGACTACAAATGTGGAAATCGGCCAGTCGGCTCGCGGTTCAAAAATTGAATAATAAATTCAACACACTGCATGCAACAAGAAGACATCAAATACGTACACATAAATCGGGTTCAGACAGGGAGATGCTGGTTTGCGCAATAACCGTTAAAAACGATACGTCTACCAGTTCTGTAGTCGTACATTCGTTTACTTACGTAGTGAAATAACAAACGATGCGTGCTTTTATAGGTTATATCACTTTCCGGCGGTCTACTACAAATTGCACTAAAACAACAATATTATCAGCGACAGACTGGCGTTGGTACGATTAGATAAAAGGCCGATTGCAAATAATAGAGCAAACCTATACTTTAAACATCAAGTTTCGCGACTGCTGCATGTGATTTGCTTTAACCAGCAATTAAATGCTGAATTTGGAATTTGGGAGCGCGCGTGCGATGCCGATCAACGTTAAAGCGCGATGAATCACAAGTCTCTACATAAGTAGTGAAATCATTGTGACGACCGATGCATTACAAGGTGTATATGTAACGTGTACAGTGTATATGTCTGTATATTGTACTTATATGTACGGTGCATGTCGTACATTATGCGCCGCAAAATGAATTAATTGTCAATTTCACCGCGAGCGCTGCTTAGCCTACATGGACCGTACAGCGCAGACCCGTTCCCACGAATGACATCACATGTGAATCATGCGCCGCCACCGCCCGCGGCAACGATATGCGTGCAGTACCGGTGGAGTCAAACGTGCCGTAAATACAGTACGGTTGTTAACGTTCGGTTTGTCTGGCCGAGAACTCGGATTGGCTTAATTGTAGTCTGGTTAATTCCGGTAACGAGCGAAACTCTAGCCAGCTAAACAGCCAAATTATCCACCATGCAGGGCCAAAAAAAGAGATGCATGGTTTTTTGTGACGCAGATTGCGCACACCAGTGCTTCGCTGTTCGAGGCCAGTACTGGCGATTTATGATCATTTTATTTGTCCCTGTTGCACACTGTTGGATGGTGTTAGAAACCAGTTTTTGAACCATAAACTAACTGGTCGATTTTCTTTTTTCTGTCCATACATTGTAGTCTGGTTAATTCCGATAACGAAGGAGACTCTAGCCGGCGTTGCTTTCTTACTAGCGTGCGGCGAGAGATGGCGGGACAGGTGTTCGAATTTGCGGACGACGATCACGTTCTGCAGTACAAGCTGGCCGCGCCCATCGGAAGCGGCAGTTTTGGGCAGGTGTGGGAGGCCAGCCAGTGGAGCGACGGCCGCTCCACCCACCGCGCGGTGGCCGTGAAAATCACGGAGCACATCCTGGACACCGGCACGGATAAGGCGCAATTGCGGCGGGACATTGAGGATAAATTGCGCCGGATACGCAGCATCCGCAGCGACAACGTTATCACGTATTATCACGCTCGCGTCGACGATGCGTACGGTCTACTGGATCCGATTCTGCAGACCATCATCGTCATGGAATACTGCACCTGTCAGTTTTTCTACATATGCCGAACGTTTCGCTTCAGAAACAATAATTTTTAAAGAAAATCTTAATTTTCATACCTAACATTTTTTTATTGCGGTTTATGCTAACATTTTTTTATTACAGTTATGAGTAGAACTCAGAGTTTCTATTGAAATGCATATGTTTGAGCAGGAATTGAAAAATACCAAGAAATTATGCGCCCCAAGAAGTTTAAAATGTGTATTAAAAATAATAAAAAAATGCTGAATCTACTGTTAAATTTTGTTCTGGCCACGCCCATTGGCCGTGGCAGATGAAAATATTTTTTATGCTAATTCTAATGTTCTTCTCTCTCCCTGCAGAAAATGAGATTTTTCTGAATTTATAGCCGAAATGATGATGACCTTTGCCATGTTCTGCAGTTGGGACGCTGGACACGGTAATCCGCAGCGCACCGCTCCCCAACGACGAGATTAAGGACCTCCTCCAGCAGATCCTGACCGGCGTGGTGGCCATCCACGCCCACAAGATCATCCACGGCGACCTGAAGCCGGCCAACATTGTTCTGGCCCACGACACCAGCGCCCCTTCCACCGGCGCGCTAAACTCACCGACCTGGACGACCACCTCGCCCTGCTGACCTCCACGACGTCGGCGCAGGACCTCCAGACCCGCGGGAACTTCCGCTACATGCCGCCGGAGGTCCTGGTCGGCGGGCGGAAAGGTCATCCCGTCGGCCGGAAGAGCGACATGTGGAGCGTCGGCTGCATTCTCGTCGACATGTTCCGCCACGGGGAGCCGGTGCGGTTCGTTAAACTGGTGGAAGGGAAGGACATCCCGGTGGACGCGCTGACGGTGGGCGAGGGGGTGGGGCTGCCGGTGCTGATGCAGTATGTCGTGGAGGGCGGGACGCCGGAGATCCCGTATCAGGCGCCGGATGCCGCGCGGCAGCTGCTGAGACGGTGTTTCAGGATGAACCCGAAGGAACGCATTAGTGCGGCCGATATGCTGCATAGTCAGTGGTTCCAACAGGATGACTCTATTCCCCTAAACGTGCCGGAGACCCTCCAAGGTGCTTGTTGACTTATTGTTCGTTATCAATTAATTTGTTAAATTTATTTGATTTTATTTGATTTTAACGCCAGTGATTTTTAGATCCGCGCCATGTGGAGAACAGCCGGGAATTCCTGCTGAACAACGGCGAGGACATTCCCGCTCCCGACTCGGAAATGATCTGGGACGTCGGGGTAAACTGCGGCGCGCGAGTTCTCATGCACCACCGCGCGCACACACATTTCCCGGTCGCGTACTACCGCGTGGAGATCGAGCGCGTCAAGAAGAACGTGGACCCCGGGAAGCCCTTGGACGAAAAGTATCGCGCCCTGTTGCGACGGCACCTTGACCCCGCCCACCGTCCCACCGGCCCCCTCAATCCCCTCGGGCACCTCCTATGCCGCGCCGTGACCTTTCTAGCACAACCGGGAATGTCCCGCCTCTCTGCCGGGATCTCCCTCTTCATCCCGACCCTGGGCCCGTCCTTCCCGGATGTGGCGCGCTGGATGAACACTTACACTCGCGATTACCAGTACGTGTGTCGGGGACGCACCGCCTGGCCGGATATTCGGGCGCTGTTGGACGCCGGGGAGCCGGTGATCGCGCAGGTGTGCTGGAATGAGCTGCCCATGGCGGAGTCGGTGCGACAGATCGTCGCGTTGGCCGGGTACGGGGAGCGGTGCCCGACGACTTTTCCCAATATGTGCGCGGTGGTGCTGCGCGGGTACGACGGGGCCGGGACGGCGGGGGAGCCAAGGACGGTGACCTTTACGCATCCCTTCGGGGATTCGCGGGTGGTGCGCTATGCGGATTTCAAGCAGTATGCGAACTGGGTGTCGGCGCACCCGATCACGAAGGAGGTGCTGGAGTTGTCCGGCTATGAACCGGCGCAGATTATCCACCGTGTACAACGCGGGATGAATGGGTCAAACTGAAAAAGTGCGGATTTTTATATGCAAGATGTTCCGACAGGATGTGAACAGAAAAGCGCTTGTTTGCGCGGTATGTGTCAAAACGTTGTTTTAGTCGTTTATTAATATACCACTAAACGCCCACACCGGAAGGAATAAGGCATCACGCGCATACTAAACGAATGCTTTTGCTTGCTTAACAGCGGTGACCTACAAACAGCGAAAATGCTCCGGTAGATGCGCTAAACACAGTTCTCAAGTACAGATAGTCTCAGTTGTTTTCGTATATGTAAATAATTTGTATGTGTGTACATGCAACGTAAGATTTAAAAAGTGGAAATCGGTCAGTCGGTCCACGGTTTAAAATGTGATAATATAATTAACAGGCAGTGCGCAACAGGAATACATGAAATGTGCATAAAATTGCAAGCACTTGGTCCCAAACTCTTAATAGAGAACTACTCGTAGCAGATATCCTTAAGTCATAAGCAGTGTTTTCGCAGCGGACTGAAATTAAACTGAACATTGGAGGTGAATCTGGAAAACCTTCACTGTGGTCCGTCAAAAGACAAGTAAAGAAATGATGCCAGGGTAATTCCCTTCCACCATCATCTACATCATGGTGGTGGGGATGCAGGCCGATCCACAAGCCAACGGACAGCACTTCTGCCCAGTCGAGCACTGACTATCAGCGAAGCACTGCTGAATACACGGTCCCAGGATGAAGGGCATCCCGGCGGCCGGCGCCTGCAGATCCGGTTTGGGCGGGCAGTGGACGGGCCGTTGCGCCGCTGGCCAAGCCGTCGTCCAGTTGCCGCTGTTGGATGTGGCGTTGGTACCAGCTAACCCTGTAACGAAAGGTCTTCAGTGTTCCTACCGGCACAACCGGCACATTTTCCTACCAGGATACCGGCATAACTTGTACACGTGGAAAGGCTCGTTTAAAGGGAAGTGACCCGGTACATGGCTCCAAACTTGTGTACATGCACGAAAACCTTCGCTTCCGCGCTCTCCCCAACACTTTTTCGCATCGGTTTATAGCCATATGATTTGTATACAGTGGCGTGAACGAAACCTATCCGCGCAAAACCTGGTTGGGAAATTAATAATGAAGCGAATTTCCCATCATATGCACAGTACAGATATATAAAGTCTCATTATGAACCGATCTTCAAATTTTGCACGGAAATGTTCCGTCTGGTGTAGGAACGATCCGATGTAGTATACGAAAAAGCCATTTGACTGTACCAGGTTTCTGCACATGCACAAGTCGTTCGCGTAAACTACTTTTGGCTACACTATGCCTCAAATCAATACATGTACAAAAGCGTGTTTGGTAGTTGCGCGAACAGGAACTTCCGTCCGGCATGTCCACGAAATGTGGAACCATGTACCGGGTCGCTTCTCGTACCAGTTGTCATCGTGGCGTTGCACTGCAACACGGATAACGCAGCCACAACCAACAGCGGCAGCATAAACCACAATCCCATTCTGCAATTACGGCGTCCTCCGGGAAAGGGAAGAATTTCCTCGATCAATAAACGAAAGATTGCGCAGTGTTACTCGTCAATGATTGCATAAAAATTTAACAGCCACCGTTGACAAGAGATCGAACAAAATATTCTGATCGAACAGAATAGCACGCTCGTTGTACGCGCATAAACAGTCATGGCATGCTAGCCCGCTTCACAAATGACATGGCACAAATCGAGGCAGCTCTCTTTTACCCATGTTACATAAGCAAAATACAGTATAAACCGGTCAGCCGTTGCAACGGGATTTCATGGAACCGTTTTGATAGGTACGGTATATGTATGCAACCAGCCGGTTGCCAAACCGGTTTTTTTATACTAGTATCCGTATAAATTTCTAGTTAGGCTGACAGCGCTGTATATCGTACACAGCTTGTCTACAGTAGGCACTCACGATGTACGACTGCGAAACGTACATGTGTTTAAATTACTGCACTGCACTAGAACCCGCAACACAGCTTTCGCACTGACTGTGCTTTCGCACTGACTGAAATCTTATCATCCCGTTTCTTGATAGCACGAACAACACCGATAACACAATTTGTACATAAGATTGTGCGTAACGTCAGACAGCCAGAAACGCTGGTTTAATTTAACAGCGTACTGCCATTAGGTGGCTGATGTAACCAAGATGTTGACGGAAATCTTGAGTATCGTGGCGGGCAGCGCCGCTCTGTACTTGATCTTCTACATCGGTACCTGGTACCTGCGTTTGTCCCAGTACCGTCTGCCACCGGGACCGCTGTGTCTGCCTTTTGTTGGCTCGTTGTTGACGGCCCGATTTACCTTCTTTCAACGACAGCATTATGACAACGCGAAGAAGTACGGAAGTGTCGTGCGCACCCAGATCGGACCCTTCACCACCATCCAGCTCAACGATCCGGTTATTATCAAGGAAGCGTTTAACCGCGATGCGCTCGTGCCGCGCCCGCATTTCTGGTCTATCGAACAGCGCAATATCGTCAACCACGGCGCCACCGGTAATTAAATGCAATTTTCGTACTTATTTGCTGCGAATTTTGTGTACACGTAAAACCTGATATAGATTTTGCCCCCATGTACGTATTTTATTTGTTATTATTTATATGTTCACTGTTCACAGCAACTTCACACGCATATTTACGATTATATCCCTGTAACTTAAGTAGCATTTATAAAATATGACATCCTTCTAAAAATTATAAATGTATAAAAATATAAACATATGGACACAACAGCGAGTAATAATTTTTAAAACTAGATAAAAACCGAAATTTACAAGGTTTCATTTTTAAAAATACATGCATGGTTTAAAATGTATTAACATGTGCACAAACTTCAAATGATAGATTTTTTTAAAAATGTTATATCGTTGCGGCGTTTTAGGGGTGGTTTTCTCCAAAGGCGAAATGTGGAAGGAGCACCGGCGTTTCATCCTGTCGACGTTCCGCGATTTCGGCGTGGGCAAGTTCCGGATGGAGGAGAAGATCGTGGCGGAGGCCGGGGCGTTGGTGACCTTTCTGCGGGCGCAGGAAGGACGGCCGTTGGAGACGAAGGTGCCGCTGAGCATCAGCGTGGCCAACGTCATCGCCAGCGTCCTCACCGGCGCCCGCTACGAAATGGACGACCCCCAACTGCGCTTATTACTGCAGTACACCAAGGAGAATTTTGAGTTCACTATGAAAAAGGTCATCCTGGCGGTGCTGCCGGTGACGCGGTATGTGCCGCCCATTCGGGAGCAGTACCGCCGTTTTATGGAGATTATGGAGGGTCTGTACGCCTTCTTCAGTCGACCGATGAAGGAGCATCTCGATAACTTTGTCCCCGATCGCAACGCTGATTTTCTGGAGAGCTATATTTCGGCGGTGAAGAGCGGGCAATATTCTACACTAAGCAGTAAGTAAACACTGCTAAAGTTATTTCGATTAATTAATGTCCCTAGAATTTGTATATAAATTATATAAATTTATCCGATATTATTTTAAACTAAAAAATTGATTTCGTTAAAAAAATTAAAAGGTGATTATAAACTAAATTGATTACAAATTTCGCAGCGACGGAAATTCCGCTGCTGTTGGAAGATCTGTTCGAAGCCGGTTTCGAGACGACCACCACGACGCTGCGCTGGGTAATGGGCAGAAATTAATTATTAAGCAACCCATGACCTTTACAAGTTTCTTTGTCGCAGGCGTTGTTAATGATGGCGCTGCACCCGGACATCCAGCAGCGCGTCCAATTCGAACTGGACCGACACGTTAACGCCGCCAACGGGGAATTCGCCACGCCCTCGGACAAACTGGACACGCCCTACGTCGAGGCCACCCTCATGGAGGCACACCGCTACGCCAGCGTCGTCCCCATGGGCGTTAACCACTGCGCCCAAGAGGACATCCAGATTGAAGGATACGACGTCCCGAAAGGTTTATACATACACAGTCTGACCTTTATAATTTTGTTTTTATATTTTTACTGGATTTGCACGTCTGTAATTAAATTTATAAGACTTGATTTTAATTCCTGAGTTTTCGTTATTTAGTTCTGTAAGGGTGTCGTTAATTATTAGGAGCGTGGGTGCAAGCCAACATTTATTTCGTCCACCACAACGACGCCTGGTGGGATGAACCGGAAAGCTTTAAACCGGAGCGCTTCCTCAAGGACGGCCAAGTTCAGCCGTCGGATAATCTGATGCCCTTTGGATTAGGTAAGGTCTACCTAATTAAACAGTAATTCACCGGCAGAAATATCTTTGAACTGTATTCACTGTGCATAAATAAATCGAAATTAGCGTTAGATTTATTTCTTCATGGAAACTTATTTGACGACAGGAAAGCGACGGTGTCTGGGCGAAGCACTGGCGCGCGCGGAGCTGTTCATTCTCTTCACGGCCATCGTGCAGCGCTTCGAGATTCGGCTGCCGGAGGGCGTGGCACCCGCCGATGTCGATCTGACACCCACGTCCGGCATCACGGCCGATACGCAGCCGCACCGGCTGTGTTTTCTACCGCGCATATAACGGTCCTAACAACAATATTTTGTCAGAATTCAGTGGAATATGTTATTGAAATTATTACTTTATGTTAACTAGCGATTTGCAGCGGCCAATTATTTTTTCATATTCATTAAAACGGAAAACGATTACTATTCTCGGTTGAATTTCCAGAGATTTCTGCAGTAAATCTGCTGATTAAAGTTTAGCGGATAGCAAAAAGCGAAAACTACGTGTTTGGTTACTTAAAGTGCACGTTCTTCTTGGATATGTAATAGCGATGTAACATGTGGTGCTTTACAACCAATCAACCAGTTCAGTGTGTAGGTAGAATGCGCCATCCTGTGTGCCGTTCGGGATCGATCGATATACAGCATACAGTGGCACAGATTTGTGTGTCGGTGCGTGACAGCATGAGTGCAAGTCCCGGTTCGCTACGTGCGCATATCCTCACTATATACGCATGGTACAATAATGCGATCGATCGATTTGCTATTATACAGCAGAAACGCGGAATCGGTAACAAGTATTTCATATCGAACGGTTGGACGAGATGAACTGCAGCACTACGTACGTGTGCCAAATTAGATTTTAAACGTTTAATCATTTTGCTGGAGATTTCTTTCATTTAAAATGGTAATTATCCTTACAGAATACTTACTTAACTGACTTCTGTGGGTTACGTTACAACTTACCAAGTTTTTATTTAATTATTTTTTTACTAGTTTTTTTTTAATTGTAAGGACGTTGCTTGGCATCTCGTATAATCACTTTGAATATTTTTGTATTCGTTGCCTTTTATGTATTTCATGATCTTCTTATCATTCCTGTCAGTTATCAAAGTTTATGCAGTTTATTCTCAGTTATCTTAGGTTTGTTCTTGCTCTTCCAGTTAGCGGGGATTGGCGTATGGTGTGTGATCGATTCATTTTAATAGCGCGATAACGATATCATGATCTAAATACGGTTAGACGAAACTACATTCTCCACGGTACCCATCACTGAAGCAGCATTACCACGTTGAATTGCTAAAGAGATGTTCTGCTTCAAAAACTCAAGACTACGAATATCGCCGGTTTGTAGTAAAATTCTCTTCCCAATCTCGTTAACAAATCGTTTGGCCGCCGCCATCGCCAACCCCTGTCTCCAGCTCCACGGCGCGCCGGCCGACCACCTGGGTTTCAACGCCGCCGAGGGTGGCCGCTCTGACCCCATCGACCCTTTCCTCCGATGTACAGCTGGTCCTGGCCTGGTCCGAACACGGTCGGCTCCGCGTCGGAGAACAGGGAACGGCCGTCGCCTCTCGTCCCCCCTCATGGTCTTCCTACTCCCCTTCGCGCCTTAGCGACCTCTCCGTCACCACCCGGCCTCCATGAGCACGTGTGCATTTCCATCGCCAACGCTCTACGCGGCCCCCGCCGCCCCCGGGAGAGGCCACGAGAGTGATCTTCAGCAGAGCATCAGGAATGCTGTACTGGAGACTGCTCTCCCGGCCTTGGCGACGGGACAGGCATCCTCGGGGGACGCCCGACGCACCGATGATCGGCCACAGCCTGCCCATGGCGTCGCCGGCGTCCTCCCATTCCAGCTCCGAGCACCGGGCGCCAGTCATGGATGGCCGGGCCCCGCCCGGCAACGACGACGCCGGATTAGAAGCGCACTCGGGTGGTCAGTGTCCTGGCCGACAATTCTGTCCAGGACCCTGTACGTCAACTGAGAAATAGTATGTACAAACAGGCGTAACAGCAGGTAGTAAGAGTATGTACAAGATATAGGTAGGGGCCTCCTACAAACGCCAGCGCACCGGGATGGAATAAGAAAGATGATGTGGCAATTCCGGAGGTAGTCGAGCGAAATTTGCCGCCAAACCCTGTGATCCGCGACAAGATTGTATGCAGAACTTTGTTGTTTGGTAAACGCGGCTAACTCGGTGGACATCTTGCTGTTGATATTTTGCTGACTTAAGAAACCCAAGAAACCTAAGAAAACTAAGAAACCTAAAAAACCCGGAGAACGAAGTTTAAGAAAAAACAACAAGAAGTGTTAAGAAAACTCAGAAACCAACGTATCGAACCGAAAAGCAAGTTGTCGGTCAGCAAAAATGTTTCGACAAACGTCGGTCAACAATTTAGCAGGAACAGCGAATTGTCGGTCAACAATTTGTCGGTCAGCGAATTGTGTATGTCAGCAACATGTGGGTCAGCAAATTGTTGGGCAGCGAATTGTAGGTCGGAGAATTGACTTCCTACCAACGTACTGACTCATCCTAATCTGAAATGCACCATGCTGAGAGAGATGCTGCCCAGGAGGATAGCCGGAAGGTCGTCAACGCGCATTTTCTTCACTTCGGCAAAATTCGGTACCAGCACCTGGCTATTCGGGCATGTCACGCATTAATCGTTAGAGACGCTGCGCAAATTGTTGCGCGGTTTCCTTTCAACACGGTATTTACCATTTTATTTACGGTATTTACGGTTGTTTTTTTATTTGCCAAATTGCCAGGTATCTGATGAACGCTATGGTAGTTGCATTGAAAAGAGCACGTTTGCTGCATATAAAAGTGAAGTCACAGTAGCCTGTAAGAAAAGCGTGACGGTTTTATAAATTGTTTTTGAAAATGAGGTGGAATTGGAAGATGCCCCGGAAGCGAATACTCGAGTTGACCAATTTCTCACTAAAAATTCCTGTTATTCAACTAAATAGATTATTTTCTGTCGCGTTGCTATTTCGAATATAAGGGTTGTTTGTGGTATTTTTTACTATAAAGAATTCGATATCATAGTGACAGTGTTTGGACAAGAAGCGGGAGAACTGAGAGCCCACATTTCGTTCTCGTTACATTCGTTAAGCAGACTATTTGAAAGACGTTTCCTCACCAACCGTTCAAGAGCTGATGTGCTTAAAACTTGTTTTTGTTTGGGCGATGGGTTGATTACATTTTATCATCAAAATAGACAATTTTTTGTTGCCGCCTGTCGTACAGCAAAATTTTCTAACGAAAATACAAAAAAATACCAGATAAAAAGCCGGCATTTTTTTGAAGTCACAAAGTGTACTGACTATAAAACTCCTCCAGCCCGTGCACCATGCAAAAAATATTTTTCTGTTGAAACATCAAGTCCTTCTCGAGACAAAACAGTTAAAAAAAAAATTCGAACAGTTCGAAAAGAAAACAAGAGCTCCTTAATCTGGTGTTTTGCAAATTTGGCCAAAATAAATTCTGATATGATTTCAATTGTCACCTTTGTACACAACCTTATACTGCTTTATTTCCTTTTGCCCACAGAAACAGCCGAGTGGCTGAGTGAGATGGTCTTTTTTTCCGCTTTCTTTCCTGCGAACCACTTATGATTCAGTAAGCAGTTTAGTATCATTCGATAGACAATTTTTTAGCTACTAAATTCAATAAACCGTTTATTTAGAAGATTAAGCCCTGCTATTAAAAATTAAAAATAATATAGATAAAATGAAAATCAACTGATAAACAGATCTAGCAAATTAGCAGAGATTCAAGTTACAGAATCTGACCACCTTAGATTAATTATTGCTTTGACACGTCAAAATACAGGACAGCTAACCATAAACAAACCGCTCTGTACAGACAAAAACGTTACATACGTGTAATAAAAATAAAAAAAAAATTATGAATGAAAAAATTTATCCCCGTTTCGTTCGGCGCAAGCTGCACACCCACATCAGCGGATCCAGCACCATCTGCAGCGAATACAGCGTCCCGATAATCGTGAAGAAATCCCGCGGGAACCCCGTGATCTGCAGGAACGTCGCGGCAAAGTAGTACACATCGGCCGGCACCCAGCACACCACCACCCCCACCGACGTCAGCGTCAGCACCGTCAGCGGCCGCACCTTTGCTCGCTGCGGTCGCTCGGCGCGCGTTGTCGACACGCTGCCCTCCAGCGGCCAGCGGCTACTTTGAATTTTCGTGCGCTGCCACCGCCGCCACATAATGAACCCGTACGCCACGATAATAAACAGCAGCGGCGTAATCCGGTTGAGAAATAATATCGGCGCGGTACCAGCCAATCAGCGCGCCGGAATTATGGCGACACTGCTTGCTATTGGCTGGAACGGTACGCGGATAATAATACAGCATATCGACGAGAAAAGCCGGTAGATTAATTACATGGACAAGGACAGCGGCCGCGATACAGATAGCCACCGCCACGAGGCGGGTGTGACGCTGTTTGTAGGAGACGGGAAAGGTCATGGCCCAGAGCCGGTTGGCGGAGATGAGGACGTGATACACCACCGGCAGGCAGCTGCTGACGGCGTTGTAGTTGAAGAAAACGCATAGGGAAAACCCGGATCGTGATAATAATCCGGAGAATTCATCCAGCAGCCCGATGGGGCGGTTGGTTAAGAGGTAGAAGACGTTGCTAATGTATAGCGCCAGGAGGTAGACGCCGAACGGGTTGATAAACGCCGGGATAGCGCAGTGCACGGCGATGACCGCGGAATTAAGGAAGAAGGAGGCAAAGGTCACGGTGACCTTGACGGTTAGCCATGCCGTCCAGCCGGCGCCCACCGGGATGGAAAAATTCCCGGTGGCGTTGGGAGACGCGATGGAGTTGTTGATGGGAAACATGGTGTGCCCCGATTAAAGGTTGTTGACGAGGATGTACGCTGGATTTTGTTCGTTGACACACTGGGGTGTACGGCAGCGGAAGGAAGATGATCCGCGGCCTGGAGGAATCATTTCCGGTTGCGCGCGGGAGCGGGGAAAATTTCCCCGAGTTGAGGAAGAAAACAATGACCGGAAGTGGGAGATTGGATTGTGCATGAACCGGACGTCATAGGGTTTCTTGTTACTGATTGGAAGTTCAATGCACTAGTTTGAGAAAAACGGTTAAGCGAAATCCAGGTTAAAGGGAACGATAGTGTATAGTGTTACGCGCCAGGTAACGATGACACAGATGCGATACTTCGGTAATCCTTCGCTGTAATGATTTAATATTAGAAACACTCAACTGCATTGACAGCTATAGGGAATTTTACTTTCGTAAGCTGATAAGTCTAACACAACACCGTCTACACGGTATAACGCGCGTGTTTCTTATAATGCGATTACCGATGTATGGATATAATATTTTATTAAACATCCTACGGGATAAATAGACTATAGCGCGCTTCCATCAGACAGGAGCGTGATGGTGAAGAAAACATGAGTGATGAATATGTAATGATGGTTAGCGGCGTCGTGCTGACGTCCTCCGATTGCATATTGTCTGCTAACGTACAACGTCTGCACCCGGTTCAGCCGGGGATTTTATTCGACACCATCCGCGTGAGCCTTCCAGCCACGCGCCACGGTGTCCAAAACACGTTCAACGCTGTGATCAGGCGCCGTGGCTAATTGTAGCCCGTCGGCATTCACCGTCTCGATAAACCGGTATCGATCACGGCCTGTACAAGCCTGTCCCGTAATTTCCTGCACATAAATACAACAAAACCAAAACGCCAAACTCTATACAAAGCCGTGCCACGCCACACTGTTTAAACACGTAACATGCATTCGGCTGGCTGGTGGCTTGATGCAGGCCAGACTTTAATGTGAATAATCGTAATTGCCTGGCGGAAGGTGGCTAGAAAACGATCGATGCAGTAATCAAGCGCCAATCAAACTGCGCAATTTAGGCCGTGCGGTAAACGTAGTGAAGTGGCCATCGATTTAAGCGCTAACTTTGCTCTTTTGTACCTTTACGTAGGAAATTACGGGACGGGCTTGTATTGCATATACTGTCATATGCATACTATTATAGATGCCGGTAAAGCGTTTTTTTTTGTGATAATTGCATTATTAGTATAAGCTGATTGCAACGGAAGTAATTAACGACATGGTGACCTTTATCCCTTCCCGGAAGCACGCACGCGGCTGCTTCCATGAAATTTGCGAGCGTTGCTGCTGTTAAAGTAATCACGAAGGATTTCTCGTAACTGTCCTTTAACTAATCATCGATACTCTTTACAGTATTTTTCCAACGATAACCATAACGGACAAAGTGGACTTCCTACAGAGCTCAACATTCGGCCCAACCGGGTCAAGGACAGGACTCGATATGCTGATACTTGTACATGGTACCAAACTCATGTTCCGGACGAAAACTGCCGGCTTCGCGTATTCCCAAACACTTTTTTGCTTTGTTCTATGGCATTCTGTTGCCAGATGATTTGTAAAGTATACATTGGCGTGAAAACCGGCTTTTATGCGAAACATCCGGCTGAGAAAAGATTTCGAAAGGTTCAAGGTCATGCTAAGCACAGTCAGCTGTGCCAAAAGTCTCATTATGAAATATGAACCGATCTTCTCCAAATTTTCTATGGAAACGGACAGTATAAACCAGGTTTTTATTCTGTTTTTCAACTTTTAAAATTCTTTTTAACCTACCTGAAAAATGCTGAAATTGTTTCACTACGAGAACGATTTTAATATTTATTTTCCCAAAAAAAGCGGTTCGAAATTTGCCGAAAAAAGCAAAAATAAGGGATAACCATGCCTGGCTCATGCAGTACGAGCAATTACATTCATAGTTGTACTAACTGCAGTTATCTCATTAACGCTAACGCTTTCTTCTCGTGTATTTTTGGGGTATCATTATTTTAACCATTGTCGTACAAGATACAGAAAAATCCACAGGATTTTTCATATTAAACAAGTAAGAATTCAGACAGACCCGAACAAGTTACAGTTATTGTTTATTTTCTCATTGAATTAGCATAGAATAAACGGGCAAGGATTCCTACACGAAGTATTGTATATGCCCATGAGAAACCCAAGAAGATTACGTTTTGGTTATAAAATGCAAATTGTCTGGCAACTAAAATCGTGTGGATTTTTTGATAATTTTCCTTCATCTTTTACTATACAGTATATCACATATAAATACGAATCGTCGCATAAAAAATTCAAAAACTTGTTTGGTGATCTGGTTATTGTCCTTTGTTTTTGTTATGCTCCTGTAAAAGGAAACGACATGTAATCATGAAGACCATTCTATACGCCGCTAAGTATGCCAGAGATTTTCTTGTAAATTAAAATTTAAGAAAACGTAAAAAGCACCTAAGAAAACACAAAAATTCAAGAACAAACACAGAAATATGGCTGCATGACCTTTGTAGTTAATTACCGCTTACGTACGCCGGATCTTTGTCAGTGAGCTTTATAGGCGCGTGACCTTTTGACCCGTGACCCCCTGGGTCTTTACCTGTGTTTGAGAAACTGGAAAATCATAGCAATAATTACTAACTGAATGGGAAATGCAATGTACTTTTCAAGATAGAAAACAACCTACCCCACTGTTCTGCGCTTTACATGAAAATCTGAAGGTTCGCCCACATCGTCCAGAGCTATCCTTACCGGTCCATTGCAGACACCGGTTATACGGTCCCGAAGACCGGCCAGCGATCACCGCGGATGGCAACGCTGCGCGTCCGTTTTCGTCAAAGACTAATGAGGTTGAGAATAGTCGTTTGACGATACCGGACGCGCGGCATTTTACGCCAATGCAGTGCACATAAATCGCCCAGCGATGGACTCGAATAGAGAAACTCTTGTGTGCGCAGGATGCGTTAAGACGAACCGACTACTTTTTCTACAACTGTTCTGAGCTGCGTGGTTTCCTATAGTTATAAAGACATCGAGAAATTTATTAAATATTTGTGCCACATCACCTGCAACAATTTTACTGGAAATTCTTAACGGTGAATTTGCAACGATTTGGAAACTGAATCGCGTTGTTTGCCGGAACGATGATATTAATTTTCGCTGTTTGTCAGTCCGACGGAAATGACCATCGCTCATCTTCCGTCGTTTTCCCCAAATATCAATATCTGCGTTAGCGAGCGTTAACTGAAACAGGCAAGACAAACCTTCGTTAATCTCGCAGCGTAATTAATCTGGGGAAATCACCCGCTCTGATGCTGCGCCTCCCCCAATTAACCTGCTTTCCATTTAGCAGCGTTATCCGCTGCTTAAAAGCCACGGTTACCATGTAGTGATTTCTTATTCCGTTGAGGGAATCGCTCCAGCCACACGGCGGCTGTGGCTGGCGGGTCAGTTGCCGTTGTGACCTTTGCGTAGTTCGCCATCGAACACCCATTCCGTTGTGTCATAATCCATCGCCTTCATTCATTCCTACGCTATGTCAGTATTAATTTCGTGACCTTTCATTCATTATCCGCATTAATTTGATGACCTTGCGTTATGGTCAGCATTGATTTCGTGACCTTTCATTCATTATCCGCATTAATTTGATGACCTTGCGTTATGGTCAGCATTGATTTCGTGACCTTTCCTTATTTTCAGCATAAATTTTATGACCTTTCATTATTTTCAGCATTAATTGTGTGACCTTTTATTGTCAACATTTATTGTGACCTTTCATTCTTGCGGCCATCACCGTTGCAGCCATAACTTGCCACCTGATTTTTGCCCACAGTATGACCTTTTCCATGTGTATCGCATAGCACAATTTCGGACAATATTCATTCCGTCGGACCGCCAGACCAATTTAACCACCTGACCGGAATTAAACGAAGCGGCGCTCACTTTTGTGATACGAGAAAACCGGTTTCTCGGTCGCTGTTCACAAAACCGGTTTAGTGCGATACATGCGTCGGACCGACTAGAACATGAACACGCTTTGTGTGAACAGAGAATCGCTGGATTGCGCTTTTAAGCAATAATCTTTGGTGGAAAGGAAATATTGTCCTAGAATGATATACCATCCGTAATAATTTTCACCGCTTCATTATTCTATTACGATCGTCCACGATACTTCCGCTGGTGACGTTTTTTACTGGCCGCAATCGCCCGTCTATTTATCTGCCTTGGATGATGCTGGACTTGGGGAATCAATCATAACTCGTCATAGATGGCTACCATTATCACAGTCATTTAAATTTGCTTTTGTAAATTGATTGCATGCCCATTGTTTTAAAGTAACGCCTATTTTCAATGTTTCGCTTGTTTGTTTTTAGAATGTCTGTAGTGTTTTGATGAAAATGCATAGAATATAGTAGTTACGAGCCAAGCGGTAGATACGCACATTCCCAGAAATTGCAATACTATGTACAAATGTTAATCCCATAATCCCATTTAATCGCTTCGACCGCTAGTTAATTACGCCGTTATAAAATATGCCTCATGAGACTGCGCGTATTGGGCACAAAAACCTTGCAATTCAGCTTTGTTGAACAAAATATACTCTGCAAAGAAATATACAGAGAAATTGATAGAATGTGGCACACGCAACGTAGGAGTAAAAATCGAATAATAAAATCAAAATTTTTAATAGAGTGCAACAGAAGCACATTCAATGCGCATAAATCGTCAACACTGGGTTCGTACAGAGAAGCGCTGGTTTGCGCAGTATCCGCTAAAACGAAGCGCTTATTTTATACATTCTTTACAGCACAGATTTTCTGCGGGAACTGTTCTCACGGATGCCGGTCGTTCGCGTAGCGGTTCATGAACAGCTTGTAGATGGTCAGAGTGGCCGCGTTATGCGGGAAGGCCCGCAGCAGGGTGGGCCAGAGCCCGCGGGCGAAAACCCGTAATCCCTCCTTTTGATAGCTGTGCCACACACTGCCACGCGCTGCGGTAGTGTTCGTCGGCCTGGAAACGCGACTTGACGACGTCCTGCGGGAAGCAGGCTAGCCAGGAGACGGCGCCGGCCCCGCCCCCGGCCAGCAGCAGCCCGGCCACGCCCAGTTGTCCGGGGGTGCCGTCGGGGCGCGGCGATGGGGCCATCCGGCGGCTGAGGTACTCGAAGGACCAAAAGTACGAGCCGAAGCCGGGGAGTTCGCGGGCTAAGGTCACGGTGAAACCGCGGAAGACGGCGCGCAGGCCGTGGGCGCGGTAGCGGGCGTAGAGGAAGTGGGCGGGGCTGCGGTATAAACGCGTTGGGCGGCCGTGCGTCGCACCGTCTGTTGAAGGCATAATAATTACGTACATATATTATTATACAAATATACATACAACTGCGTATATAGGTTAAACCGGCTTTTAACGTAATCGATTTATTTCATTCAAAACTGAAATTTTCATTTAAATCGTTTGGAAAGCTAGAATTTGTCGGCAGCTGGATTATAAAATGGTTTGTTTTGAAGCTTGAAACGTACTCGTAAAACGCTTGCAGGTATGATTTCAGTTCTTATTAGCTATATACTGCATATGATGTACAGCGAAAAAATTGAAAAAAAGGAAAAATTGAATAATAAAATCATCCAAAAAGGAGCGCATCCAATGCGCATAAATGGAGTGCACCGGGTTCCAACAGGTAAGCGCTTGTTTGCGCAAGATGCGTTAAAACCCGGGTTTGTACTTTGTACAAAAATGGGTGACCTTTCGTACTTAGTTAGCGCATATAATTTACGTGCAAGACCTTTATCGGTTAAGTGTGCGTAATTCTATATACGGCTTATACCGCGATTTTCGCTTGCTTACCAATGACGCCCTGTATCTGCATTTGTGTTTTGGCCAGTTCCACGGGACACGTGACCAGCGTCTGCAGCGCCCCCGCCAGCATCCCGGCCAGCAGGTGATTGGTCAAAGTGTCGGCGCCTAAATACGCCATCCCGGCGCCGTGCACACTGAAGACGATGGCGTTCTGCGCGGCCACACTGACCAGCGGACTGCTCATGCCCTTGTACAGGCCGCGCAGGGATTCGCGCTGCAGTGTCGCCAGTAAGCAGTGGGTGGTGCCGCGGAAGAGGGGCGCCGCGGCGTTCTGCGTCTGCAGACGCACTTTTATTGTGTCGAAGGGCTGCGGAGAAACATATAGGCGTGAGTGACCAAAGAAAGCATCAATAAACTGTCCGTGCGTTGGGGACATTTGATCTGGATCAAGTGATTATTATCGCCACACACATTACGGATGTTTTTCGAGAAGCGCGTATCAGCGCGTGGGATGTGACGTAATGCGCGCATCAACGCGCACGTTGTTGACAAACAACGTAATAAACACTTTGCCTATAGAATTAGAAATAATATTTTGACGTGCTCGCTTTCTGAAAGTTAACAGTTATTATCTGTGCAAGCAATTTTTAAAAAAAGCCTGTTGAGCCACTTGAGTGCAGCTGTATTAATCGAGAAAAAAACGAAGCCTGTGGAAAAAAAGGATTTTTTAAAATACAAAGTGTTTAAGATTGGGAAAAATAGCAAACGCGTACAGAAAAATCACTTAAAAAAGTTTGAAAACCCTTCGGTGTTATTTTGGCAATTCTTCCCCAGTTGCTGTGTTCAAACTTCAAACAAATTCATTTTTTTCTACATTTTATTAGCGAAGAACGTTTATACCTAACTATATGAATAATATTAACTGAGGGGCGTAAATGCCGGGAGATGCAAAATCCGGAAACCTGTTTTCGGAAAGCCCTTTGTAGTACTTTAAGAAAAAGTTTTCCTAGATGAATATTGTGGTTTCGTACACCTTGCGCTGCGTACAGCCGCCCACGTCTTCTTTCTCACCTGACCAGCCAGGATCCCGGCCATACCGCCCAGGGTGCCAGCCAGCAGCTCGGCGATGACCGGATGCATGCCTTGTTTTGTTGCCCTAGACACAACAGCCTGTGCTGTGCAATATATCGTGACCTTTGGCCAAGTGCAAAACGCGGACTCTCCTCTGCCACTTTATCTCGATAAACGTTGCCGGTGTACACTATCCATTTCGGGGAAGGAAGACGCATACATAATACAATGTACGTGGTACATCCAACATTTAACCATATAGTTAAATTTCGATTTTAGCTGGAATATTAAGTAATGCCTGAGCATAAGACGTCGGGATGTTTTTATAAGAAGCATTTCAAGACGATCAGGGCGATAATCGTAAAGAAAGGAAGTCATAGGATGCATGACAATAATTGAAGAAACGACAGTAGAAGGCTGGCCGCTTTTTCGTTCCCGTCAACAAGCGCCTGCTTGGTAAGTCATTCTTACGTAACCACTAAGCTTGTACACCGGTTGTTTACAGAAGGAATCACATGCGCTTCCGCTGTAGTATAATCATGTATTCGTGTGTGTACTACAATACTGCACCTGTATTTGCGCGTTGAAGCTGCACCCCTCCATTGGCTGCTTTATCGCCGTCTCCACAGTTTACCATTGTCCGATCACTGCGCTACTTTATGAGTATATTACACGGCGGAGATAAGGAAGCGTAACACCGTATTATTGCCAGCAAAGGTGCAGCTGCGTTTACTGTAATCAAGCACGTTACTAAGATCAAGATGTATTTTCCCGTTGATTCTCATTTATAATTACTGCTCATGACGGCTTTCACAGAACGCTTTCGAAAAGCACGGATGACCTTTCGCTAAATTTGCGCTTTATGCCACTGGGAAGACAGTTGACGTAAGGATCTTGATTTAGTCACTTCGACGTTTCTTAACAACCGATCAACTGCACTATATATTTCAAAAATTCACCATCGCAGTTATTCCAGTTTCATGAAGGTAGTTTCTTTACGGTAATTTTTAAATAATGGTTTAACAATGTCCTCATTTTGTGTTTAACTTTTAAAAAACATGCAAATTACAATCACCGCTCTGATACTCCGTTAAAAGAAAAACTGTGATCGCAGTTCCAGTAACGTGCGTTTTTTAAGCTGGCGCAGACTTTTTAATTACTTTAGATAGATTTTTTTGCTTGAGCATGTGAGATAAGTACTTGTGATTTGCACATTAACGTGTAAACTTAAACGCAAATGAGTACTAAGTAAAACAATTTTTGGAATTTTTGAACCTTCCGGACATGATACATGATGGATTAGTTAAGCAAGGGAAAACTTAATAATTAATTTTTATCATTTGTAAATTCTGCCGAATCACGGTAAATCTTGACGGTATCCAGAAGGTGAGCAATCGGTGTTACGCGGGTCGGTTTGAAATTTAGCTGATTGAAATATAATCGCCTTGTTTATCAGCCTATATCTCCACAGATGCTGCCATTACAACCAGTACCGTCAGTATCTTTATTTGGCTGTTTATTCGTCCAACGGAAATGACTGCCCGCTATTACACTCAGCTGTTCTGTTAACCTGGAGAAAATCGATGCGCTAATGGATCTTTTCCCCAATTGACGTGTTTTCCATAACCACCGCCATCGGCTGTTTAAAGACCGCCGCTGCCACCGGGAAACGCTGTCATTCCGCTGTACGGGAATCGCCTCAGCCACGCCGGTGGTTGGGGTCAGTTGCTGTGTGACCTTTCCGTAGTTTCCCTTCGAACACATCGCGTCAACCTCGGTAAAAGTATTATTTCCGTGACCTTTTCCTATCATCCGCATTATCGTTGAAGCCCTAATGTGTCCTATCGTCATCGCCAGCCACCGCCAGTGGATGACCTTTTCCCAATTATGGCTGCACATCTTGCAAAGGTCATCGTGCCTCGTCCCGATCTCATCCATTTGACATACCGCTTGTTTTTCCTCCATTGCACTACTTTATTATTCTCTTCACTATTCGAAGATACTTCCATAGTGACCTTTAGTACTGGTGACCGTTTGCATACCCTGGTGCTGTAGGATGCGTGGAAGTATTTATTATTCATTTTATCATTGCTATTCAAGCCCCTCTCGCAGATATCCGGCCGCTATAAGCGCAAGGCATTTAAACCGCGCATAATAATGTTGTACCACATCGCACGGTAGTGCAATCATGGCAAATCATACATTACGTGGCCACATAGTGCACGTGTGATCACGTAGTGTAGTGTCATGCCCTGGTGCAATGACTCCGCAACATGTTGGACGCATCAAGAAGCGCATGTGAAGAGGGATTACAAAAATTCCGCCTACAACGGTCTAGAATTTGCGAGACGGACTTTTACTTGTCCTCATCATGTCGCGGCTCATGAGAACAAGCGTGCTTCTGTTAATTGCATAGTCGGGATTTCCTGCATTCCTTCTTTTTCATTTAGCGCCTTTACCGGTTTAGTGTTTTTACGCTTTTGAAACTGCTGATGGAGTATCGTGTATATTTCGTAGGTAGAATAGTTACGAGCCATGTGGTCTAGACGCACACTCAGCACAGGCAATTATCCTTTTGGTATAATCGCGGACATAATTCGCGTAACTTGGTTATGTATACTGTAGACGCTCATAATAAAATGTTGCCCCAAATTGTAAATCCACGCGGCATCACAGTAAACTGAAGTTCATACAACCGTGCAAACATTCAAGCGAAGAAATGACCTTTGTGAACACTGTTTTTATGGCTAATACGCCAGCTATCGATAAATCTGCAGACTCGTGCTATGCTCATAGTCATGGGCCATGGCCAACTGTTCAAACTAAAATTTCTGCGAACTACACAGAATTAAGAAAACCAATCCGAATTACAACCAGGTTCATACTTAACACCAACTTAATATGCCCACGGTCTTTGCTAGTTGGCAATTTTCCGCTCGCATTGCCGTTGGGGTTGGGTGATATCCACCGTGTTGTGATGGCGAGCCACTTTTCTCAACAATCAATCATTTTCGCTCTTTATTTTACAACCAGCTATCTATTCCAGTTTCTGGACGATATAGATTCTTGTACGTAGTCCGCACTTTGCATTTGACGTTGACACAAAAATCTGCCAATTACAGTACGACGATGGATCTCAAATTCGAAGCGAATCCATTTCGATAAAACAACTTCGCCTCGCGCAGTGACTCGTATATTGTACTGGACAGCTCATTGGTTGTCAACGATTTTGCGATTTCGAGTATCAGTAATTTAATCGCGCTTTGTACGTAGCCGTGTTCGTGCTAGCGTGGTATTCTAAATTTCTAAAATCAATTTGGTTGTTTATCAGTCCGTCGGAAACGGCGTACTGCACCTCTCGTATTTCACCGTTCTTCAAAGAAATCGATATCTACCTTGGTGATCGCTAATGGACACGGACCAACCTATCCTCCATTAATATGCAGTTGTTAATTGCGTATGAATATGGGGAAAATCACGCGCTGACTGCGCGGTTTCTCTAATTAATCTGCTTGCCCGTCAACCTCCGGCATCCGCTGCTTGGAAGCTTTCGTTGCCACTGGGAATAGCTTTTACTCCGTTGCGGAAATCGCCCCAGCCACGCAGCCGGACCCCAGGCAAATTGCGTGACCATCCCGTTTCCACCGAACGCCCATCCCTTTCTACTCATCGGTTAGCGCCTTAATTGGTTATTTCGCTGTGTCAGGGTTCCCGCCCTGCCCTTGTATTGTCGTCAGCGTTGTCGCCGTGCTGATTGATATGACTCATCACGTCATCTCCCATCACCGCGTGAAGATGGGCCAATCCTCAAACACAGCGGTCTCTCCTGTATCATCTCATCCCGACTTTAATCTGTTCTCAAACTTTAAATGGGTGCGAAGTCCGGCCTGTTCAAGTGCGAATCTGCAAACTCGGTCAGTCTGTCGACAGGCTCGTAGCTACACTGTCGCTATTGTCCCAGCTGATTCCGCTTCGTGACCTTTGTGCCAACCGTGTTCGCCCGTGCATCTGACGCAACCGCATGTTGCTGGACTTGTGGATGCGTAATTATGTACTTTTCAGATTGTTCACAACATGCTAGTCGATCGATAGTTGTTCTCTGTCTTTAAATTGCTGTTGATAATTTGTTTCTAGTGTTGCTGTGTATACTGCCTCTTAATCTCTTGGTCCCAATGCAACGGTTCGATTGGTGCAGTTTATTGCTTATACGTTTTCACGTTTTTTTGTATGGTTGTGGTAACTTTGAGAAAATAATTTGTAAATTTGTTACGAGCCAAGTAGAAACGCATACACACACTGAACGCAATAATCCAAATTAGAAACGTAGCCATCTTCCGGTAAAACCGGCAAAGTCATGCTACACTCAGGGCAAATGCATTCCGCGAACAGCAGTCACAACATGGCCAACCGATTAGACACCGTTACATCCGCTTCAAGAAGTCAAGCGAGTATTGTATATCTAGGGAAGCGTTTGAGCAACGTTTACGCTGGAGGCCGTATAATTATCGTGTCAGAACAGAGTTCGGTACAAAGTCGAAAAACCTGTATGGTTTAGTATATTGAAGCATTATCTGACAGACGTTCAGCACAGCTGTGTTTACACTTTACACACTGGTGTCGCACACTCGCACCGCCACGTATTTATTTAGAATTTCGTCCCACCGCAATCAACGTTCATTATCCAGTATGTCCGTCACGGAGATCCCCATTATCGACCTGACATCCTACTGGTCGCCGTCTGGCGATGCGGACGGAAATTTGGCTACCACAGTGGTCAACACGCTGCGCCAGCATTCGTGTTTCTTAGCGCTGAACCACGGTGTTCCACAACACAACGTAAACATCTCCTTTAACAACCATTCTGCAGCGACTATAAATAAATTTTATTATGTATACACAGCTGGACGATTTGATGCATCAGTCCCGGGAGTTCTTCGCACTTCCCTTGCCCATCAAGAATCAGTCGGCCCGCGATCCAGGGTTTGCGCCTTGTGCGGGATACGTGGGTACCGGGGTGGAGGCGTACGTACAGAGGCGTTCTCATTGGTCAATTCAATTTTACGCGTAATGCTGCTGTTGGTTTGACGGTGGTTTATCCGGGCACTGTTTTATAGAGAGCCGGACGTCGCTGCACCGGAATTGCGGGAGTGTTTCGATCTGATGCTCAGTTCCCAACCAGTATGTGGAATTATTATTGATTGATTATTGTATGACAACCGGGTCATATTCAGTTTTTTAAATCGGTTCTTTTACGAGTTTTGTGCAAAGCATTGTACAGGAGAGAACTGCGTAACAGCCGTTTCTCATAAGCTGATACAGCACATGTACAGTACTGTGCAGCCGGCTTTACGATGTGTACATATCGCGTACATTAACTAATGTACATATCGTATACATTAACTAATGTATATAATATCGTGTACATTAACTAATGATGAACACGGTTTGCAATTAAGCAAAATTATTTATTTAGCCAGCGGCCGATCCCGTGACCATCCGTCTGCTCGACTGCATGCGCACCGTCAACCAGTCCTTCCACAAACTGACTCTGGCCCTCTTCGACTGCATCAGTCGCGGCTACAACCTCAACGCCACGCAACGCGACGACCTCTTCGCCGCGCACCAGCACATCGGCGACGTCAGCCGCAACAGCACCATGCTGCGCAGCGCCTTCTACCCCGCCATGGCAACCACCCAGCTCACCACCCACACCCGTATATCTCCCGCACACCGACTTTGGGACGATTTCCTTCATTTACCAGGACGACGCCGGCGGTCTGGAAGTGGACCCTAACCGCGGCCGCTTCGTGCCGGTCCACCCGCTCCTGGGGGCGGTCCTGGTGATGGCCGATGATGTGCTGCAGTACTGGACGGCCGGCGAAATTAAAGCGCTGGTATGTGACCATTAAAAATTAATGCCATTAAACAGCTGCTAATAAAAATCTTAGAATTAAAGTGGTTTTGGTAGTTTGCTTTAATGAAGTGTAATTCTGCGCTAGTAACACTGCAGTAACATTTCCTTAAATACTCAGCAAAACAGTCAGAGTGATTAAACTTCTGCGTAACAACATTTCCTACAAGGTTGGTTTAAGACAAAAAGCTGGGTGTCCAGGATCATTAATTTTAACAAAAATACTGTAGGTAAACCAATAAATAATAAAAACCTAATAACCCAAGGGTGCTTCTCCAATTCGAAGCGAATCTAGCTTTGGTACCGTTGCTCAACCGCACGAGGTGGCTGCATGCAGTGGCCACGCCTACAGATACGGTACGCGAAGCCACCTCGCGAGGTGGAGTTGCTGTATCGCAACAAGATTCGCTTCGAATTCGGGACGAGGCCTAAGAATAAAAAAATCGTACTACAGATAGTAGTTCGAAAATACAGTAGGTAAGAAAATTAAAAAAAGTGTTGGATTAGATAAATGCTTTAAGAAATAAAAACTTAATTAATTCAAGTTAAGTAAATAGTTATTGTATTCAGGTGTGCTTATTTTAAGTCGATAAAATTTTTTGGTAATAATAAATTAAGCATGTTGTGACCTTTTTAGAATCATCGCGTGGTACCGCGCCACGACAACTACCACTGGCTGCGCCAGAGCTTGATTTTCTTCGTCGATCCCGACTATGACGCACCGGTGGTGCCCTTTAACCAGCCGGATGCGCCGCCTAAACTGGCGAAGGATTTCGTCTTGCAGCGTTATAAAGCGGCTTTTGACCATTCAGTAAACACATAAATTCCTTTTCTCCATCAATAAGTCCAGTAAATTTTCAATCGGTCATATAGATTTTTTTACAAATATTATGTTTAAATTTTACAATCAGACCTATCTGTATTTACAAAAGAATTTTATCGACCGCAGCGCAGCGAAGGACCTCTAGCTCAACAAAACTAGAAATCTGTCGATCTGTCTGTCAGGTTAATGGGTTACCTGCTACCGAGATGAAACTATTAAACTATGGAAGTGGAAGGTCACTTTTTATTGTATCGTCACTTTCATATTACGTCGTACAAACTACCAAACTACCAAAATCCATAGACAATTGGATTTTGGTAGTTTGTTTGGCTATGAGATTTTAGATATCTTAGCCGGGTCGGGTATCTTATCTTTCATAGTTTTTTCTTAGAATTCCCAGATTTCCAAAGATTATTTTCTTAGGGGTTTTTGGAATCGTCAACACTCTTGGCGACGAAAACAACTCAGCTACACCTCTTACTATTCAATTACTCAGTAACTGCACAAGCTACAGGAAACTCAACAAAAACTATAATTGGCTACAAGAGAAAAACTACAGCTGGCTACAAGAGACCTTTTGAACTACCGGTGGCTACACGAACCAAAGAAGACTACACAAGCGACTTGTTACTTGTTACCGTTATAACCCTAGACCAGATTGGCAGTGTCCGAGAATTCGATCCTGGCTGACGGCCTGCGCTAAGCCGCGCTGACACGTCCGCCTCCGGCGGACGGCCTGCGCTAAGCCGCGCTGACACGTCGCCTCCGGCGGACGGCCTGCGCGCGCTGACACGTCCGCCTCCGGCGGACGGCCTGCGCTAAGCCGCGCTGACACGTCCGCCTCCGGCGGACGGCCTGCGCTAAGCCGCGCTGACACGTCCGCCTCCGGCGGACGGCCTGCGCTAAGCCGCGCTGACACGTCCGCCGGTCGGAACCGCCTCCGTACCGAATAAAAATGGGCGCGTACATGTACACGCACATATCCGTACAACTGCCTAGTGTGTAGTGTACACTGAACGCTTGTATGACGTAGTAACCGGCTATTTTGCACACGTGCCGCATTTTTTGCATTTTGCATGTGGACTTGAACCCCAGACCTCTCGCTAACAATCCACAGCACTAACCACTGCACCACCGAAAAGGGCTCAACCCTTACAAATAATTTTGTCGCTGCAGCTGAATTGTATCGGCACAGCTGGTAGCCACTGCACTACGATGACGGCTCAGCCTTACATTCTGATGAGTGGTTATTATCGGAAGTTCAAGTACCTGTACAGTGACAATAATTGGCAGTAATTACTCTGTCAGATTTTTATTAACCAGTAGTACCTTTTCGGTTACAGTAACCACCTAATTTTTTTGGAAGTGAAATTATAAATTTCATCTTTGAATTCTGCAAATGGACCATAGTAGAAGCATAAACTTAATCATTTCTTATTTTATTACTGTTCAGATTCAAAAATACTGTTTATTATTGAATTTAAAGATACTGTTTAGAATAAATTTTATTATTACTGTATTTATTCCTATCTTATTTTGTTACTGTGTTCAATACATCCGATTTTAGTGCACGACTGCTGTAATAAATATCTGATTTCATTTGTAACAATTATTGAATTTTATAATAATTATTATTCCATAAGTGCTGCATTAAATAAGTACGAGTACGTAATTTTATGGTACAACTAGATGCGTAGCAAACTTATGATTTAACTTTAATTTTCTGTTTATCGATAAAATAAACTGCATAAAAAATAAATAACAACACTTTTGTATTGATTAAATGAACTTGCTGTACTCGTATGAATTGCTGTGTGCTGGCACAGATAAAATGGCTGTATTAAATAATTTTATTGTGCAGTTATTGTCTTAAGAATCCATGCAACGTATTTATTTTCTCTCAACCGACTATGTAAAATTAACGATTTGATAAATCTAATTTTATTCCACAAGTGCTGCATTAAATATGTATTTTTTTAGTACATTTATTTTATCAGCAGGCATTATGATATTATTTAATTGTCTATTTATCGATAAAATAAACTGGCACGACAAAATACAGCAGACCCAAGCAATGGTATCACTGGCATGGAGAAACATAAAACACGCAGCATCCACTGGACCGATCGGAATGGAAGTGCAGGGTGCGGTGCAAAGAAAGCAAAAAACAACATGTATTTGGTGCGCGGTTGAACTAGATTAGGAACGAGCGAATTTTCGCGGTCAGGTCAAGCGTTATTTCCGCACCAACGGCGCCGCATCATCCTCCGTCTCCGGCTCGGCATCCTCGTCGGCGTCGTCCGCCACCGGAGGGCGGTTATCTTCCGCCACATCCACCTGGACATTAATTATTTTCCGCAATTAAATTTCAATTTTAAATTAATTATTGATTTTATTCTTATTAAAATTTTTAATGAATATGATTTTGTATAAAAAACCAATATAATGATTATTAATGATTAAGTTTCTATTTATTTTTAATAATTATCCCGTTTATCCGATTTTTGACGGGTATATTTTGGATAAGAAAATCAACAGAATAATTCTCGATTAATTTTTATATATTTTTTATTAATAAGGCGGCTTTTGATGAATTTATTTGGACAGAAAATGAGAATAATAATTATCGAATAATTCTCATTTAATTTTGTATTTATTGTGCAATTATTATCCGAGTGCTGATGAATTTATTTTGAATAAAAAATCAAAATAATAATTCTCGATTGATTTTGTATTCGTTTTTGAATTTTCTATCAGCTTCTGATGAATTTTAAATTTTGGTACAGAATCAAACATAATAACCATCGATTACGTTTATGTTTATTTTTTATTAATTATCCGATTTTTGAGGGGTATATATGAACTAAGAAAATCAAAACAATATTCTCCATTAATTTTCTATTTATCTTTTACTAATGATCCGATTTCTGATGAGCAGATGCAGATATAAAAAATTAAAAAAATCTAGATTAATTTTGTAGTAACTATCCGATTTCTGATGAATTATTCTGAGTGAAAATATAAAAAAATTCCAGATCCTAACCTGGACATCCTCCGCCTTCACCGCATCCCCCACCTTCTCCGCCTCTTTTTGGCCGCCTCCTCCTGGCGGTTGCGCTCCTCCTCCTCCAGCCGTCGGCGCTCCATAACCACAAACTGCTCGGCCAGTTCCTTGCACTCTTTGCGATGCAGCGGCCAGTGCAGCTTCTGGCATTCCTCGTTGCAGTACGCCACCATGTGGCAGCCGCTGCACTTCTTGTGCGCCTCGTTGTCGTTGCAGGTCTCGCAGGGCGGGCCGTCGCGGCCGGCCATGTGCTGGCCGTTGATGCTCTGCTCCAGGATAGATAAACTGCCGCCGGCCCCGCCCAGATTGGCCTTGGCGATGGCGTGCACCATGGTGGTGTGCAGGGGGGTCTGGTAGAACGGGAAACTGCGGATGGACTCGCGGAGGAATTTCTCCATGTATTCGGGGAAGCCGACCGCGTCCCGGCCTCGCACGAACCTAATTTCAAAAATATTTTAAATTTATTTTGATTTTTTTTAAAATTCTATTTCAATCCTTTAAATTTCTTAAATTATTAACACTAACTAATTTATTTAATTTTTTCAGTTTTTTTTGGAAATTTTATCATCACCATTTTATTAATTTAATTTTACTAATTTTCACTCATTTCTCTGTGTACTCCGGGAAGCCGGCCGCGTCCCGGCCCCGCACGAACCTAATTTAACCGACATTTATGCAATTTATTTAAAGTTTTGTAATTTAATTTCAATTTTCCAGAAATTGTTATTAAATTATTTCACAGTTTTTATCGGCTCTTTATTAATTTTGGCTTTGCCCTTCATGCAACTATTTTTACAAAAAAATTTTAAATTTATTCTGATTCTCCACAATTTAACTTCAATTTCTCCATTTTTCAACTGTTTTACAAATTAGTATTCAATTATTTTACGTTAATTTTGTCAGTTCTTAAATCATTTTAGCTTTGCGTGCCACGCAACCAATTTTACCTACATTTTTAAACTGCTATTAATTTTTTACAATTTAACTTTAATTTTCCACACTTTTCAAAATTATTTTTTAATTGTTTTACGTTATTTTATCACGTCTTTAATTATTTTGGCGCTGCCCTCGCACGAACCTAATTTTAGCGACATTCTTAAATTTATTCTCATTTTTTAAAATTTAAATTCAATTTTCCGAATTTATTATTTAGTTATTTCGCATTTGAGTTCGATTTCAATTTTTTCGTATTTATTACATACGAGTAATTAAGTATTTCGCTGTTTATTTATTGAAAAGACGCAGAAAGGGTACATACAGTTTCACCATGTCTTCGATGGATTTTCCGTCGGCCGACATCTTCTTAACATGCCGCAGAATGCAGGATAAATAGTGGATTTTCATGGCCATGATTTCGTTCATCTCGCGCGATTTCATCTCCTTATCGATGATGGTGTCGAAGGTGCGCAGAATCTTGCCCGATTCCTCCTCCAGCACCGGGTTGCCGCGGATAAAGAACAAAATCTACCAAAATAACCAATACAAATCAGCGGAAACGTTGAAAAGTTCGTGCAACACCGAAAGAAAAATTTAAATAAATTCAGCAAACTAAAAAAATCTAATTAAAATAAATTCCCACAACTGGAGATTCGGTATTATTTATAACAGCAAAATTAAAAATCCTCAACGAGGAATCCGTGGGAAATGCACAAGAATGCTGACCTTAACGGGATGGAGATTATTCTGCATAATGAAACGGTGCACCAGGGGCGCAATGGCTGGCGGCAGTTTCGGCTCCTTTTCCAGGCCTGCAAATTTTTATTTATTTTAACTCACCATTAAAAAATATTTATTTAAAAAATGTACATTAAAAACAAGCTAAAATTAATTATTCAGTGATAAATTAACAAAGCGTTCATCAAAAGCAGAGAAAAATTTATTAATATGACAAACTATTCCCTACAAGATCTGCATTCAGTGTTAAGATAGCGTAGTACAGTGGCAGAGTACAACTACTGTAGAAAATCGCTGCAGCTGCAAATAATCCAAAATCCGTATTAAACCATAACAAATTTTAATTTACATTTTTTAGTAAGTCTAGATACAGAAAGTAATTTCCAATAATATTGTTTACATTTTTAATATGCATTTATTCTTGTATTATTAGTACAAGCAAATTTAAAAACCTCATTAAAAATCATTTCTTAAAAACAAATTAAAAAAATTGCAAACTAAAAACACGGTACCTATTAGTACATATTAATTATCAGAAAATGACTTGATAAATGTACATAAAAACAGAATAAAATTATTTATTCAAAACAAATTTTAAAAAATTCCACACCAAAAATACACTACATATTAATTATCAGAAAATAAATTTTACAAAATCTGCAATAAAAAAAAGATTAAAACTAACTTGGACAAAACAATTTAAAAACATCTGTCCAGTAAAAACACAACAAAATAAATGCTATTTAACGCTTAAGGCGTTAAATACCGTTAACGCCGGGCGAGTTTGTTTGTCCCTGGCAACATAGTCACGTCATCCAGTAATGACGTGAACAAATTATTAGAAGGAACTCAGTTGTGTTCGATCCAGTTTTAACTATTAGTTTCCCAATTTTCGCTAAAAAATGGCTCCGAAACCTCGGTCGGACGCGCCCGTTGCACACAGAAAACGCAGACGGGGGATTGCTAAGAAGTCAGAGCAACAATCAACAGATTCCATCGATTTAGTTGCCCTTCAGCATACAGTTTCTCAACTGCAAACGCAACTGGCTGCTTTAGCAGTCCAGCAACCCCAACCGCCCGCCCCCACTGGTTCTCCACCTTCACTTACCACTCCACCGCTGATTGACCTTTCCGTTTCGGAGCCTAGTATGTCACTTAAACCACCGTCTAACTTGTGTTTACCCACACTTGATAATCCTACATTAAAGTTACTGTCCGATCGGCATGGCTTCGTCAATTTGCATAAACTTCTACCGATTAACAGAGGAGTCGAATCAGTTTCCGATCAGCCCTCGTATGTGCCTGATAACGACGGCAAATTAATTCCCACTGCTGCTGTGTCTAACCGCCGGAAGATCGACTCCTTTAACTCATGGCTGGATGCCTTTTTACTTTTTGCTCGTTACCGCGTTTATTTTCATCCCGGTCTGGCTCTGGCGCTGTTTGCATACATCGACATTATCCGTGGTTTATCACTATCTCGTCCTCTGTTAATCTGGCTGGAATATGATCGAAGGTTTCGTGATAAGATGAGTAACCGTGACATTTCTGACAACGCGTGGTTCATCGAAGATTCTTCTGTTATTGCCGAGGTCATGCGCACTATCCCATTGAACTCCACGGGTCCTCCTTTACAAAAAGATATCCGATCGCCACCGCCGTCGGTTTCAGCGAAGCCACCATATGGCTGCTATCTGTGCCGTAGCCCTGATCACTACGCGAACTGGTGCCCCCAGCGTCGTAACCCGTCTGAAGCATCTACTTCCGCTCAGCGTCCCGCTCCCGTTCCCATCACCCAGCCACGTGACCAGAGCGCTACACAACGTGTGAATCAGCCCTTTCGTCCACCCCGCGTTGCAGTCTGCCGGGACTACAACGCGGGACGATGCTCCAACCCGTGCCCCGGTCGTCGTCTGCACATCTGCGACGAATGCTTCGACGCTTCCCATACCCGACCTTTCCACTCATCTTCAACCTCGTCTACCAACTAATCCGTTCACTCCTCTTCGGCCCTACAAATTTCTTCGTTACCTACGTGAGTACCCGAATCGTGGCGCTGTGTATCACTTTATTGCAGGTTTGCTGAATGGGTTTTCTATTGGCTACACCGGTCCAAGTTTAGTTCGGTCTACTGCCAATGCGCTCACTGCTCGACAGTATCCAGATATAGTGCGTCGTTACATTGCCAAAGAGATTGAACTGAAGCACACGTTGGGGCCGTTCGCATCCCCGCCTTTTAAATTCTTCGTCAGTTCGTCTCTAGGAGTCAGACCGAAGAAAACTGGAGGAGCACGCTTGATTATGGACCTCTCCCGGCCTTTCGGTAGCTCCGTAAATGACTATATTTGCAAGAAAACGTACACCATGCGATTCTGTTCTGTCGATGACGCAATCCGTATTATTATCAAGCTAGGTGCCGGCGCCATTATGGCCAAAATGGACTTGAAGCACGCCTTCCGCCTCATACCTGTCAGGCCGGAAGATTGGCACCTTCTCGGGTATTGTTTCGATGACCGTTTTTATTTTGATGTGGTATTACCTTTTGGTTGCCGCTCTTCGCCCGCCATTTTCGATAGAATGGCATGTTTTTTGGAATGGATAATTCGAAACGTGTGTCATTTTCGGGATGTTCTGCACTATATGGATGATTTCTTCTTCGCCGGTCCATTCGGTTCTATTCTTTGCCAGTTAGCTATTGAGCTTATGACGCTGCTGTGTTTAGATCTAGGAATTCCGTTAGCGCCTGATAAGACGGAAGGACCCTCAACAAAATTGACCTTTCTCGGTGTCGTCCTGGACTCCGTTGATCAAACCATCTCGCTCCCACCCGGAAAACTTCAAGATTTAATCGATGAGTTCACGGTGTTCTCCACCAGACAGTCAGCTTCTAAGCGTGACCTTCTCAGTCTAATCGGCAAGCTCAGTTTTGCTACGAAATGCATTCCAGCCGGTCGGATTTTCTTACGACGGATGATCGATTGTGCCAATTCAGTCCGCCTCTTACATCAGTCGGTTCATTTAAATTCTGAATTTCGAGCTGATTTGGAGTGGTGGATTAAATTTTTGCCACTGTGGAACGGTACTGCTTCTTTTATCGAGCCAGACTGGACAAACGCAGACAATTTTAGCTTGTATACGGATGCGTCTCACACTGGGTGCGGCGGATGTTTCGGTAACAGATGGTTCCAGTTAACTTGGCCTCCTGACCTTATGATTCTGCATCCGCATATCACCTGGTTGGAGATGCTGCCAATTCTTTATGCGTGTAGATTATGGGGCACACACTGGCACAGCAAGCGGTTGACGTTCTTCTGTGACAACCAAGCTGTAGCGGCAGTTTGGAGCAAGTTCTCTTCCAAGCATCCCGGGGTCATGGCATTAATTAGAGCATTACATTTTGAGGCAGCGCGATATAATTTTCATCTACGTATTGTCTATTTACCGGGGAAGAGCAATGCTACAGCAGATGCGTTGTCCCGTGGCAATATCGAGCGGTTTTTCGAACTTCTACCGTCTGCAAATCGGCTTCGAGAGGAATTTCCGTTCAATATGGTTGAATTCTTTGACGTTCTTGCCGCTCCTCGCAAGTGCCGTAATCGCCGGATAAAGTATCGTTTTCATTCTTATGTTATCTAGTTGTTCACTGTTATTAACGATGTGCTTTATTGCAGAAAACGCTCGTGTACTTAATGCTCACAATACGCCATTTCGTCCAGTTATCCAAACTTTGTTGCAAGCGCATCTATCATCCGCCAGTCAGAAAGTGTATCGGGTTGCACTGCGCACATTTAATTCTTTTTGTAACCGTAATGGTTTTCCTTTTGTGCCCACGGATTCTGCAACCATCTTTAATTTTGTTGCCCAGCTCTTTTTGGATAAACTAACCGTAGCCACTGCGCGAGTATATGTTTCGGCCATTATAACCTATAGCACTTTAAGCGGCTATCCGGACCCTGTTCCGGATAAACGCCGCCTGGCGCTACTTTTTTCTGGATGGTCCAGAATCCGTGGGTCACCTCGCGTTAAGCGTGCTGGACTGACAGTGACAAATCTGCGTTATTTGTTTCGCTATATACAGTCACTTCCGTATTGCATGTTCGATCGCATCATGTTGCAAGCTGCCACGATGATGGCGTTTTATGGATTTATGCGTGTATCTGAATATTGTGCTACTACTCAATCCCGTTCAGCTCCCCACTGTCTTCGTGGTTCTGATATTTTCTGTGATTCTTATTGTCTCCAAATCACTTTGCGAAGAAGCAAAACATCTCAGCATGCACCTGTTGTGATATCAATTCCTTCCCTGACTGACATCACTTGCCCTGTTACTGCTGTGTCTCGTTATCGAGCGCTTCGGGATTCCTGTTTTGATTCTTCATCTCCATTCTTTTGTTTTTCAGACGGGAAATATCTAACTCGTCAACGTGTATCCATTCTGCTTCAAAGTTGCTTCGGTCACACAATGTCAACCCATTCGTTTCGCATTGGTGCAGCTTCAACTGCTGCTAACGCCGGCATCACATTAACGGATGTTCAAAAGATGGGGCGTTGGACTAGTGATGTGGTTAATAGATACATTCAGCAGTCTTCTGTATCAAATTCTCATCTGTATACTCGTTTATTATCATGAAATCTTATTACAGCTCTCCCGTGTTCGGTTGTGTTTTGTCGTTTCCGGTTGGGCCGCGGCTTCGCTTTGGGGGTGTTCGGCGCGGCTTGTCTCAACGGAAGTCGGCGACCAGCGGCGCCGTTCAGTTGCGACCGTTCGGACATCGTCGGCTTTCGAGCACTTGCCCCGACATCCTCAAAGCGGCAACTGATTGAACGAGCCCGAAAGCGTTAATGCTATTTAACGCTTAAGGCGTTAAATACCGTTAACGCCGGGCGAGTTTGTTTGTCCCTGGCAACATAGTCACGTCATCCAGTAATGACGTGAACAAATTATTAGAAGGAACTCAGTTGTGTTCGATCCAGTTTTAACTATTAGTTTCCCAATTTTCGCTAAAAAACCGCCCGCCCACCCGGAAATATACTATGTCATCACTTGTCCTGTTGTTGATTCTTCGATCTTCTCCGATCTGCTGTTTATTACCACCAGCGTTGCTCTGTTGTGTTCAAAGATTCAATAAAGGGGTGTTCGGCGCGGCTTGTCTCAACGGAAGTCGGCGACCAGCGGCGCCGTTCAGTTGCGACCGTTCGGACATCGTCGGCTTTCGAGCACTTGCCCCGACATCCTCAAAGCGGCAACTGATTGAACGAGCCCGAAAGCGTTAATGCTATTTAACGCTTAAGGCGTTAAATACCGTTAACGCCGGGCGAGTTTGTTTGTCCCTGGCAACATAGTCACGTCATCCAGTAATGACGTGAACAAATTATTAGAAGGAACTCAGTTGTGTTCGATCCAGTTTTTAACTATTCGGAAACTATTAGTTCCCCAATTTTCGCTAAAAAACCGTCCCGCCCAACCGGAAATATACTGTGTCATCACTTGTCCTGTTGTTGATTCTCTGATCTTCTGTTTATTACCCCCAGCGTTGCTCTGTTGTGTTCAAAGATTCAATAAAGGGGTGTTCGGCGCGGCTTGTCTCAACGGAAGTCGGCGACCAGCGGCGCCGTTCAGTTGCGACCGTTCGGACATCGTCGGCTTTCGAGCACTTGCCCCGACATCCTCAAAGCGGCAACTGATTGAACGAGCCCGAAAGCGTTAAACACAAATTTAAATTGCGTTTAAATAGAGAATTATCGTCGATTTACCATTAGGAACGGTATAGTAGGTGAGATCCTCGACGGTGAAGAAGTTGCTGATGGTGACGGCGACGGCGTGATGGCCGACGAAGCCGGCCAGCTGCGAGGCGGTGCGGCCGATGTTGTTGGTGGCGCTGGTGCGGGCGCCGTGGCGCAGCAGGATGCGCACCACGTCCTGCTTGCCGGCCAGCGCGGCGAACATGAGCGGCGTGTAGCCCTGCGTCTGCATGTTGTTGTTCACGTCCGCCCCGGCCCCCAACAGCAGCTCCACCAGCTCCTTGTGGCCTTTGTAGCACGCGTGCTCCAGCGGCGTCGTGCCCGACTACTCAATGCCAAAACAATTTAGAAAACAATCGTCAAAATATTTTATTAATTTCCACACAGATTCAGACATTTTCTTAGCTACAGAGTATCTGCAATTTTTATTAAATATTTCCGCTGCTTCCAAATAATATTTTCAAATATTATACATGTAATAAAATTCCAAATAACAATAATAACAATTTAATTTAGAAAACCCACTGTGAATTTTCCTAAAAATCAAGGAAATTATTCGGCTTCTTCCAGAATTTTGCCCGAATAATTTCAGTTATTTTTTCTTAGCACGGGAACAATTTTATTACTAGTACTTTTATTGTCGAAATTACTCGTACTTTATATTTAATTGTAGCTGTGGATTTCTGGAATAATTTTTAAACAGCTCGGTAACGCCATTTTATGACTATATATTCTTAATTAGTTATTTCTGTTACTGCAAAAATTTGCAAACAAATAGAAGAATTATTCCGCCGGTTGCCACAATTACCAACAAAACTGAACTAGAAAACCTGTAAGAATTTTTGCCAGTAATTTCGATATTTCGAAAACGTCAGTCTTTCTAGGTTCTTGAATTTTATAACCAATATGTTATTTATTTTTAACTTTAGTTAATTTATTAACTAATTTCTAGTCGTATTTTGAGCGACAAATGAATAATTAATGCTTTTATGCACCGTTACAGTACAGTATATTTACTTTATTTAATCACAGTAAGTATTCTTCTTAATTTCTTTAATCCTCGATGAGTAGCCTGGTTTCGAAGTATCTATAATTTAATTTAATTTATTCTCTCTTATTTTTAACTGATTTTTCAGTTAATTTTGGTGCCGCCACTTACATCATCGAGGCAGTCGATCTTGATTTTCTTCTTCTTCTCACTGAGCAGCCGGCGCACCTCCTCCAGCTGTCCCTCCTGGCTCAGTTTCAGCAGCGTCTCCTCCTCCGGCTTCAGCACCCCGAAGCTCTTGGGCCGCGGCGCCTTGACCTCCGGGGCGGACGGCTGTTTCGCCGGCGTTTTGGCGGGGGTGCCGGGCGTGGGGGGAATGTTCTCCGTCAGACCGGGCATGTTCTCCTTGTCCAGGGTGTCGCGGCGACTGCCAGCCGTCCTGTCGCCATCGCCACCCGCCCGCGGATCCGCTGCGGCAGCCGCCAGTTTTTCTTCCGTATCCATCGTCATTTTTCACGCTTCGCTGCGGACAAAAAAGCACTCGTAAACTTTGCAAAAAAATAACAAGTCATAAAAAAATTTAATATTTATAAAAAAATTCTATAGGAGAAAAGGACGTAAACAAGAGGGAAAGGGAATGTCAGTGGAAAATCGCTGAAAAAAGCAAGCACTGCTCACTTGACTTTGAAGACCAATTGATTCAAATCCGATCAAAGAATTCTAATTCTTTCCAGTTATAAAAAAATCTCTGCTTAAAAATCTGCAAAATAATCCGGAAAAAATGTTGATATCAATCATCAGAATTAGTCAGAAGAGGAGCAACGAAACGTCGGGAAATTAGCAAGCACTGCGTGTTTCGTGATCACGACACGTTCCAACACGCTTCACATCTTGGCAACAGCGAGCGCGTTCGATGACGGTCGGCTGTCACATAACACCTGAATGATCCACACACCTTTTTCTAGAACAGTCAACCACCCGCAACACAATCGATCAGTCCAATCTGCAGCCAGACACGGCAATCCCAGTATCCCGAGGATCAGTCGTCCATCATCATCACATTAGCTGATTAACCACAACAAAACGAACGCACTGTGATGATTACTATAAATCTTCAAAAAAGGCTTGTGTTTTCAGAATTCTCTGCTTATAGTTATGCGTTCCAGCTATGCGTCGATCAATAGCGGAGGCATTTCTCGTCAACAACGCTGCAGAAGCAGAAGGAATGCCAGGCGGATATCCGGTGTGTGCTCCTGTGCTTGCAAGCCCGCCCCCGATGAGCCAGAGCAGCCAATGGCCGTTTGCCGCTGTGCCGAGCTGAAGCAATGATAGTCCCATGCAGCCACACTTTCGCCCCGCTAAATTTGCTGCTCGGCACAGCACGCCATATGCAGCTGTAAGCACCGCCCCGATCAGGCAGATAGTCGTTCGGTGCTGTGTCGAGCTGAAGACTGCTGAGAATCGTTTACGCCCCATGTAAGAAGCTCGGCGCGCCGCGCCACCGAACGTTGCCGTCACGCAGCATTTTTCGCACTGCCATTTTCTGAATTTCCCGCGGTGAATTTTAATTCCTTTTTCCGATGATCGTTTTAGTTTCTCTCCGACAATTTTTTGAACCTCGTATTTGTCGTCTAAAAACAGTTATCTGCGTGTATTTTTGAATCGATTACGCGTGCCTGTTGGGAATCTTGATTGATCGGAAAAAAGTAACGAAAACCAGCGAACTTTAATCAGCAGTTTCTCGCTGATTTGATTATTTCCTTGCCTTCGAGGAAAATCTGTCGTCTTCCTGATTTTATCTGTGCCTGGATGACTCCTAAATAATAACAGCATTCTTTATAAATTTATTAAGGGTTGAGGATGGAGAAGATGGACGTGGACGGGGAGGAGCGGCGCAAGGAGAAGAAAAAGCACAAAAAGAGCAAAAAATCCTCGCGCACCGCGCCCGAGGCGGACGCCGCGCACGACTCCGGCGACGAGGCAGCGCGGCGCGAGCGCAAGAAGGAACGGAAGCGCAGTAAGCGGCGCCAGCGGGACTCCGGGGAGCAGGGGGCGGAGGAGGGGGAAGTGCGGCACTCGCCGTCGTGGACCGCCACCGGGGCGACGCTGCCTTCGCCCGCGGAGGAACTCACCTCCGTCGCCGCGCTCATCAACAGCCAGCCCTCGCCCAGGAAGCCCAACGAGCAGCCTGGTAAGCCGTCACCGCTGAAATGTTTTTTCTAGAAATTTAAATTTTTTTTCTATTTATTTTCCTGTTTATTATTAATTTTGTGTAATTGTTTTTGGTTTTTTTAAAATTTTAAATTTATTTTTAATGGTATTTTTACCTTTCTTGACTTGGTACTCGAGATTTATTTATTTTTTATTTAACAGACTGTGTAGTCGGTTTCTAACGTACACCAGTACCTTGTACTAAATGTATTTCCCGTTTTTATAATATTGTAGAGTAGGTTGATTTGTCTTTATTTTGGAGTTGTTATATTTTTTATTTCGTTTTTTTTTTGCTGTGATGTCTGTACAAATTTCTCTGCTTGTTAATTTAGATATTAGTATGATTATTAACTGTAATAAATAAAAACTGTCTGGTATGTCGCGTATGCGTTGCTGTGGATTTATTTCTGTTTTCTTCTGTTAGCGTAGGTTTTCAAATGTTGATTGAGAATTTATTGGCGTATTTTGTCGCTGTTTTTTTCATTTCTACTGTTGTTATTTTTCAAAGATCTTTATTTGTCTTTAGCGTTTTTTTTATAGATTATTTTGTTTTATTTTTACTTTATTTCTTAGAAGTGGAAAAGGAGCCCGGGGAAGTGGAGAGTTCCGGCGGGGGCGGCGCGGCGGAAGAGCTGTCCATCGAAGAGACCAAGTAAGATCATCCCGTAATCACGCCAATAAATTCGCCGATTTTTATGGATAATAAAATTATGCCAAATTAATTTACTAAGTAAATATTTGGTTTATTTGATTTATTTATTATTAGCAAACTGCGCGCGGCACTGGGCTTGAAGCCGCTGCAGGTGTCCGGGAGTAAACCGGCGGAAACGGCCACCAAAAAAGAAGACGTCCACGCTCCGGCCGGCAATATCGCCCACGACCGCCAGGCGCAGAAAATCAAGGAACGCCTGGAGACGGTCAAGAATAAACATGCCGTGGAGAAAAAACTACGGTACGCATGGGTAGAAATACGTGTGACACCTCAGCAGGGCTCACATTTAGGTAGGATTTTAATATTTGTTTTTATGAATTTTTTCTACTTATTTTTTGGTTTATTTATTCATATATTTGGTGGAATTTTAGTTATTTTTAATTTTGTTTTACTTCTGTATTTTATTTACCAAGTTTGCCATTTCTGTTTTATATTTTGCGGGTTTATTTTACATTTATTTTGTGGGCAATTTTCTCTTGTTTTAGAAGAGGTTTTAAAAAAAAAACAGTTTCTGATGTTTGTCGTTTTTTAGCTGGTGTTTTGGCTATGTTTGCATAGTCGTTGTGGAAATGTTGCTAAATAATTGAGTGAACTTTGTAGTGTAGTGGCGATGTGTGCAAGACGACATCTTATCACATCTATCGCGAACGGCCTGCTGAGAAATAATTAATCAGTAACTCAGTAAATAATTATTCATAAAAAAAAAGGAAACAAACAGGTAGTTCGTTTCCCTGTCTTTTTTTTTAATTGGCGGTGATAAGTTGTAAAGACCGGTGATATTTATTTTCTGTCGATTAGATACTGAATCAGTTAATCAGTCAAATATTTTCGATTGAATAATTAACCACTGGATACTTTTAAAAAAATTGTAAATGAATAAACTAGGAAAGCGCACCGCTGTTGGCTTGCACTAAACGACCGAAGCGAAGCAGTTTAATAAACTGTCTTAAAAGTGTAATAAACTGTTGTGAAAATACGTTTACTATTAAAAAAAACTGATAAACCAAAATATTTTTATATTAAAAAAATAGTTTTTCTATTTTATTTATTATTTTTTGGTGTTCTTCCTTATTTTATTTGAAATTGTGAATGCGTGACCGACAAAATGCCTGTTTGCCTGAACATAGAGGACCTGCGCTTCGGTCGAGTAAATTGGTAAATCAGTGGAAAATAAATCGGTGAAATTTCTGGCAGACATGTCAAAGGCCTGGGCGAAGCCAGCGACGACGAGGAGACCGCGGAATCCTGGGTGGAGCGGAATCGGCGCATTGTGGAGGCCCGACGACAGGCGGAACTGCAGGTGAAACCTGGTTCACGCCACGCGTCAGTGTGGCGGATAATTCTGAAAAGATTGATTATTCCAGGCGGAAATGCAGCGTCGCGCCGATGCCGAACAGCAGGAGGAGGACGAGGAGCCGACGAATAATCTTCCCTATTATTCTGCCCGGGAGCTGAAGGGTCTGAAGGTGGAGCACGATCTGGACCGGTTCCAGGAAGGCAGCGATATCGTCCTCACGCTCAAGGATGCCGGTACAAAAATTCGTTTGAATTTTATTTGTTTTTTTATTTATTCGAAATTTATTCGAAATTTATTTGAAATTTATTTGGAATTTATTTGAAATTTATTTGAAATTTATTTGGAATTTATTTGGAATTTATTTGAAATTTATTTGAAATTTATTTGAAATTTATTTGAATTTGTATATAATTCAGCCATTAATTCCCGATTTTCGCCGACATCAATACTATTTATAAAAATAATAATTCAGAATTTAATTTATAATGGACTTATTCATAACGTAATTTGTCTTAATTATAAATTCCATCATGTAATGTAATTGACTAATAACGAGTGTTTTCGAAATTGTGAGATTTATGGAAATAATTTGTTTCGTTAAATTTTCGATGTATTGAAATTTATTCCATTGTTCGATTGTACAGAGTAGTATTTTGTAAATTGTAATATTGTGCATTTTGTATTTAATTTCTGTTTACTAATTTAGAGTTAAATTTCCTAACATTATGCTGGTATTTCACAGTAAATAAAACACAGTTTTACAAATTATTGCGATTTATTAAGAGTGTTTCAACGATTATAATCCTCAGTTTTTGTAAAAAAAAATGTACTTTAAGTTGAATTTTCCAAATGACAATTATTAGTAAACTAATATTTATCGTCCCAAAAGTTTATGTAAATTTTACTTGAATGTTCGTTGATTTTCTGTTTTGAAAGATGCCAAAACGTAAACACTGCAAGCTAAAATACCCCTGTTTTATGCCACTGTACTACGGAATTTTTATTACACACTGGCCGTATAATAAGAGAACTAAAATACAAAGGTATTATTATTTCCAAAAATGCGAATTTATTATGGAGTTCAATAAATTATTTCCCATAATTTTCTAAATTTTAATTATAGTGTTCCAGCATTTGTACAGAACAGAATATTTGCAGAACACTGGGTTTATTCCGCGATGTTTATTTGAATCCCTGATTAAATTCCTAATAATTATTGTAATTATTTTATTATGAAATAAACGGCTGTGTTGTGTTCGTATAGGTGTGCTGGAGGACGGGAGTGATGTGCTGGTGAGCACGGCGCTGACGGAGCAGGAGAAGCTGGAGCGCAATCTGGAGAACAAGAAGAAGAAGGCCGCCTACAATCCCTACGAGGACGCCGACGCGCTGCAGCGACCGGGATTATTAAAGAAGTACGACGAGGTCATCGACGGCGACCGCAAGGGCCAGTTCACCCTGGAGACCGGCGGGACGGCCCCCGGGGCGGTGGACGCGGCGCGGAGGGATCTGGCGGTCGGGACGCCCTTCCGACCGGAAATGGTACGTCCGGAATTAATTATCCAATTTTTCCTTATTTATTCTGTTTTTTGTCGATTTATTTACCGTATTTAAAAGTAATTCGTGTTTTTACTTATTTATTTATCACATCTGTTTCTGGTTGTCTTACCTTTTTAATCTAGCTAATTATAATTTTCTTATCCATATTTTTGCCAATTAGTTCTGATTTTTGGGATAATTTACTGATAATCCATTTAATTCCATTTTAATTACGTACGTGGCGATCTTTGAATTTTTTTCTCGTTTTTTTTTCTTTATTAATTTTGCTTCTTTCTTATTTTTTGCGCCTATTTTCTGAACCTTACTGATTCTTATTGAATTTATTTCCTTTTTTGAAAACTGCAAAATCACGCATCGGAATATTTTCTTCATGGTCAGTTTATTTTTTTACATACTGTTTTTGTTATTTTTTACCCGTTTAAAAATGCGTCTGATATTTTTATATTTCTTTACACATAAATTTTAAAAGATTATTTATTTTCAAAAATATGTGCGATATTTAATTTTACAGCTGATTGCCTCATATTTTTGTATTTATTTATTCAAAAATTTAATAAGCCTATTTATTTTTGAGAAAATTTTCGAAAAATATGGGATATTTATTTTCATAGCTACAAACGCTGCTAACCAACGAGCGGACCCTCGCCCGCGACTTCTTCAACGAACAAGAAATGGCGGGGAAATTCAAAAAAGTCAAAAAATCCTCGAAAAATCGCCGCCAACAATCCGTCAAAGACGAGCCCCTCCCCGTGATGAAACCCGACCCGGGGACGGTCCCCGACGAAGAGGACGACGTGGAGCTGCAGCTGGCCCTCAGCCGCGCCCGCCGCCTGCGCCAGCAGCAGCAATCCACCTCCGGCGAGGACCTCCTGGAGGCCCACCTGGCCGCCGCGAAGGAGACCGCCGCCCGCCCCCCGGAGGGGTGGTACGGCGGGGCGCAGCGGGTGTTCCTGGACGAGACCAGTGAGTTCTGTCGGCGGGTGGGCACGGAGTTGTCGGCGGTGCGCGCCGGGAAGGAGGAGCCCGGGGAGGGACCTCCGGAGTATGGCGGAGGGTTTGCGGGGTTCGGGGAGGCCGGGGAGGAGGAGATGGAGGTGGAGGAGGACGAGGGGGAGCGAGGTGAGGGAGAAAGCTTAATTTCCAACGTTTTGCCTTTCCAAAAAAGTGAATGAAATGAAAATAATAGAATAAAATCAGAAGGCTAAAAGAAATCAAAATTAATTACAAGTAAAAAAAGGAAAAATCTTTTTTTTTAAATATTTATAAATCATATGTATTGTTTTTAATGATTTATTTCTTAAATTGTTTATTAAATTCAAACAGTTTAAAAAGAATAAAACTTGGAGAAACAGCAGCCAAAAGGAAACCTATTTTTTGAATAATTTTTTTCACTTTTTATAATGACGATTTTAGTCGATCGCATTTAATTTTTATCAGAAAAAGAACTCAAGAAAATAAAAGGTAACTTGTAGAATGTATAGGATTAGTTTAGGCTGACAGGATTATTTTCTGGATGTTATAAAATTATGGAATACCATTACTTTTACTTCGCTGTTGAAATTGTAGCCGAATGTTTCGAAGAATACTGTAGAGTAGTGGCAGAATGCAGCTGGTGCGGCCTTCTTCGTTGGATCATGAAGCAAGCGATTGATAATATTTTCTGAATTTTACAGTTCGTTTTCCCTCGATTTTTTACCGTTTTGAAATTGGCCGCCATTTTGCTGTATTGTCGAATCAAAAAAAATAATAAATCAAATAAAAAATGAATAAAATAAATCTGACCGGTAAATATTCAAGCGTAAAATGTCCAAAGGATCCACCACACCATAAGCGGCTGAAATATTTCTTCGTTTCTACAGTAAAAAATAACAGCGGAATAAATTTTGAAGAGATCCCTTTTTGTTGAATTGCAGTCTGTTGTAGATAAATCGATGGAGCAAACTACCATAAGTAGTGATTAATATGTGCGTGTCTTCGTTGCCGTTGTAGGGGAAAATATTTGGAAAATTATATAGTAATAATATTTAATTTATTTTATTTAATTTTCGATGAATTTCTTGGCCAGTCAGTGCAAAAACAGCACGTCAGTGTGTGTGATTTGTCTACCGTAGAACGGGGAGCGCCGGTGGAGCGGAAGGGCGGCTGGAGTGAGGTGCAGTTCGAGGCGGAGCCGGCGAATCTCGGGAGCGATCAGGAGGAAGAGGAGGAGCGCCGGAAAAAGCGCCGCAGCCGGCCCAACAGCAGCCGCTCGGTAGGACCGCCAAATCTTATTCAAAATTAATATTTAATTCAGATTTATTCGTAAAACATTAAAGAGAAATGTAAAGCAATTATAAAAAAAAGATTTAAAAATATTTAAAAAATGAATTCAAACTGTTAAAAAATGAAAAAATTATACAAATAATGAAGAATAAATAAGTTAAAGTAAATCTAACAAATTAAAAGGTTTGTAAAATGAATTAAATCTTTTTGAAAACGTAAAAAATTTTAAAATTTAGAAGAAAAAGAGAAGAACATTGAAAAAAGAAAATTAATTTGCGAATGTTCAAAAAAATTACTTAACGCTGTGAAAAAAATCTTCTTAAGAATGCGGAATTATAAAAACTAACGGAAAAAAAAATATAAAAATTTTATATTAAAAACTATTATAAAAACTAATGCGGAATTATAAAAATGTTGGGAATTTTTAGTCAGGAAGTACAGTTCCTCCATGACAAGTGTAACCCATAAGCACGGTTTGTAGGAAGACTTTCTGTGACACTGCACTACGGATTTCGAGCTAGTTACTTGGCACTTGGCAGTACAGCGCTACGTTACGTACCGCACACCGTCAACAAAAATAATAAGAAAATAAATAATTTTTATTGAATATGGGATGAATATTATTTAATACTGGTCAGATGATTTTTATTTTATTTTGGAAATTTGTGCCATTTATGAATGATGGATTTCCCCTTGAAGAATCTGACGCGATCGATTCTGGACGATGAGCCGACGGCCGGGCGGGGCATCGGGACGACGCTGGAGTTGGCCATGAAGAAGGGTCTGATTGAGGACGTGGCCGAGGCGAAGAAGGCCGCCGCGCTGAAGAGTCTGCGCGGCAAGAAGAAGTCCTCCGTCCCGCAGCAGCAGTACACCGTCGAGGATAAGAATTTGTACGTACACCTTTCGCCAGCAATTAAATGGATCAATTATTTAAGTTACTAAAAAAGACATCATTAATTATTAACTTACTAAAAAAATTACTATTAAATTACTAAAAAAATTATTAACATATTAAAAAAGAAATTTAAAAATGAAAATAATAAATAATGATAGTACCAATAATAATAATTAATAAGAATAAATAATAATTTACAGATTAGCAATTAGATTGTTTGAATTATTAGGTTGTTGAATTATTACGTGATTTTGAAGGTATTATTAATACATAAATCAATAAAAAAGTTATCGCTTCTTTTGTAATTACCCGTAGGTAAAAAATTGAACAATTTTCAACAATAAATAATATGTGAATTATTATCAGAAAGTAATTCTGATAAATACGCTGTTAACACGGTAAAATGATACTTGAATTTAGGAATTATTATTAATAAATCAGTGAGGAATTACAGTCCCGTCATCCACTGGTTAAAAGTACATTTTAAAAAAATGTGAGAGTTTTTTTAAAATATTTAAGAGAATGCTTTGCATTTGAAAGATGTAGCACTCTTGAAAATTTGTCCTTGAGGGCAACGGCATGCCACTGTACTATGAAAATCGTCGCAGATCTAATTGCGTCAATTTATTGCGGTATTAAAATAAATTAAGAATTAACTGTTTTAAATTAAGAATTAATTGTTTAAATTGAGAATTAATTGTTTTAAATTGAGAATTAATGGTTTAAATTGAGAATTAATTGTTTTAAATTAAGAATTAATTGTTTTAAATTAAGAATTAATTGTTTTAAATTAAGAATTAATTGTTTTAAATTAAGAATTAAATGTTCAAATTGAGAATTAATTGTTTTAAATTAAGAAATAATTGTTTTAAATTAAGAATCAAATGTTCAAATTGAGAATCAATTGTTTTAAATTAATAAATAATTGTTTTAAATTGAGAACTAATTGTTTTAAATTAAGAATGAATTGTTTAATGTGTTTATTGTTGATTGCTAGTGATTAGTATACGCGTATGAATGATACGGTGTGGTGTGTGTAGTGAGGACGATAAGCGGACGCGGCACAACGAGCGCTACGCCGGGCCGCTGGTGAACTTCAAGGACAAGGCGGAGTATATTCCCTCCTTTAAGCTGGAGTACCACGACTCGGCCGGCCGCCAGCTGGACGCCAAGGCCGCCTTCCGCGATCTCTCCCATAAATTCCACGGCAAGGCCTCCGGCAAGATGAAGACCGAGAAGCGCGCCAAAAAATTCCAGGAAGACAAGGTAATGCGCCCACAAATAAATTCGACCATATACTATTTTTTAATAAATTAATTCCAATATGAATTGTCTCCGAATTTCGGTAATGGATGAAACATTTAAGAGTAAACACTGTACTCGATATTTGTCTTATTTATTTTTTTTATAAAAGATGTACGAAAATATTTTGGTGTTCAAAAATATTGTGGTGTTTAAAAATATGATTTCGTGAATTTATTTGTTACTTTCTTTGAAAATTTTGTGTAAAAAAGTAGGCAAAATATCATGGTGTTCAAGAATATTTTGGTGTTGAAAAATGTAATTTTTTTATTTATTTCGTTGTTTTCCTTGATAATTCTTTATAAAAATGTAGATTTCGTTTCTGGTGGATTTTATTAATAAATTATTTGTGAATTCTTTGTGTAGTTGTTGCAAGAAATGTCCTCGGTGGACACGCCGCTGGGCACGGTGGCGAAGATGAAGCGCAAGCAGGAGGAACAGCAGACACCCTATTTAATCCTGTCCGGCGCCCACCAGACCAAAGCCCAGCATCTCCATCCGACGCCGCTCTCCAAAAAATCCTAACCGCCGAAATTAATTCTTCCCCATTTATTGCACGATTTTTTTCTTATTTTTTCTGTCATATTTACAATTTTTTGCAGTGTGAATTTAAATTAAATCTTAATAAACGCGAGTGCAGGTATTTTTTATCATGTTAATCAGCGTCTTTCTCAAGCAACAAATAACTGGCGAATTAATAAAAAAAAAACACACGCGTGGATATTGCGCAAGAGCCGTTTGATCACACCGAATTGATTTTAGCAAGCGAGCCAAGCGAGGAATGTAGCGTCGCCGTAAGGAGCGTTCCCAAAGAATTATTCGCAAATTAATTGCGAATTATTTTCGAATTAATTCAAATTAATTGCGAATTAATTGCAGATTAATTGCGATTTATTGGCGAATTAATTGCCAATATTAGGAGCGCTGCACGCGCGGATACAATGCCAGCAGATTGCGCGGCACGTAGCCCTGCGCCGCGGGCGGCGGCTCGGCGCGCTCCGCCCAGTACCACTCCGTTTCCGTCTCGTCGGACAGGCGCAGGATGCGCAGTTTGTCGTTGCAGCGGAAGGTTAATTCGTCCGCATTTTGAGCTAAAAACATTGAAAAACGTATAAATAAAAATAATTATGATTATTTTGTAATATTTAGGACAAATATATTCTGAATCAAAGTTAATGCACAGTAGCTTACTTTAAATCAGTAAGAATAATTACGACACCATCATCTAGTAAACGATTTATATAACAGAAAAAATTACGAATTATTAGGACACACAATTCCGATCAATTAAAAGCAATCAAGAATTATTACAACAACAACACCTCATCCGTGGAAATTAAACAGAGAAGAATTATAACGATAACAATATCTTAATAAGAAATTCATAAAAATTTAACACCACAGAATAATTGAGGCAAAATTATCGGACTTAAAAAAAAGCTCACAGATCACGTGCACATTCAGCAATTGAGAATTTCCAGGGCAGAACTTTATTTAACCACTGGGAAAAATCACTAAGATAGAGTAAAAACAATGTATTACGGAAACAGTAATTGTCTATTACTAATCATCTGATGTTATCCATATATTATTTGTTATCTGTCTAGCTGACATTATCTGTTACTGATGTATTTCTTTAATTATCTATTAGGAATTTAAAATTTATCTGGACAGAAATGGCACAAGAAATACAAATTAACTGTGCAGAATATATATCCCGGCTGGCGTACAACACATTACTGAACAGTTGTCAGACAGCCAAGGAAAATCGTAGAAGAGTGGCGCGTACTGACAATCACAATAGCCGCAATAATAACCGGCCGCTGTAGGAGTAATGATGATGGAGATGTCAATACATAACAATTTCAATACATAACAGATGTGGTAAAGAGGTTGCGGAAAACGGATACCATGGGCTAGCGTGCAAGAAGTGCATCGGGAGAAGGGAACGGCATAACGGTATTAACGATATCATATTGCGAGCGCTATGTAATGCCGGCATTGAGTCATATCCGGGGCCTATTGGCTTTTTGCGTGAAAACGGAAAGCGCCCGGATGGAGCCACGCGTTGGAAGTGGTATCGCGGACAGCCGTTAGTATGGGACGTCACTTGTAGAGACACGATGGCGGATTCATACATCGACGCGACCTCAAAGTGTGCTGGCGCCGCCGCCGAACTGGCTTGCCGGGAGAAGATTGGAAAATACAAGTCGCTTACTGATCGCTGTAATTTTGTCCCTTTGCATGTGAGACTTTTGGCACCTGGTGTGAGACCGGCATTGTTACGTTAAAGGAGATTGGTAAGAAGTTATTTTTAAGGACGGGCGAGAGCCGCTCTACCTGTTTTTTGTTTCAACGTTTAAGTTTGGAGATTATGCGGGGTAATGCTATGAGTGTCTTGTGCACAGTCCCTTCCCACGTTAATTGGGACAAATTCTTCATTTGATTATATTTGTTGAGCGAAGCTCGCCTTGTACATATTGAGAAATAAAAACTAACAATTTCTATTTTAACCGTAAGGCGAACACAGTTCAGAACACGCACCTTCGTAGGGGTAGACCGCGAAGACGATGTGGTCGTTGATGCGGCCGAGATCGTGCATACACTGCAGCAGATACTGCGAGCAGCCCTCGAAGTCCGCCTCGTCCTCCTCGCACTTCTCCGCCGCGCTCTCACTATCGCTGCTCGTCGTGGCGAAGATGCAGGCGCCGTGCCCGATGAGGAACTGACACCTGCCCCGTTTAAACCAGCAATAAGTGAGAATAACTGGCATTTTTATTGGCATTAAATCACTTTAAATGCGCCCATTATCGGAATTATTTTTTGTTATTAATTTATTAATAAAAATGTCCATTTTCTATCCACCAAAAGGGGAAATTTAGTATGATTATTAAAGTAATAATTTTCCGCATTAACTCTTGTACCTGCCAAAAAAATCTCAATAAATAGGAATAATTAGTGTTTTAACTGCATTAAATGCACGCCTTATCGGGATTAATTTTTTCTATTTATTTTAACAATAAACATGTCCACTTGAATTGTATCAAATTTATTATTCTCTGCAGCATTATTTTTTCTTTATTAAAGAATAGTTCTCTGCATTAAGTTTTTTTAACCGGCAAAATAAATTCCAAATAAATCAGAATAATCAGCATTTTCAATTCCGTAAAATCTGGATTAATGTTTAAATCAACGGATAAAATATGACGATTGTTATTGTTAATTGTTTTGAGGGTTAAAAAGACGCAGTGTGCTGTGCGTACATGGGGAGATTGTTGCAGGAGGCGGCGCAGTGCAGGGGCGACCAGCCGTCGCTGTCCTGCGCGTTGACATCGCAGCCGTACTCCACCAGGAATTTGACGATGGGGAAGTGGCCGGCGCAGATGGCGTTGTGCAGCGCCGTGATGCCCTCGTCGTTGCTGGCCGACGGATCCATCACCTGCTCCCATGCAAAATAATTTTTAAAAAAATGAGAAAAAAAAATCAAATAATCAGACCCCGCCTAAGCAATGTCAGAACAAAAACCCACAAAGAAAATCGCAATTATTACGATAATAATTACTGTTAAAAATCTGCCATAAAATTCGGAATATTATTGAATAACTATTAGCTTATAGTCACACACCACACTCAAAAACATCACAGAAAACACGACTAATCAGCAATACTCTGTAAGAAGAAACCACAAAATGATATCATAAATTATTACAAGAATTACGAGTACTGAAGAAAAAAAATCGGTAATAAAATCCCAAATATTATTCACTGATTGTATAGTCCGTAAGAATGAATGTAAGAAAAAGTTATTCGATGCGCTGAACACGAATTTTGAAGTCGGTTTGCTAAACAAAATTTGACCGTGAAAAGTTATGGAAATGTTCCGCTTTTTGCGAGTTTTTCAGATCTCGATAACTACGTGATGAAATGGCTAAAAACTCGTTTCTTTAATGTTTAATCGGTGGAAATTATCCGGAAAATATTTCCTAATCTATTATTAATGTGCCATAATTCCTAGTAAAATAAACATATCGTAAAGAAGGAATTACCCTGCATAATACGAAAAAAAATGTTTTTTCCACAGTAATTATTGATGAGACAGTGTGGACGCACCTGTTGACACGTTTTGATGACCAGCTCTAATTCCCCCTCCAGCGACGCGTCCAGCAGCAGCGCCTGCGGATCAAACTTCACCCGCTTGGCCGCCGCCTTCACTTCCGGCTCTTTCTCAGTAACCACGCCCACAATCGGCGGCGGCAACGGCAAGTCCTTGCTCCTGCGAATTACGATGCAAATTCCCTCACAGTTCCGGGCAATTTATTAAAAATGCCGTAATTTTAATTTAAATTCAAAGAAATCCGCAATTAAAAAACATACATTTTCACCATATTATTTTTCCGATACGAAAATAAATTCAAAAAATGGCATATTCGTATTTACGAGTGTATCAGTATTTCGCGGTGCATTTTATTCAATCACGCCCTCCATCGGCTATTCGTTTTTAAATATTTTTAAAAATTAGATTTCCATTTCATCAATTTAAATACAATTCTGAATCATAACATGAATTGTTCCAATTTATCTGCCGAATTTTTCCAATTTATTTCAGAAAAAAAATCATGGACACCGGGAAATATCGTAGAGCAACGGCTTCAAAATCTGTCCATAGTTAGTATTGGCAGCCACTTTCTAATCTTGTCACCGAGATTACACGTTTATAGTTTATACTAATTTTTTTGTTGTAAATATTCGTAAGTAACTTGGAAAATTCATTATTTAAATTTAAATGTTTAAATATAAATTATGTAAGTTCAGTTCTCTAAATTTTAAATTATTTAAATGCAACTCTTTAAATTTAATTATCAAAAAAATTAATTAATTTTTGAAATTAACTAATTAATTAATTAATTTTAATTAATTAATTTTTAAATTAACTAATTAATTAATTTTTTAATTGTAATTAAATTAATTAACTATTTAAAATTAATTAATTTTCCATCTGCAACGCCTACCGAGAATGCCGCCGGCCCTCCTTCGGGGCGACACCTTGAGCCCGCCCTCCGCCTCCCGTTCCTCCCGCTGACTCGTGCTGCTGTTCGACAAACTGGGGAACTGGATAAATCCAGCACCGCCGCCCGCTCGGCCTCGGCGGCCGACAGACAGACGGCGCTGTCGTCGCTGACGCTGTCCTCGCGCTGCAGCCCGCCCGCCGCCCGCGGGGGGTGGGCGGGCGCCGGGGTTAATAGGGACTTGGAGCTGGGACCGTTCTGCACCGGCAGGGTGGGTTTCTTCGTTTCCGTCGGCGGTTTGGCGGCGTCCGCGGGCGGTTTCCCGTTCGGCAGACAGCGCACGACTTCCTCGCAATAATTCAACGGGGCCGCTTTGAAGGTGTTCTCCCGCTCAGCGAGAACCGGTTTTTGCGGCGGGAGTTTCATGTTGTTCTGTTAAAAACATAGGAAAATTACCAGAAATAATTTTCGAAACATATGGGATAGAAAATCAACGAAAACACAAAAATCGAAAAAGATGTGCAGGAAATAAAGGATTTTCAAAATATAAATTAACAGAAACCCCATTTCAAAAAAATAAGAGTAAAGGTTAAAAATTTGCAGAATTTTTAAAAAAAATACCAGTAATTCAACAATAAGGGTTTTAGAAAATAAAACAAAATTGCTCAATGAAAATATACAAATAGGGAATTTGTAAGATTTTCTGTAAAACACTCTCCAGGAAAATAAAAACAACCGGATTTAAAACAATCACAAGAAAATTAACAGGAATAAATTTTCCAAAATTTATGAGAACATGAATAGGAAAATCCACGATTTTTACACAAAATTAATTGTACACAAATTGTACACAATTTTATTACACAAAAATACAGGATTTTTATAAAAAATAAATGAAGAAAATATCACGTAACTTAAAAAAAACAAATTAATTCATATAATTAATTAATTAAAATATAAATTAATTCATATAAATAACTGTTTTTACAAATACTCTATTATGAGAATAAAGTAGGAAAATCAAGGAGTTTTACAAAAATAAATAGGCAAATACGGATGTTTTCAAAAAATAAAGAAAATATCACCAAATTTTCAAAAATACAAAATAATTTATATAAATAAATTTTAATATACAGTAGGGAAATCCAGGATTTGTATAAAAAATAAATAGGAAAATACGGGATGAAAAAAAATAAACGAAGAAAATGTCACCAAATTTTGACAAAATACACGAGAACTCTTATAAAAAAATTTTAAAAAAATATCCACGAAATTTACCATCTCGGCATCCGACATGCCGGCCGCCGCCGCCGGGCGGGCGCCCGCATTCTGCGGCTGCAGCACCCGGCGTTTCTGGATGCGCTCGACCATCTCGTTGATTTTCTGGTCCAGCTGGTTTCTGGCCAGCGTTTTGTGCAGCAACGCCGTGTCCTTCTCCTCCACCTTGCGTTTCGTCTGCTGCACGGCGTGGGAACGCTGGCGCTGCTCGTTACGCAGGCGCTCCAGTTCGGCGGTGTCCTGCGGGGAGAAACGGGACTGCGCGGCGGCGCGCAGCGTCTGCTGCCGGCTGCGGTCTAACTGCTGTGTTAAAATGTCCACTTTGGCCACGGCCTCCGCTAGTTCGCGCTCGCGCAGGGCGAACACGGCTTTCGTCTTCTCCAACTCCTCGCCTGTTAATTTCAGGTTGATTTACACTAATTTTTTTGAATTTTGAGGGTTTATTTCTAATAATCACCATTTTTAAAAGTTATTTTTCCATTTTTTAATTTTCCATTTTTTTCCGAATGATTCCTCTATATTTTTTAAAAGCTATATAAATAATTTTCCCTTATATTTTCTAAATATACTATTTTAACTATTTATTTTGAAAATTTATTTATAATGATTCTGTTCAACTTCCGAAAAACAGTACCGCTTCCGAGTTATCTACAGTACCGCTTTTTATAAATTTTCAAAATTTAAATATACTAATTTTTCTGCATATCTGCCCGTTGTCCTGCCTAAAATCAAAAATACCGGTTGACGTAATTTATAAAAGAAAAAATCGGAATAATAATGTTTATGAATTTCCCAGCATGTCTTCTCCCAGTTTTCCAAAATTTATTTATATTATTTCCTATATAATTTTAGATGCTGTTTATCCTTTCAAAAAACGCAATTTTCACCGTCTGAAGAATTTAGACAATTTTCTTGACTAATAGAATTTCGTTCAAGTAATAAAGCGGAAACAGCGCAATTTACTCAGCAAAAAAATCTGAAGAAAACCAGGAAAAACTGCAAAAAACTGGGGAAAACTGTCGCACGTACTGAGCTGATTTTTGTCGACGGTCTGGCGTTCCAGCTGCGCCTTGAGCTGCAGGAGCTCGCGCAGACGCAGCTCCTGGGCCTGCAGATTGGAGCGGAGATGGCGGTAGTTGTCGAGTTTGTGCTCGTGGCGCTGGTACTGCGCCATGAGCATCTTGAGGCGTTCCTCCTTACTCTGCGCCTGCTGCCGCTGCATCTTCAGCATCTGCTGTCGCGCCGACGACAACCGCTCCAGCTCCTCCACCGACAACTGCTCCAGCCGTCCGCTCAACGTCTCCTCCACCTAAGCAAAAAAAATAAATTAATTTTACCATTAACATCACATTATTCTCTATGTTTTTCTATGTACGTGTAATGCTGACTGATTTTGTCAATGTTTCGTTTATTTAACAAAAATGCCACGTCGCGCGTTTTACGCGTAAAAAAATTCTATAAACGGCCTGATAATAGTCTGATACACAAAACTACAAAAATGTTTCCAAGATAACGTACAGACAATAAATAAAAAGAATATTTATTTGTACGTATAAAAAAACTGCTTTTCGTCACACAAATACGCAGTAAATAAAAGAAAACCCGTTTTGCCCGAATAAGAAAATTGTCAGCCCTCTGATAAAGTGTCATACAAAATCCACATGTCAAAAATAAATGCATAATGTTTAATTAAAAGTTTTTCTGAATAAGGATAAATTTTTCCAACATTACTGAATACGGATACATTTTCGGGCAAAAGAAACTATCGAACGCTCCAACAAAGACGCAGTAATAAAAAATAATACATAAATTCTGCAAAGGAAAATGCAGAAAAATCAAAAACTCAAAGAAAAATATTTTTACTATATATATTTCTTATAAACAAATTATAAACGCTCTAATAAAAATACAATACAAAATACGCATTACAAAATAAAAACTTCTACAGTTAATTAACGGCAAAAATTAAACCAGTGCACATTTTTGCCGGAAAAAAAATTTAAGCGTCCCCCAAAAAAAAAGACTATTGCACAATCTGCATTTGCAACACGGAAACAGATAATTATAACCAGTAAATTAATCGTTTAAAAAATTACCTAAAAAATTCCCAAGATTCGCTTTACCAGAAAAAAATCACCAAAAAATTATTATTCAAAGGAGAAGATGGGCCGACGCGTTGTAAACGTATAACTACGTAAATTATGCATCAGCACAGCCCCGGATGAGGCCCCACTTAGCCCACTTCAGCACGTTCGGCTGACGCCCAGCGGAATATTTCTCTCAAATCAGCCGGCGATGAAAAAACGGCACGAGCGATTTAACCGTAAAATACGCGACAAACGCGGTAAAGTAATAATTTCGGCCAGCGTCAACACCGGCGCGGCATTACTGCGCCTGTATTGCCGTTGCAAGTGAAACGGCGCATTGTGTGCGCGACGGTGTTACATCAACAGCGCCGTCCGCGGCCGTCACGGATTTTTTAACGCTGACTTTTCTATGGGGTGTCTTTTGTGCGTTGTACACACACGCACAATTTCCCCATTCATCGCCGGTAATTATCGCGAGTGCACTCGCGCAGAAGGATAAAATACCGTGCGCTCCATTTCCCGCCATAATAAAAATATAAATGCAGTCGGTAAAAATTTCACCGTCCATAAAACACCAATCGATACACTTTGCCTCTTATTATCGGAAATATTCTGAAAAGCTTATTCTTAAATTTGATTTAAAAATTACACCGATTATTATTATCAGCGATTTAACCGAGAAAAAAATTCTAAAAAACAACTGAAATTTTTACAATACCAAGGAGATACTTAAAATTGAATAATCAAAATTATAAACATTTTTCAAAAACCGAAAAGCCAACCGAACTGCCGACAGTATTATAAAACAAATAATTAAAACGTAGATAGAAAATTAAACAGCATTTTTCCAATATTGTAAATAAAACGTACTAAAAAGCTTTAAAATTCTGACTACGCTATAGCATAAAAAAATCGGAATTTTTGTAAACAAAATGCCTGCATTCTGAATAAATGAAAACGGCACCGATATTTTGCATGCAATTAAATACAAAATTAATTCAATACTCGTAAGTCAAAGATGGAAAACCAATAAAAGTTTGAAAATATTATGGCAAAATTTAAGACTGAAAAGAAATCATCGATAATTTTTATCATAAAAAAGCCAGTGAAATTTTGAATACTTGTAAATTACTGAAAAATTAAAAAATTTAGAGGAAAAATTTAAACCGGTTATTAAGAATCAGCTTTTTTTAATAAAAAAAAACTTATAACACGCCTACAAAAAACTCTGAAAAAATTACTGCAAGATTTAAATTAAACTGAAAACAACACCGAAATTCGTCATAAACGCCACTGAAATTTGGAAGATCATTGGAAAATTAAAATTTTAATATAACATTAAAGCAAAGACCATAAAAAAACTTCCATGTAGAAACAAATAAATGTTTATAAATCTGCTGTATAAAAAAATTCAAAACATAGATAGAAACTTGGACAATATTACGGTAAAATAAAGCGGCGAGTTTCTCCTGGGAAAAATATTTCTCAATATTTTTTTCCGACGTTAAAGCTCAACACCTTGCACGAAACCGCGTCAGCCCCATTATAAATGGAATGTTTTGACGCTTTGCATGATTATGAGGGGGGAAAACTGGTATAATAAAAATACAACCGCGGAGAGCCGAGCGAGTTCATGACATAACCTGCGGCCATCGATAAAGAGCTCGTTTGTTGCCGGTGTGCCAATGCTTGACGAGCAGCGAGTGCTGTGTCCATTTCAAGTGCAAGGTCAATCCTCCGCCGCGGCCGCACAATATACCGCATTATGCGCCAATGTCACTACTCGATATTCTCTCGTTGCTGCTCGAGCCAATGACAATAATTTCCATTGAAAAAAATACATATACTTATTCGGCTAATGATGGGCGATGCATAACAAGTGGCCGCCGCACTCGAGCGTTCATGCGCACAATGCACGAGCCAGCGTCGCCATTTACCTAATTGGTCAATATAATTTATTAGAAAAAAGTTTAGAAAAAATGGTTTAAAATATTTAAAATATCCGCGATGTCGCAAGAATAATAATTTCAACTATTTTCCAACTTCACTTGGAAAAGAACAAAAATATTTGAAATTATGTGATTTAATGTTTAATGTTTCCGCGGTTAAATCTCATCAAATTAATGGTAAATTCATTAATACAGACACAAACACGTCGAAGAAAAAAACCTAATCCATTAGCAAATTTTTTCAAATATTCTGCAGTAAATTCCCAATTTATTTTAAATTTACTCCTCATCCCTACCAGTACTTCTACCTTCCAAATTAATCCACAACAAATTTAAGCTAAGCATGTTATAAAAAAAAACTTTCCCGTTGTAGAATTCTATTCATTTGGCTTTTAATTTTGTATTTTAAAAAAACTAGGTAAATAATTTTACTATTCAACTCTTTTCGGCGCCTTTGCCACACATTACTTAATTTTTCTGTGCCACTACACTACACTAGCCCGTAAATGTACGTATGATAAAGATGATCGACGAGGACATTGTGTGCAGATTTTTGATAGGGCAGTTTGACTACGACTACAACCACACCAAATTTCATATTGCTAAATTTAAAGAGAACTATAAATTGTGGAAAATTCGTAATTTATAATTTTCTTAAAATAAGAACGGAATTATTATTTCACACTGGAATATTATTCCATTGAATTTAATTTATTTGAATTTTTTTCGTGCGAAACCACGGAATGCTCTTTGGAGATCGGATTAAAAGCATCACTGTCTATTTTCGTTACATAATTTTTCATAGAATTCATAAAATAAATTCGCTGTTTAATTTAAATTAATTTCTTTCCCTAAGAAAACTCTAGCATTCGCTGTTGAAAATGGATTAAAAACCGTCCGTGTGCAGTTGCACTTGTGACGGATAAAACGTCCGCAGCGGTAATGGGTGTCGCACTAGTGAGGGAAGATGTAGAACTTGTGGCGGGCACTTGAGGCCGCACTTGGTAAAGGGGAAGCGGACGCCATCCATATTCCATTCCCACGGCAAACACAGGCCTCTCTCGCGCTCTTCCTCATCCCCAGCCCCAATTAGACCGCAGCGAGCAAATCGATACCATTTCCGCCCGACAAGCCGCAGTCACCCCCCGGTCCCGGCCGATCGATGTGACTCGCCGCTTGATGGATGGGACAACACAAGAAAAAACTCCCCGGCCCAAATTACACAAACACGGTAACCGATACACTGTTATACCATCGGCCCTAACATCCACCAAAACAAAACGCCCAAAAAATACCAATTGTTGGTTGGCTGCAGAATTTAAGTGTAATTTTTTTGCTAGACAACTACAGCATTAATTCGCCATTTATTTCATTTTAAAAAAATCAAATTCGCTTATTGTAAATTAATTTGACTAATTCTCCCAGGATACAACGTCGTTATTTCCATCGCTTATTTAATTTTTTAAAGCTCAAATTCGCTTTTAAATTTGACCCTGATTTTTCTGACAGGAAACTAGTAGTTCAAACTACGGCAATATTTTATTATGTGGTTAATGTAATAAATCACACATTCGGTTTTTGCATTTTTTCAATTTTTTTCCAAGTAACTACGGCCATATTTCGTTATGTATTAAATTTTAGAGGAATTAAATTCGCTGTTAAATTTATTTACGAATTTTTGCCAACAAAACAACGGTGCTTCTTCATCTAGCACTTAATTTTTAAAATATAAATTTCCTTTTATAAATTATTTTTGCCAGGAAAATGCGGCTATATTTCATTATGTGTTTTATTTAAAAATGAAATTCACTTTTAAATTTATTTTTGGATTTTTGCCAGGACACTACGGCGCAGTATTTAATTTTAAAAAAATCAAAATTATTTTCGATATTTTTCTCAGGAAACAATGGCCTCGATCAATTTCCGGCCGACAAGCCGCAGCTTCCCGGATCGGATCGATGCGACTCCGCCGCGGTTGATGGATGGGACAACCGAAAAAACTCCCGGCGCAAATTGCACAAACACGGTAACACAGACACCGTCAACGGCCCTAACCATCCCCAAACATTTGCCAACAAAAATAGTTAAAATACGCAGCTGCGTATTTTCCGGCCCAATCGATACAATCTGCTGAGCATGAGCCTGATCAGCCGACTCCGCGTGATTACCCGCGAAAGAAAGAAAAAACACCGATGTACCCGTCAACGGACGGATTGGCGATTACCCCAGACGAACTCCGCAATGCGCTGCAGCGTGGAAATTGCGACGCGCAATAATGCGCTCAGTGCGAGACAATACCGGGAATAAATCGCAAGAAAATAGACTTTTATTGACAGTGTACAGCGGTTATAAAACAGCCCATACGTTCAGCAATTTATCAACAAAAAAATACCAAAATATTCACTACTGTGGAACGCCAAAAAACCATCACAAAAATAAATCAGAATTTTATTTTTCTAATTTATAAAGTCAAAAAATTATTTGTTACTGTCTTAAATTTGATCCGGCAATAATTTTCATTTACGTATTAGAAAATTCAGAAACAACTGAAACGGTACAGAACTCGCTAAACTAATATCGAAAAATAATAAATCAATAAGCAGATAAACAAAATTTATTAAAGCACACAGCCGAATAATTAAATAAACGAATATTAAAAAATATTTCCGTATCGAAAACATTCCTGAGAAAAATTACACATAATGTTCGAATAAAAATCCATAAAAATTCCAGCAACATTTTCCACAAAATGAATATGACAATATTTAGGAACTGTTTAAAAAAAACCCACGAAAATTCCACAAATACCTTACCTCAAAATAGCAACCAATACCTAGCGGAATAATTAATAAACTAATAATAAAAAATAATCCCGCATCGAAAACACCCCCGAGAAAAACTGTAGATAATATTCGAATAAAAATAAAAAATCCACAAAAAATCAACCAATACAGTATTTTCCGGAAAACGACTGGTTGAATTATCGACGTCTAATGCATACTTTAGATAAGACCGTCTGATTAGCCGATAAACGCGGGGCTAATCCGGCGGCGCTTAACACTCCGACCGCATTAAAAATGCAGGACTCACCATTGTCGTTAGACGGGGAGGATCAAGCGGATCAGCACAAGCAGTCAAATCCCCTGAGCGTGCCAATCGGAAGCGGAACAGTGGCGGCCGATATAAAAATCCCCGGCGTCCCGTCAAGCAATGAGCAGCCAATCATTCACCGCAACCACCACCGATCAATCCCGTGTTTCTTCCCTAGGAAAAACAACAGTCGCCGCGTACAGATTATATCATCGATGGAGGAGAAATAATCGAATCACTCGGTTCCGCATCGATAACGCGACTGCGCGCGCGGACACACACACGTCAGGTAGCGCCGCCGAATAACAACCGTCAAATGCGCTGCCTGACCGGAAAACACGGCCACTACACACGCCAACAACGCGATTTGACCCCGCTGACTGGGTACGTGTACGACAAGATTTTGCGGGTGATTTTATTTGTTAAAATGTTTTATTCTGCGCAGATGTACGTCGGCGGCCGACAAATCGCGTCGCAGTATTTTTTGTACAGACGGTACTTTGTTGGGCGCTCCTTCAACCCGGCGATTATGCCCCATTAGACGTCCGTGCGGTGTATCCAATAACGCCGAATTATCGGTGGCGTCTAGCGGTAAATATATGCTACGCGTATACACTAATGGATAGCCAATGTTCCTAATGAATTACTGTAAGCAAGAAAAAACGCCGCGTTAAAAAAATCCACAGCATAGTGAATTTCTTCGCCACAGAATTAAATACCAACAGCAAAATAAATACCGCATTAGAAATAATTACTGCAAATACTGTATATTCTTTTCCAAATATTTTCCCCAAAATAAATCGTACTTTACGGGAAATATACACTTTTCCAAATTCAAAAATCACCGAGCGTATAAAATTCATGTTTAATCAGAAAATCAGTACAATTCCCTTTCCGGTCATTAGGAAATAATAAAACAAGCCCTACAAAATTAATTTAAAAATAATCAACACGGCAAAATAATCAAGTCGGAAAAGAAGTAAAACAATCTATTCGGCAAATACAAAATACTGAAACCAAAAGCAAGTGCGCTTTTTTTTCATTATTATTCATATTTATAATTTTCGGCTCTCTGATCGACGACAGTAACCGTGTTTAGAAAAATTGGTAGCAGCACAATAATAACAAATGTTCAATTAGTAAATGAATAAAGACAAATTCAAAAGTTCGTCAGCAAAATAAATTTACGCTTCATGCATTTATTTTAAATGACAAGAAAAAAGCAGAAAATTACTGGTTGTTAAAAAATCAGCAGGCGACTGAAACAATTTCTATAATAAAATAATTATCACTACGATCAAGTATTTGGACGCCCACTGCACATATCGGTATGATTAGAAATGTAAAAATGGAAGCAGCGATGTAATCGCGGCTGAGTCGTTAGACGGGCCAGCCCCGTCGGAATGCGAGGAATTTATTATGAATGAAAACAAATAAATGTCAACAAAGCGTATCAGCCAGTTTGCCCCCCTTCATTTTACATTTTCACTCTCTGCTCCGCACACGCGCAGCATCACAACCGGATTTTTACGGCTCCCTCCTCGCCTAACAACAGCGGAAACATCACTTCCATTTTCCAATTACGCTATTTATGTACGAAAAATTCCCACAGCGCAGGTTTTTGTTCAGCTCTTCCAAAAATTGTTCACATAAATATTTCTGCAATTTTTGCAAAACCAGAAACAGGCTAACAAAACTGAACAAATAATCTGCCCTTATAAAAATAACATGAAGCAGGTAGAATGTGTTATAAGTGATCAAAGAAAAATATGGAAAAATACAAAATTACTGAAACACTGCTTCTCGTTATTCACTGACTTAAAAGTTAAATTTATCAAAACAAATTCTATTAAAATTATTTAGTTTATTAAAACTTATTTTATTATTTTTCAAATAAACTGGTTATCAGTTATTTTATAATTTTGGTAAATTTATAATTTTGGCAATCAGTTACTTAAACGACAACGCATAAAAAATCCGCAAAATTAATAACTGATTAGAAAAATATTCTGGACATTTTCGGTGATACAGCAACGGTTTGGAAATATTTATAATATTTAATTTAGAGTTTAGACTATTATGACAGCGAAAGACTGGACTTCAGGCTTCTTCAGCGATCGAATAGTTTCTGGCTCAAATTAGCGAATCCAGCACCCTGGCTTCCTTCCGACTCTTCTACTTTCTTCCCCATTCGCAGAATAAGAAACGATCTCAACGATTTATCATGAATTGTATGATTTCTCGCATTGTGCAATAACAGTATAACAGGAAAATGGAAATCCAAATGGGTTAATTATTTATTGCAGATTGCTCAATAAATGATAAATCCTCATCGACAATGCTACCAACCTTTTCCCACTAACCTGGCAGAAATCCACAACGTATCCCGCACAAATCGTTCAGCAAGGCTTCTGTCACAGTCCCGACCAGACCACAATCACCAAAGGTTCGCTGTTGCGCGCATCGTCCAACGTTTCTACAGTGGCAGTTGGGGATCGTGATGATCAACAAAAACTCGTCTGAACACGAATATCAACCAAAATATCCTCACGCCTCTTGGCAAGACTGGCAGCGTGACAGTCTCGCTGCAGATTGTCGGGGTATAATCACATAATCACATTACATCATCAAAAATGCCAGGCAGATACGAGGAAGAAAGTAAAAACAAAAGTTTACAACTTGAAGATAAGCCAGGATGATGAGGCAGTGAAAATGTCGGACGATGAGGAAATCAACGGCAGCGACGGTCGGACGGTGCATGCGTGCAGCAACGTGACTGCCGCTCCGCGGCGATGTGGTGTGCGTGTAAGCCGCTACCGCCTTGCCGGCCGCAGTAGCATGGAACGATCAGTCTGTGGTGTGTCAAACGCACTGAAAACTGCGAAAATGGCTTTTTCTATAAAGTAATTAAAGTACGTACTTGTAAGTTTCAACTCAGATAAATTTACTTTTAACTTACGTACTACTTAAATACTTTGGATCATAAAAAATAACAATATCTATTCGGAAAAGCCGGGAAGAGGAATAAATCGACCAAGGAAACGACAAGAATTTCAACCGCAGACTGGTAATTTACTGCCTGCCATTGGAAATTTACTCGTACCAAAGCCGTAGCATTTTCCCTTAATTTAGGCAGGATCAGCTGCATACCGCAGTATCCCGTTTCTCCAGCCTGCTCGGGAATTTTTCGCGCATAAAATGCAGCAGTGCATAATGTGGCAGCCGGGTCAAAAACACAGCGTTTCAATCACTAATGGAGAAAGAAAAGCGTTCGGTTTCCAGTGAGGAATACAGTACTTTCCTCGAAGACGTTTGGCGTTGTCTGTTTGTGTTTTAGGTTATTGGTATGCTTTATTAATGGCTTCCGAAATGATTGGTTTCTGAAATGAATGATTTCCGAAATGAACAGTTTCCGAAATGTTAGGGTGCCATCAAGGGCAAGAGCACCGAGGAAGTGTGTTTCTGTTGGCACGCACTTAGTTTGTACTTGTATCGCGATACTTAGTAAAGGTCAGTTTTTGTTCCTTGTTAAAGGATAATCAAATAAAACTTCAACACCTGCTACGAATATTATACGAGCGGCAACTGCTGTGATTCTGTGAACCAAACTGACGAACAACGATTGTCATGTTCCAGTATAAGCTGATGCAGAGCATAGGCTGTAGAGCGCTGAAACGGCCTATGCATTTGCGGAATTATTCGCAGACAGCGATTACAGTTTGATTAACTGCGCTACTGCGTGCTGTTCTTGGGAAACACCAGCAGCGTCATGCTCTGCACAATCCACTCATGAATATCCTGATGCGGTCGGAACAGGCACTGGATGAATCCTTCATTGGCCAGTGTGACGGCCGTAAAGTATAATTCAGCGTGTACCAGCTGTCCGGGGCTGTTGATGAATTCGCTGTGACCGGATTTAACGCGAGGCGGATTTCCAGTGGAGGGCATCATCTCATTATCATCAGGATCAGGGATCTCCCGGGCAGATCCATAGGGCTTCTCCCAGGGACCCTGGACCACGCGGCCATGATGGACCCACATCACGTGGTTCCGCAGATTCTCGAGAATTCCTATCGGGATGGGCAGGCGAATGCTACACTGCACCACGAAGCGCTCGCCTTCTGTCGCCGTCAGGTAGGGTGTGTCAGACGCTGCGAAGACATCCCCACGGTGGGTGATGAGTGGCAGCAGCAGGAAACGCCGCAGGACGCGGCGGCGGGTCGTGTAGATCTGGTCCACGGCGGGGTCGATGACGCACTCCACGACGCCGCCGGAGCGCATGGTGGCGTTTAGCACGACAAAAATCAGGGTGTTGTTAACGCGGTCGAAACGATAAGATTGCCCGGTGGTGTCCATCACCGGCAGCGGTTGCGGCTGTCCGGCTGCGAAGACGGTCCAGTCCTGGTGCAGCCAGGACACATGGTGCCAGCCAACGCTGCCAGGGACTTGGCAGTGCAACGTGACATCCTCGCCCAGACGCGGTCGGTACACCACGCTCTCCGTCACGATATGGTGCGGAGCCAGCCCCGGCAGTACGATGCGGTCATCCTGCCGGTGATGCATCATCGCCTCCGCCAGTACGTCGGTCACTAACATATGCGGACCACTTTTAATTTTATGATTTTATTTCTCAATATGTACAAAGCGAGCTTCGCTCAACAATTATAATCAAATGAAGAATTTGTCCCAATTTACATGAGAAGGGAGTCAAGTGACTGTGCACAATACACTCATAGCATTACCACGCATAACCTCCAAACTTAAACGTTGAAACAAAAAACAAGTCGACTCTCGCCCGTTCTCAAAACTTTTAATTCTTGTTCAGAATTGCAAAAACAAAAGCTGTTGTACCTTACGATACGAGCACACCGGCTCTGTTAAAAGTTATTTCGATTACTCGCATATTTTCCGTCACTCTAAATGTACGTTATCGAGTTATATAGATTGGGGTGAAAATGATCATGGTACGCAGCAGCAGGTGTTCACTCTCTCAAGGTTTACTGTACTCACACTTGTCTGCCGACGACGTCGACTGCCGGGCTGGCGGCAGATATCACGCACACACATTGAGTTGCAGCAGCAGCATTACACACCAACTGCATGTGCTTGGATGGAATCTCGACCTCCGTTTAACCGCAGGCATTGTAGCCGCAAGCAAGAGAATTTCGGTATCCTGTGAAGTGTGTAAGTACTGTATTTTCACAAGTTTAAGGAACACGAAAATGCCCTAGGTCTGCTCGCAGCCACCCGGGGCCTGCAGCTACGTTCAATGCTGCTCACTGAACTCTGAAATCAAAAATTGCAGTTTTGATCTTTGAATTTACTGTTGCTCATTACCTGGCCCCATTTTATTGTTTCATTTTTTGGATATCCAGCCAATTAATAACAGGACAAAAAAATGTTCGCAAATTTGATTCCTAGAGACTTGGAGTAATCCATCGGTACGGCCTCTGTTCAACCGCTTTGCACCTTGAAGTGACGGCCTAGCTTCAGTCAGAATCGCTGAACAAGAGCGGAATTTTGCTCTGCTCATTCTCACGTCCATAATAAGACAGCCTTACCTCGTCAGAATTAAGAATCCGGGCAAGGAAAAGAACTAGACTAAATGACACAGCCACCAAAGCCTAACCACGTCTGCAGAAATGCAGAGAAACGATGTTGCCCCTCAGGGGCACCCCTTGCCAGGGGCATGCTCTGGCACACATCACACTGATGCCGAACTCACATTCCTGGGCCAATAAACAATGCGGGTTTGCAAATCATAAAAGAATCAATAGATATTTTGGAAAAAATAGTAAGTAACGTATACTGTGAGTTGTAACGATAAGATGGGGCCCCATAAGCCGTAATGAGCAACAGTAAATTCAAAAATGATTTAAATTGCAATTTTTAATTTCAGAGCTCAGTGAGCAGCATTGAACGTAGCTGCGGGCCCCGGGTGGCTGCGAGCAGACCTAGGGCATTTTCGTGTTCCTTAAACTTGTGAAAATACAGTACTATTATCAGTACTAAATACGAGTATTTACCGTAAATTCCGTAGTTGCATCTGAATAAAGACGACGGACAGCCTACACTTACAGTACAGCATATGCTAGGCAACATCTATTTGCGCTTTCTGGAGATACAGTCAGCAATAACACGCCAACAACATAAACAAAGGCTCCACGCAACGTCTGCTGCTTGCTTTGCTAATTTGCTCATCTGTGTAATGAGGACTGTCAAATATCAGCAGCCCGCTTGTATCTGCGGCACGACTGCTGCGCACGTATCGGTTACTCATCTTTCCGCTATGACTAAGAGAAAAAAATTGAAACATGTTCCCACCACTGATAACGGATACATTCGTAGAAATAAACACCAAATCTGACAGCACCGTGGATTCTGCAATAGATCTGCCTTCAGTGCCATTCACTACCATGGACAACGCAACACAACAAGCGGAAACTTATTAAGAAAAATAATTTCACATAGCTTAATGACAAGTAATTAATTTTTTCTTCATGTGTAATAAATTTGCTAATCAGGTGCTAAAAAAACCAGGTGCGAAATTACTAATTAGGGGCAGATTCGCTAATTAATTAGCTGCTAAATGTATGCTAATTAAGCGTGAATGACTCTAGTTAGTTCATCAAATTTTCGCTCAATTAGTAATTATTAGGTTAATTAATTAAACCTTATTATCTTAAACCTTAATGGCGAACTACAGTAAGCACGGTTCGGTTTTCTAATTCAGCAACTGATTCTCCATCTGACGGTCTGACCAATGCGCGCGGCGTTGTCAGTGAATCTGTCTGACTCACAAATCAGTGCGTGAGTTGTTGAGCACTCGAGAGTTTTGACCTCGATACAATTCGCATCAGAGTCCCAATACGTAAGATATTTGACAGCAACTAATGTATACTGTAGGCTGTTTCCGTAAATACTAAGGAGTAAGGATACAGCGCGCTGAACCACAAGATTAGCGACAATACTGAACGAAGCCGTGAATGTCCGGGAAACGGAATAAAGACTTTTGTCCAATCAAACATGTTCGGCGACTGGTCGCTGTGCCGGGACCGTGACTGCGCGCCGCGGTGTGCTGCTTCGCGTCACGAACTGTAAAGTACAAAGCTTAAAGGTTACGTTTTGTGTAAGGGTTTCGGATAGAGTCTTTATTTCGGGTAAACATGTTTTCAAAATTAATTTTCCAATTTCAAGAAACGTCGTGCTGCTCGTAGAAGAGACACTGAGTTTGCTCGTGGACTGAACAAAATAATTGGTAATACTTCTGATAAAGTATTAGACCGTAGACATTACCGTTTCGTAATACGTAGTGCAAAGAGTCAACTGAATACACTAACGTAGTAACCGAGGCTTTACATGTCCGGTTGCTAAGTAGATAAGGTCACAACAATAACAGCAATAATCACGAGATATCCGTACGTACTTCCGTTCGTATGTACGTCATACGCCACAATAATCTTGTTTTTCCTAATCGAGCGAAGGTCTTCCATGTTCAGCGCTAATGAAAATGCCGTGTCGAAGCGTCGCTCACCGCCACCAGATGCACATACGCACGATGGTTTGTGCAACCAAATGAAGTTTGAATTTCGGATTTCATAATGTGATAATGTGTGCTGGTGGCGGTTTTCAAAGGTCACCGATTATTTTTGTAATGGCTACTGGCTAGTAACGTTATCTCTGGCCACTGCATTACGGTAATTAATCTATGTTACTTTACGCAGTCCACTTATTTCGCGGGACCCGGGTACACTTATGCTCGGAATGCGAATATATACTGTAGATTTTAGACACTCATAATCAAAAAGACTCCCCACAGTAACACGGCGTAAACAAGACGTGCCAATAACGTTTCCAACAATATAGTCATCGGTCATGCAGTGCCCGCAAAAAGCGAAACCACTTCCTTGCTAGTGGACTCATGGCCTCTACATACATGTATGATCTTGTTAGCAACTTACTAAAATTAATTCATTTGGAATACTGTTTTATTTAGTTTAATTAAGTGCAGCAGGTGTGCATGTGTTACAAATTGACATGAAATTGTAATGCAAAACGATGAAGTCACCGAACTTGAACATTAGTCATGAATTTTGCATGCGGGGCACTAACCATAAGAAAATACCGGCGGAGCATTCGTTCATTCACTTTCATTGTCACCTACGATTCAGCACGTTACGTAGGCTGCTGGCAATTTGCGCTGTTTTGGTCCGGTATCGTACATGCATACCGTGGGGCTATTGTGTGGTGTTCTTAGGAAACACCAGCAGCGTCATGCTCTGCACAATCCACTCATGAATATCCTGGTGCGGTCGGAACAAGCACTGGATGTATCCCCCATCGGACAGCTGAACGGCCCGAAAGTGTAATCTGGCATAACCCAGCTGTCCGGGGCTGTTGGTGAACTCGCTGTGGTCGGATTCGATGCGTCCGCTGGTGAACCACGGGAGCCCGTACGGTCCTTCCCAGAGACCTTGGACGATGCGGCCATTATGGATCCACATCACGTGGTTCTCCAGGCTCCTGTGCACACGTTCCGATATGGGCAGGCGGATGCCACACTGCAGCGTGACGGTCTCGCCTTCGGTGGCGATCACGTACCGAGCACCGGGCGCCGCGAAGACCTCGCTGCGGTGCGTGACTCGCGGCAGCACCAGGAAGAGCTGCAGGATGTGGCGGTGCGTCGAATACCAAATGGGTCGTGTCGTGCTGGGGTCGATGACGCACTGCACGAAGCCGCCGGACCGCATGGTGACATTGCGGATGACGAGAATCATCGTGTCGTTAACGCGGGTGAAATGATAGGACTCCCCGGTGGTGTCCTCCGCCGGCAGGGGTTCACCGCCTTCAAAAACGGCATAGTTCTGGTGCAGCCAGGACACATCGGACCAGTCGATGCCGGCGGGGACTTCGCACTCAAAAGTCACATCCTCCCCTAACCGGGGCCGGTATACCTCGCTCAGGCTCGATGTCCGTCACGACACCTCTCGAGGCCAACTGCGGTAGCACGATGCGGTCGTCCTGTCGGTGATGCAGCATCGCCTGCGCCACGATATCGTTCACTACAGAGCGAATAAATTTTAATCAGATTTTTGTACAATTCACGACTCACGGGCACTAAGTCGGCAAACGCTGCGAGCCTGCGACCACCGTCGCATGAAAATAACATCTAACGAGGCATAACAAAGCTAAGCCACGTGTAAAGCTAAGAAACATAAGGAACCTAAGAAATGTAAGAAAACAGATAGTTTATCAAAACAAAAATGGGTTAAGGGATTTGGCCCGGTACATAGCACCAAATTCGTGTACATACACGGAAACTTTCGCTGTCGCGCACTCCCAAACACTTTTTTGCATTGCTGTATGGTAGTTTGTAGCCAAAAGATTTGTATACATAGGCGTGAAATCCGTTTGTGCGCGCAACATCCGGTCCGGGAGTTATGGCTGTTAGAATATTCCAAAAGTTTAAATGCATTCAGGTGTACCAAAAGTCTCATTATGGACCGATCCCTTTCAAATTTTGCACATAAATGCGCATTACCATGAAGATTGTTTTGGTACGGATCCAGACTTTCATGATTTTTTTCGAATTTTAAAATGAATTTTAAAAATTTTAAAATTCATTTTAAAATTCGAAAAAAATCGTAGAAGTCTGGATCCGTACCAAAACAATCTTCATCGTTATGTGCATTTACGTGGAAAATTTGAAAGGGATCGGTCCATAATGAGACTTTTGGTACACCTGAATGCATTTAAACTTTTTGGAATTTTGTTACCCTCATAACTCCGCAACCGAATGTTGCGCGCGCAAACGGATTTCACAACTACGTACACAATTCTTTTGCCTACAAAATACCATAATGCAATGCAAAAAAGTGTTTGGGAGTGCGCGACAGCGCAAGTTCCCGTCGGTGTACACGAATTTGGTGCTATGTATCGGGCCAAATCCCTTAACTCAACGACCGGCTCGGCGGCTCGGCATCGTGCTTGCTCGATCTCGTGACGGTCAACGAAATCTCTTAACTATAAATTGGCAGGTCGCCATTCATTACTCGCCATTCAATACTCGCAGGAGCTATTCACAGTTGACCAATTACGGTGCGATTCCTAACCGGGCCGGCCCGGTTAGGAATCGCAACGTAATTCGTCAACTATCATTGACACAATAGTGTAAATAAAACGTAACGATTTATAGGTAAACAAAAACGTAAGGATTTAAGGGGTATTGTGAATCACACGTATCACGTGTCACCTAACGTACGAAAAAAAGTGCTGAAAAAACTATCATTGACACAAAAACTTTTAATAAGGGGATACAAATAGTAATGCAAAAATGTAAAATTCTACAGATTGTGCACAGGTGTTCAATCTCTCTGGCCTTCAGTGCTCACATTTATCCGCCGGCGACCTTTGAGCTGATGGCAGACATCCCCAACACACGCTTAGTTGCAGCAGCAGCATTACACACCAGCTGCATGTGCTGGACCCAAGGCAGGCACAGAGTCGCGTCCTTCGTTCGTAGGCCGACATCGTAGCTCGGTTACAGCAGGATAACAGAGTTTGTCATTCAGAGTAGCAAAAAAAACCTATTAGTATTTAAATTTCAGCACGAAGTAATGATTATTTTAAAAGTAATCGTAATCATTGTAATCCTTACTAGATATTGCACCTGCAGCACACGGTAAACAGACAACACGTTAGACAGACCAAAACGGCAGCAAGTACAAGCTGATCCTGTAATTTCTATCGTAACCGTAATGTGGAACCAACAACAAACCAACAGCTTCGATTAGAGACTCTAAGCAACTGCAGCTGCATATGTTTTTGGGCTGATTGTGCACCGTAACGGTCGTATGTGCAAATTTGTACATAGTACTCATTATTCATCAGTCAATCACTACAAAGTTCCAGGCCATGAAGACAACGACAAATGTTAGCACGAAGCCGTAAACGACGGGAAAATGAAGAAACTGGTCAAGAAAACAGGCGCAGGCGAAGCACTGATGATTGATCCACCATGTCACATGCGGAAGGAGACGTGCTCGTTGTTATTGTGCCCGACAACGTCCACTGCACAGAAGGCGGTGCGTGGCGTGGCGCAACTGTGCCGACGTCAGAATGAGGACCAGCGGGTCGAGCGCCGTCTGCAGGAGGAAGAGGAGACCGGCAATGCCGCGGATGCCGGCGTGCGGCAGTTTGACGCGGATGAAGATGTTGACGCTGGCGAAGCCGACGGAGGGCAGCCAGCAGATGAGCAGGCTGACTGTTAGCCCGGCCAATAGCAGCAGTCCGCCTTTGGGCTCCCGCGGGGCGGCGTTCTCCTGCGCTTCCTTCGATGCATCGGCCGCTTTGCCGGGAAGGTGACCGCCCGCCGCGGTGGGCTGCTCCGTGTCACGAACTGAAAACCAACAAAAAATTCATTAACATATTCTAATTTAAAATTCATTAACTTAAACTCATTAATTTAAAATTCATTAACATTTTCTAATTTTTTTTTAAAAAGTAACATTTTTCTACCAAATTTAGTGCAAAATAATATGTGTTAGTAAACTAATCCGAAAAATTAAAACACATGTATCAACTAAATATTCAAGAATTAAATTTAATAAAATTCGTTGATTTGAATATGTATTAAATAGTTCTAATAAAAGTTTCTAGATTTAAACTAATTAAATTACAATTTAAAAAAATGAACTAAAATAAGTTTCGAGCTGGAAAAGGTAATTAAGTTGTCGAAGAATTATATTTTTAAATAACCCTGATGATCGTTTGAAGTTTAACATTTCTGTAGTCTCTACCAATGCAAGTTTACTGCTGTTTGAACCCAGATGTATAATATAATCTGGATTTTAACTTAAATAAAATGAATTTTCAAAGGGCAACTTTAACCATAGGGTCATTATGTAAATTTTAAGTACTGTACTTAAAATGTTTGTTACAAAAATTAGGAAGGAGACAAATCCTAGGAAAACACGAAGCTAATTTAAGCGTTTTTCTTACTGTGCACGGATAGCCGCGTGGAACGCTGCAGCGAGAGCGCCCGTGCCACCCGCTGTTTCCGGCGCTTATGTTGCCGGCACAGCAAAAACACATTGGCCGCCACCATAAACCCGATGGGCGCAATAGCCAGCAATATCTCCCCAACAATCGCCCACACCCGCAATCGGTCCACATCCAGCATACACACCCCGGTGACCGTCACCGGCGGCCGCTCCCCGGCGTCCAGGACAATCCCCGGGAGGCTGATGGAATGCGGCAGCACCCAGGCCGTGACGCTCAACAGCAGCGCCGTGACCGGGGTGTGGTGGTGGCGGTAGTGGAGGGGCCGAGTCAACGCCCATAGGCGGTTGGCCACGATGAGGAGGTGCGCCTGGATGATGATGGCCGGTGGGGCGTTGGTGGAGTACAGGAAGACGGTGCAGGCGGTGTCGGAGAGGGTCCAGTGGCCTCCGGAGGCGGTGGTGCTCAGGATGTGGAGGGGGCCGTATAATGCTAGAAAGAGTAGGCTGGCAAAGGTCAGGTTGAGGATGTAAATGGAGAAGGTGGAGCGGAGACGCCGGTGGGTGGCGTAGAGTGCCAGGACGGTTAGATTAAGTAACAGGCCGATAAGTAAAAGGAGGAGATCCAGGATGGGTAACGCCTGCCATACCGAAGACCGGGAATCGCCGGTGTGATTCAGTGTCCCGTTCCGGTTCATAGAAATTGGTGACAATTAAGTCTGATGCAGCGGCGGTAATTCCAGTTTCAGTAGCGTATATTACAGTTTCTACAGTCAAAATTTTTGTTATTGGATGTTAGAAGCGTTTCAGTTTATAATAAATTTGGAAGGCAAGTCCAGAGCACGGGCGATGATTTCAACTCCGGTAACGTATATTAAAGTTGCTGCGGTTAAAAACCTCGTAGTTAAATCTTGACAGTGAAACGGACAGTGTGCTGGAATTTTCCAGCGGGAGTATATAAGTGACTCTACAAGATAAAAGGTCACCAAGAATAATTTGTATTATGACAATAATGTCGCATGGATAAAAATTCGTGGAACGGTGCGATATAACATTTTTCTCGGGGAAGTGCAGATGCAGTTGAACGTGTAATGTGTAATGCAGCGTAATGCAGTTGAACGAGCATCTCTTCCACTAAAGAAGGAAATTAAACAATGCCACAGAAGGTGCGACGCGGATCAACGTGATATTGAACTAATATATATCGTACATGCAGTGATTCAGATACTCCTCGTTGGCCGTTGATTGGAATCTGCACTACTTCTGCTTCATTGGAGACCAATTAACGCCTACCCATATACGCCATAAATAGACAACGTAGTGCTTACGTACGCTACTTCCGCCACTAAAGGCTACGCGAGCGGGTTCAATGGGAGAAATTAATTTTAACGAGAAATATCTGCCGGCCATCGACATTTGTACGTTCACATATTAATCAACAACGCTTTCCTGCATCGACAGGATAACTCAGCTTGAGGATCTGCTGTAATGTTACTACTCTGTACGGTAGTATTATCTCCTAAGGTATGCATTAAAAACCACTTCGCGCTTGGGATTGAACTTTGTAATTATCGCCCAGGAACGAAGATTTACGACAAAGCTGCAATTGCATTATAGACCATTAACAGATAATTAAGAAGCATAAATTATTCATAAGTGAAAAAATTTATCTCATCATTCAGTTAGGCTTTGATCTGCAGCGGCACTGCCGGCACCGGCGGTCGTCGCTGCCACACCCGTTTCACCATCCGCCCGATGACCTTGCGCAGCTCCGGCGTGGCCAACACCAGCACCACGGGATCCGCCACCGTCTGGAGCAAAAACAGGAGGTCGGAGATCCCCCGCGCCCCGGAATGCGGGTGCTTGCGCTGCGTGAAGGAGTTGACCACCATGAAACACACACCCGGCACCCAGCACACCACCAGACACAAGGTCAGGCTGACCAGCAGCACCAGCGCCCGCTCCGGCTCCCGCGAACTCATCCGGCAGGCCACGCTACTCGGTGCCTCACTGCTCGCGGCGGCGCCCGTCTCCGGCCAGCTGATGGACAGCGCCCGCTTCGTGCGGCTCTGCAGGCGGCGCTTCCCGCGGCACACCAGGAAGAAGTTAGCGCCGATCATGAAGACCAGCGGGAGAACACCCACGACGATCTCCCCAAAGACCGCCCAGGCAAGTTGGCGGTCGACGTTGAGCAGGCAGATACCGGTCCACGGTGCCGCTTCGCTCGTCGTCCACCGTGGCGCTTCGCTCGTCCTCTTTGGCATCGCTTCGCTCGTCGGGAATACTGCTTCGCTAATCGTCCAGGCCGGCGCTTCGCTCGTCGTCCACGGCGCGCCCGCTTCGCTTGTCGTCTGGTAGTATATCCCGTCCAAAACAACTCCCGGCACGGTGAGAACATTGACCAGCGTCCACGCCGCTACACACAATCCAGTGGCCACTTGCCGGCTGTGCAGGAAATGCCGGTAACTGATCGGACGCAGCAGCGCCCACAGGCGGTTGGCCACAATCAACGTATGCGCATAGATAATGCATCCCGGTGGGGCGTTCAGCGTGTAAATAAACAAACTGCACCAGGCGCCGTGCAGGGCGTTGCGGAGGTTGAGTAAACTGAGGGGCCCGTAGGTTAGCAGAAAAATCAGACTGCATCCCAGGAGGTTAACCAAGTACACCGTGAAGGGCTTCCGCCGCAGGAAGCGGTGCGTGAGGAAGAGAATGAGCACCGTCACGTTGAGGAGGACGCCCAGCGACATGGTTAGTATGTTTAGAATCGGGAGGGCGGATTTGACGGATGCGGGAAGGGATTCCTCTAGGGCGGCGGCCGCTTGGGAGAGGGTGGTTGGGGCGTCGGGATCCGGCTGAGCGAGGACGATGTAGTTGGACATAGTCCATGTGCGGTTGACGCCGGTCATCATCTCGCCAAGATTTACTATCCAACAATTAGGCCAAAGGTCACCGTGCCATATATATACGACGGTGCCGACTTCTTCCACAAAGGTCACCACATTCGGTCAATGCACGAATAAATCTCCCGCAATACAACTACAGTAATTGACTAAAAAAATTTGATGTCCAACATTGTACGGTTAGCTAATGGTTGGCGGGATTAAGGGCTTTTCCATACGATGTCGGCAAATATTTCAAAAAAAGGTCACACCATAAACTTCTCTTAATGTGCAAAGAATTTTCACATAACACCGGTTCACAATTCTAAAAAGGCTTTGAATTGAGCTGCAGATTATTACATTAAGAATCACACTGTTAAGAAATCCGGATGTCAGAAATATTAATCATCGGGTTGCTATCAAGCCCAAACAGAAAACATCCCGAACAACAACGTACTGATTTGAAACGCCGGCATCTGTCAGAAATAGCCAGCGAGTAAACAAACACACGGCCGTGAGCGGGAGATTGCCGGCGATAGGATAAATATACGTCGGCCTGATGAAGCAGCTCCATTGAGTCAAAGATGTAGCGTATGTTGACCTTAACCTCATCACAGTCGGCCGCGACGACGCTCAGCATTTTGCCGGAAACGCGACGAAAATGATAAAAATTTCACAGTTTGACTGGGTAACCGATGCAGTTCAAATTTCCCTGCGATATGCAGAGCAGAAAGGTCACGTCGATTGTCCACAACAATTACGACAACATCGGTGGTTCGTTCTGTATTACACGGCTGACTATAAGACGCGACGGAGAAAGGAGGCCGATGGGCGAACAGACCATCGTTGTCGTAATTTCTTCGACGCTGTCCTATGAGCAGGCTGAGCCTGCTCATAGCTGCTATGAGCAGCCGGTCGTTATTCATCTGGTGATAATGCCGCCATAATGCCGCACGCATATGTCGCGGTTTATAGTGAGCACGCGGTTTACTTATACTGATGAAACTGTGGTCATAAATTGCGCCATGATACGACACCACAAAAAAAAAACAACAACATACTCGCACAAATACATGTCAAAATAACAAAATCACCAAGTAAAAGCTCAAATTAATTACATCTTGTACAAAAAGTCAGAAATGCGTTGACAGACGAACAGAAGCAAAAGCAAAAAACAGTATATATTGCGGATTATTTCGTGGAATACATATGTTATTTATATAGAAAAATGCTAGTGTGGCACAGATTTATCTAATCACTGACTGTAGTCAACTGATTATTTCGTATCGTGACAATTTTATCACGCATTGTTAAAAGTTGGACGTTACATTAACGTGACAATACGCTGTCTTATCGCTCAAAGGTCAAACACATTGTCTTCGTTTTTTCCGCACAGCGCTACCGTCTCTCAACGCAGTACTACCATTTTGTGGTTGGAAAATTGTGGAAGACACCGAAAAATGTCTGTGGTTCTTTCGGTTTTGTTGCTGGCCATGTGCGCCGGCGCCGCGCTCTCCCAGCAATCCCAGTACGTGGATTACCGTGCTGGCACGTTGAACCTGATCATCTCGGCGCCCCATGGCGGGAGCGCCCGTCCCGCCGCTATCCGCAACCGCACGGCCGGCTGCTACGTGGCGGCGACTCGCCGCTGCGAATACCGACACGGCTGCACGCCGGACAAGAGCAAATGCCCCACCGCCACCGACAAAGACATGAACACCTTCGAAGCCGCCGAGAAGCTGCGCCAATATGTCTACGAGCTAACCGGTATGTCGCTAACCGTACACAACATGCAGTAATTATTTCTGGCCAGTGGATCTCAGTGAGATCCACTGGCTGCAAATTCACGGAATTTCGATGAGTGCAAGTTGTAACACTGGCAGACCCGACCGCTGTTCTTCTGCGGCCGGGCATCGCGCACGCTATTTAGCTGTAATCATTTGCAGTTCTAAAACAGCGGATAATTATTGCGCTAACACGGAAACGCAGCGTGTGTACAGATACAAGAGATGTTTGGCACTGGTACCAAGGCTTATGGAAGCGTTCTACGTGTTGAAGGGAACGTAATGTGCGAAATCTGTTTGTTACCTTGATGTTCTTAGAGTATCCAGTAAAAATACACGACATATACTAAAAATACCATATATGAACATATACTGAAAACAGGGATATACTTTTGCGGTCTGATATATAACGGTACATATCGATGATATTAATAATGCAGGCCGGTATCCGTACTTCGTCGCCAATAAACTGCACCGCACCAAACTGGACCCCAACCGCGCCGTAAACGAAGCGGCCTTCGGGGAGCCCCTGGCCGTGACCACCTACGACTTCTACCACGCCATGATCACCGCCGCCCGCACCGCCCTGGACGCCGACCCCCGCTACGCCAGCCACCTCCTGATCGACCTCCATGGCCAATCCCACACCCACGAACTGACCGAGATCGGCTACAACCTCACCGCCGCCGAGCTGGACGCCGGCGTCTACGACCTGCAGCGCAGCAGCAGTATCCGCTACTTAGCCAACAAATTCGGGAATTCCAACCAGGTGGTCATCGGGAACATCAGTCTGGGCCGGTATCTGGAGGACGCCGGGATGAACGTCATGCCGGGACCCCGGGAACCGCGGGTCAACGGGCGCAAGTATTTCGACGGAGGGTACACGGTGGAGACGCATAATACGGCGCACAGCGACGCCATCCAGATCGAGCTGGCGCGCAGTTTCCGGCTGGCGGAAGCGGGACAGTTCGACACGAATGTGCGGAATCTGGCGGAGGGGCTGGTGCGGTTCCTGCGCCAACACTACCCGGAAAACGCCGGCGCTGCGGTTTAAGTTTCATGGTTTAGCATAAGTTCTTTGCTCCAGCTAGATTTTATCAGCTAATACAGCTAACTTTCGAATACTATGCTTTTTCGAAATTGTCACGTCTTGCAGCTAACTGCTATTTAACAGAAATGCGCAGTTTTGTCCCTTTTACAGCAACGTTTCAAGTTAAGCGGATAATAATGTGATTTTCGTTTTCGGTGCACGACTACGTAGAAGTACGCGGTTTTAGAGATTGTTGTTCATTTCGGTTCATCATTATCTGTAACCAAGCAGCTGCTGAAACATGAGTGTGAACATAATTAGGCATAAGATGAAAAAGTAAACGGTGAAACCGACTGAGCCGCGCTTTTCAATGACGCTTTTACAGTTTTACAGCAGCGCTTGCAAAGCAAATGCAGCAGCACGTCGTGAACGTTAGAAAACTGAATGCTAAGATCCACGAATAACGGTTTTGGTTGCTTTTTCAGTCTCCAAATTCAAATCATTTTCATTAGCGTCCATCAACGCACCTGCACAGGCATATACATGTACTGTACTGTGTCGTCCACTCCAGTTAGCACTGGTGTTTGACAGCAAACTAAACTCCTGCTATACTTAAGTTTAACGTACTTCATACGGAGTACACAGTTTCCAACGGTCTGAACACACTGCACAGCAAATCAGGTATCTTAAATTGTCTAAAATCTTAAATTGTCGAGACAATAAAAGTTTATTTCGTTAAAGGTTCTGAATTAAACTATTTTTGATCTACGAACAAATGTTTTGCTGCATCCGAATAAAGTCATCAGACTATCAGATCAAAAAAGACATACATGCTCAGCAGTTATTTCGGCGGCTGTTGGCAAGCGATAAAACATGGCACCTGCCTAAATAGCCAACCCGATGCGCTAGACAAGAAGCTTGCGAAATTTAACGGCGTGACACGGCGATTTTGTCACGATGCCGCTCTCCAAAGCAGCCGAATCGGCAATTTCACGCGCGTAGATTTGCATGCACACGGGTATATGCGCTTTATACGGCTAATGCTATTGCCTAGGGTAGTGCATGTATTGCCTTCCAGGCGAAAATCCGTCAAGTGGCACTTGTAAAACCGGCCAACATGCATTTTTACCGACATATTTCTCGAAGCGCAGACCCTGAAACCGAACTGTAGAATGCAATGGACAGCAGATTTCGGTAAAGACCCGATGTGCAACTGCTAACGCAGCTAATTCGCAATGCGGACGAATGGTACATAAAGCGGCTATTCAGCAGCAGCAGCTCAGACTTCTAGAGCAGACCAGTTTTTAAAGCAAATACTGTCTTGTTCCCTCAGCTAAAGATGCACATTTCCCTCTTGTTCTTGTTTAACACTCTGGATGGAAGAGCGTTTAACGAAGGACCAAATTGCGTTGGTAGTAGGTTAGACTGCCCATGCAGTTTGGCCCTTTGGTTAACGCTCTTCCGTCTAGAGTTTCATGTTCCACGAACAGGGATTACTTCCGAGGGTGTGAGGATACTGTGTGGATATCGACTTTTCGAGTGCTGGAATAGTAGAACTCCGACGTTCCGGCGCATAGCGGTAAATGCCCAGGGACCCACAGGCTGTTGGTCCCGGTGCATTTACCGTTACACGGTTACCGATGTTGTCACCGCAGAAGAGAAGTTCTCTTCTCACCGCTAATGGATCCACTTCCACCCGTACACCTCCTGCGTCTACCACTAAGCCAACCGCCATTGCCGCCGTCAATTTTGCAAAAAAGAAGGTTTTAGTGGATGTTGCGAGTATGAGAACCAGTGATGGCGTCTACATGTAGTAGAAAACCGCTCGTGTGGAGAAAATGGGATTTTTGGTACTTAATATCTTTTCTGCTCAATGGCAGTCGAGATGCCGGGACGTTGGCTACGGGTTTTGCCGAAACGATCCCTTCCATCGGCAGCAATATCCGTGGGAGCTACCGAGGATCCTCGATCAACAACGGCGTTTTTACAACGGCGCTCAAATTTAGCGGTAGTTATAGAAAATGCAGCAACCCTTCTGGAAACACTGAACACGCATCCTAAGGTCACACGAATTACGGTTATGGAAGTTCTTTTTGCCAGTTTTTTGCCCTTTTTAATAGCACGTTAATTCGCCGAACTACAGTTCGCTGACCCACAAATTGTTAACCGACAGTTTGCTTTTTTGCCTATTTGTTGACCGACGTTTTGTCGAACATTTTTGCTGACCGACAACTTGCTTTTCGGTTCGATACTTTAGTTTTTGAGTTTTTTCTTGTTGCTGTTTTTTCTTAGGTTTCTTAGGTCTCTTAGGTTGCCTTAGGTTTGTCAGGCTTCTTAGGGTTTTTTAGTTTCCTTAGGTTTCTTAGGTTTTTTAGGTTGCCTTAGGTTTCTCAGGTTTCTTAGGTTTTTCAGTTTCCTCAGGTTTCTTAGGTTTCTTAGGTTTGTTAGGTTTCTCAGGTTTCCTATTTTTTTTAGTTTCCTTAGGTTTCTTGGATTTCTCAGGTCAGCAAACTGTCGTTAGCAAGTTATCGGTGTTCACGAAAGGTCGTCCAGCGAAATGTCGTTCAGTGAGGTTTGTCGTTTTAACAAGCTGTCGGGTCATTTTGTCGGTCAGCAAAAAGTCGCCAGCAAGTTGTCGGTCAGCAGGATAGTCATCAGCGAGTTGTCGGTGTGCCGCTCTTTTTATTTTGACTTGGTGTCGCACACTAGGCGGCTGACGGCAGCGTGACAAGGAAAACGTTGGAGTAACTGTGCGGAACGCGTACGATGATTTTAAAAATGGTGTCGGTTGCATGATTCATAAGCGGCTACCAAGTCACAAGTGTGTCCGCATTTCGCATCAGACCCTGCTCAAAAGTGCCCTTCCAGGATCCATCCCGAAAAGGAACGCAGTAGCATTGGCAGTATTGCAGAAATTCTTACGTGGCTATATTATACAGGAATGGCATTACCTTAATACAAAAATCTTCATGGAAAAAAACACTCCAGAGATTCTCACGTCTTAATTCGACTCTACTTACGGTGACTTTCAAGTACTTCATGGTACTGCACTAACACAAGCTCCACCCGGAGCGAATTTAGATCAGTTGTTCTCTGTTCTTAGACCTCCGGAGGCTGTTTTGTGCTGATTGAGTGTACTTCGTTGTGATTTTATTTGTTTTTCTATAAGCGGAATGGGTACCATTAAACACTAAACGTAAAAAACAAGTATAGATATTAACTGGTAACATAGTAGTACTTCCATCAAGTCGCTTTACTTGTACATAGTAGCAAATTTCGCAGTACTTGCGGTAGGTATTTTCGTTGAGAAATTGTGGGTTAAGCGAATAGGTTTTCATAAGTAATAATTATGTAAAAAATTTATAACTAAAATATACAATTAAATTCAAATTAAACAATTTAAATAATTTCCCGTGCACGCAGCCAACACCCGTGTAGGAATCCCGTGGCCGCAGCCAACACCCGTTCCCAAACTCCGTGCACGCAGCCAACACCCGTGCGGACCCAAAAATATCACCCGTGCACGCAGCCAAAACCCGTGTTTACCCGTGCACGCAGCCATAATGTAAAAAATAACAGCCGCATTGGCCGAAGGCATAATCGTAGCGTAATTTAGCGCAGTGCTTGCGTATGAGGAGTCCAGTCAGAACTGGACACATGTTAACGGTCACAGCATGTTTAATATTCATCAGTATTAACTGCAGCACTTGTTTTAAACGAGAACGAGTCCAATAAAAATCCAAATGCACCTGCTTGTATTAATTTACATCAGCATGAACCGTGAGTCGAGACCAGCGTTAGCCGGGTGGGGAAGCAGACAACAGACCATTTTGTTCAATGCATTTGAGCAGATCAGACGTTCTGATGCCGACGGTATTTCCGCAAAGATTAGCCGGAGTATGAACTGGCAGTGGCACGGAGAGAGGCACATTTGCTAAAGTACAACGACTAGTAGGTATTCACACCGCATCGGGTACTTTTTTTTGTCTCTAATTTGGTCACTTTAAGTACAGTTTACGTTTTTATATTTCGGTCACCTGGTGTCGGACAAACAAAAACGCCAGAAATGAATAGTCTTCATAACAAAAACTTCGCTCATGACTTTCAGAGCCTAAACAAACGATAATCTCCATAAAAAAACAAAGGGGTGCAATGTAAAAGAACCGCTCTTCCACGTTTGCAAGTTTAAGCAACCCCAATAATTATTTTCAGTTTTCGTTCGACGATTACAGACTGGTGAGTCTAAAAAGAAAATTGTGCGATCCGCAGCTTTTCATGTAGCGCCAACAGGGGGAGTATTGTACCTTGTAAGTGACCGGTGGCCTAAATGTGAAACCGTATTAGCTTCAAGGGAGCGAAATATGAGACAAAACCAAGTACATCAACAGATAAACTAACAAGACTAAATGCGATTAACGCGAATACCTTACCGGAATCGATTGGATGGGTGACTGCGGGTTAGCGCCTACATCACGACGCAATCGCTCAAGGAGACTGGCGTGGACATGAACCATTAGAACTGAGAAGAGTACGATTGCTTTCCACATGGCGGCTAACTTCACGTATTTTTCGGTAGTTTCGAGCACATAAGACCGAAGACGTTTACCGAGCGTTGTTTGGTACTGGAATAAAATACCTTAATATAAAATACAAAAACAATGGTGCTATGTATGCACTTGCGATGCCACCGACCTCCTTGGTTTTTCAGCTCGTTTGATGTAGGATCTAGCCCTGCCAAAATACTGGACTTATCTTTCACTGCCACTCAATTTGGGATTTGGCCTTACAGCCGATCTTGGAACTGAGATGCACTAGGGAATGATCATAAGAGCATGCCGGTCTGAGGAAGCCCATCTGGGAATCTGATGTTATATTATCTTAAGGGAAGTGGCCCGGTACATGGTACCGAATTCGTGTACATGCACGAAATCTTTCACTTTCGCGCACTCCCAAACCTTTTTTCTCCTGTTTTATGACATTCTGTAGTCAAATGATTTGTAGTGGTCTGGGAAAAAAAGCGTCTGATGCCAAATTATGTTCTCGAAAACCTAAAATGTTCAAACTGCACAGCCGACGTCTGAAAGGGCACCGGACATTTAAGCACAAGACTATCGTAGGGAGTCCCTACGAGGGACACCTTCGCCATGCGGATGTTATGGACCGGTACAACTGACAAACTCCAAACAGCAAACAAAACAGTTAATACAATGAACAAAAAGCTACAGGACAAGGCTGCACGTTAGCACAAGCACCATTACTGAATAGGAACGTCGTTTTCCAGTATTCTGACGCCGCATTTTCTCTGTGTGCCTTCATAGCGAGCATTCTCGTAAACATCAGAATATGTAACGAAGATTTACCGGTGTTATGCTGAATTAGCTTACTTCGTTCATGAGCGATGTCGGTAAAAATATTTCTCCAGGGATTTAATACAGCTGCAGCACGATCCCAGGGAAAACTGTAAGTTTGCTTTAGATGGGTCCACAAGGACAAGCGGTTATCGCCTGCTGTGCTGTATTACTCCCCTTCTGAGGACCGCCAGCGTTGAACGATATGTACAAGTTTTACAAGGTAGTCAGTTGTACCTGTGACTGCTTGCCCAAATGCGTTTCGATGATAACCTTCCACGAGAGAGTATTAATTTTTCTTTCGTCGTCTGTAGGCGAAGAATATCCAAAATTTATGAAGCTACACATGCTCAGTTTTAAGCTGGAGCCACCTATTTTTTTGAGTAAGTGTGGCTGTTGTAGCCAGTTGCCGTTGTTCGTTGCGTACCGTTCTGTGCTCTATCCGTTTACCGAACAATGCAGGTTTATTGAAAAACTTTCCCCAGCATTCATATTTTAATTGTACTGCTCATGTATTTTGGATGGCTCTGTTCATTAAGCCAAGGTTCATTATCATCTTGACGGCGTCAAAATGATTTTGCTAGGTTTCGCACCCCTGTCTGTAAATTAGCGTCATACCTGACGCTAATCTACAGACGGGGGTGCGAAAGCCTAGCATCGTACCTTCCACTTGCATTGAATTCCGACCCAAACCGCATTTGAGTCTCTGCCTCCACTCCACTACAGTCTCTGCCATCTCTGCCTGCATCAGTCTCCATTTGAGTCTCTCCAATGCCCTTAAACTTGCCCTTTCCCTTTTGGTTGTCTGGCATGGGAGCAGACAGCCCAAAGGGAACGGGGAAGATTGCTGGTTCTAGTATAAGACAGCACTAGAACCAAAAAAATAGCAATGAAAAATGCGATGACATCGCGGTTTCCCTTGCTGTTATTTTGGTGGGCACCATTTTCTACCTGGTCATTTGCATGGTTTGTGTTAACGACGGATTCGCTGTAAGTGCCGCTTAAGTTCACTCCCCTACCGCAGCAGGCGTCATCTTTATCCCATGAACCGGGAGATCGTGCGCAATTTCAGTAGTAATCTCGAAATCGGCTTTTGTGTCCTTATGTGCGGCAGCGGAATGTCCACTGGTTTAACAGTCTTTGGCACCGGTCCGGTGCCAAAGGTTCTTAAACCAGTGAACACTCTTCAATTTGCTATACTTCTATCCTTACGAAGTCCATGGCACCGGTGAAACTGACAATGCGCATGCCGGTGCTCTCGTTTGGAATCTGCATGACAGAGTTTGGCGCCGATACCTTGCAGAGCAAACAGGTAATCGTATTGACAGATGCAGAAAAGAAATCCTGTTTGGAAATTGTCATTTGGAAATCCTGTTTCGAGGCACATTTGCTAAAGTGCAACGACTTGTAAGCATTCACACCGCATCGGGTACTTTGTTTTGTCTCTAATTTGGTCACTCTAAGTACAGTATGTACCTATATGTTTTCATATTTCGGTAACCCGGTGTTCCGGACAAACAAAAATGCCAGAAATGAATAGTCTTCATAGCAAAAATTTCGCTCATGAACTTAAAACGAGTGGGAAAGTGGGCTTTAAAACAATAAGTCGTATATCATTTTCTTGACTGTACCCTCCTCCAGCATTCCTTAAAGACTTTTAAAAAGTAAAGGTCATGTTCCCGTGTTGCAGTGTGTTGATAATTCACATTCTGCTCAGTCCTGGTAGCCGGTCGTCTTGCTGTTCCCCTTTCCAAGAGTGCAGTTACATGCGGCTATCGATCAAAGAATGGAGCGGAACTAATTTAATCAAAATGCCTTCATTTATCTACTTATTGTCGAAAGCAGACGTAGCAAAAGGACATCACGAGCTTGGACGCAGAAATGTCTAACTGTCACGGTAAAAACCGCTGGCAGTAATCATTAGGAATGTATATTCTGCAGTGCGGTATGCAACGCCTGATTTGTTCTCTTATGGCAAAAATGAAAATACCAGGTGTGCGCCAATATAATAATTACAATCGTCTTCGCAACACTTGACATTTCCATGTAGGTTTGAATGAAACCTTTAAGTGTGTCTGTTGTGACGCCTCATGCTGGAAATGCGGCAGAAAGTAAAAGCGCCTCAAGTTCCTCAAACTAGCCGAAGTCGGAACTTAATCTGCTTGAGTCATGCACACTGCGCACGTATGTAACCGTCCAAAACGGCCTGTCGTCTGAGACGATAGCCTGTCGTTTCAGCCTCTAAACCGTCCGAAACGACCGGGGGCCCCCAAAACGACCGCCGTAAATTTTGCCCTACCAGTTTTCTTCGCTCTTTCAGTCGCAGACAAAACGAATGAATGTAAATTCGTATCCGGTCGTTTCTGCCGGAGTGTAAGGTCGTTTCTGCCGGAGTGTAATTTCGCATGCGGTCGTTTCTGCTGGAGTGTAAAATCGTATCTGGTAGATTCTGCCGGAGTGTAATTTCGTGTCCGGACATTCTGCCGGAGTGTAAGTTTGTGGCCGGTCGTTTCTGCCGGAGTGTAATTTCGCAAGCGGTCGTTCCTGCCGGAAAGTAATTTCGTGTCCGGTCATTTCTGCCGGATAGTAATTTGTATCCGGTCGTTGCTGCCGGAGTGCAATTTCGTGTCCGGTCGTTTCTGCCGGAGCAGGAACGACCGGATACGAATTTACACTCCGGCAGGAATGACCAGACACGAAAATACTCTCCGGCAGAAACGACAGGATGCGAAATCACACTCCGGCAGAATCGACCGGATACGAAATTACACTCCAGCAGGAATGGCCGGACACGAAATTACTCTCCGGCAGGAACGACTGGATACGAAATTACATTCATTCGTTTTGTTTGCGACTGAAAGAGCGAAAAAAACTGGTAGGGAAAAATTTACGGCGGTCGTTTTGGCGGCCCCCGGTCGTTTCGGACGGTTTAGAGGCTGAAACGACCGGCGGTCGTCTCAGACGACCGGTCGTTTTGGACCGTTACACACGTACACAGTAAGGATACGGAAAACTAATACCGCCCAAAAAAGAGGCCACGGAACTGACCATGAGATGTTACAACTTCTACGTTGCAGTGCGACACACTACCTAATTACCAACTCTGTATAGTGCTGTATAAACATTACATTTGGATATGCAGTAAACTGGATTTCATAATCTACGCTGTACTGTATGTATGCGGTATGTAAAGATGCCAGAATATGACTAACGCTGACTCCTTTGTACAGATACCATTTTGTAGGCACGAGTTATTTACGTGGACTTTAAGCTCTTTTCAAATCATCTATCAAGGTTATCGTCCAGCCTCCCCGATATGAGCCACGATAGTGAAACCCTATCACCTGTCATAAAACCTACCATAAAACCTTGCACACAACCCTGATCATAAAACCTCATACACACGGCGACACGGGCAAAGACTAAAGTTATAGCACTTATCTAATCCAGTGGGTCATGATTGCGTGCCAGGGGAGTATTTATTGTGCAGGAAATTGTGCCTGATAGCTGAGATTGTTTAACGAAAGTGCCCACACACCTTTAAGTGGTACTGTCACACTGTGTATAAAAGGGGCAACTCGTTTTATCTGAGAATGAACCCAAAAAGGGGACAAGACGTCCGCCCACCCGCAGATTATCCTCCCGGCGGTGATCCTCCCGGCGATGATCCCCCAGGAAATGATCCCCCCAGCGACGACGATCCTCCCGGATATGATCCCCCCGGGGTTGGTCCTCCCGGCGGTGGTCCTCCCGGGGGATGGTGGAATGTTTTAGAAGGTGCCTTACTGGCAGGCGGTGCTGTGGTAGCTGGATGGGCATTGCACAAATGGTTATTCAGCGAACGACCCGTGAGATTGTTTTGGGATATGGAAAACGCAAGGTGTATGATTCCGAAACATGCGACTTTCGAGAAATGTGTGGGACATCTACGTAACATTGCTTCATCGTACGGCATTGATTTACATCAACAATATAGTATTAAAATCATCTGTGGAGGGTTTGACGGCAATAGCCGTTGCTCGCAATATAAGTGCATTCAAGCTGCTAAAGTATGCAATCCCGAAACGCTAGAAACCTGGAAAGCCGGCAGTACAGTGTCTACTAGAATCGAAGGTAATAAGTTAATAAGACGCAAGCACTTCGCACTTCGGGTTGATGATTTGGCCCCGGCAGCTCTAACGCCAGTAAAATGTCAGATTTGTTCGCCGGTTAGTTCAAAAATATCGCCTACTACAGGTGTCATGATTCAGTGTTGCTGGGATGGATTACCCTACACAAAGGACAAGGCAGACAACATCATTCTGGAGCACCTGAAGGATGTGTTCAAGTCCAGCGCGTCCGATACGAAAGTCGTAGTCGTAACAGGTAAATCGCTGCAGCGCTGACAAGTTAAGCCTTTCCGAGAGTTAACAGCAATTTTATAGATTTACTGTCGGCACTGCAGTTGCAGTTGTGCGTAATCACTAACCATCAGCGAGTTTATTGTTTTACATAACGCTTTAGACCTGTACCGTTATAATACTAGTAAAGTGCACTCGCTTTTGGCGGGCACTGCATGACCGAAGCGTAGGAGGAATACAGAGTACAGTCTTGATAGATACGTAATTTAGATTTGGTCGCTTCTGGTTATATATATAAGTGTATTCTACAATATTTACGGTAATGGTATTTAGAACTACAGACTACATCTTGCGCAGAGTGGCAGAAAATTAATGAGATGAATATTAAGAAACGAGAAGACGAGAAAAAAATGTGTTTTCTAATCTGGCATGTCCATTTTTCCAGTTGATTATCGGTTGCGTCGGCTAGTTGGCACGGCTCCTATAAGTCCATCCGATCAGAATGTTGTTCTGCATCCAACTAATGAGTCCCAAGACGGAGTTTGGCCGGACGAGTTCTATCAGCGGTCTTCGTGAAACTTGCATTAAGACACGTGGATGCTAAGTTAACAGCAACTGCTAACTGCTCCACTGTAACTCCGGTTGTTGCTTATTTATTTATTTATCCGATCAGTTTATGGTTAGGTAGTTGTTACTATTCATTTCGATTTGATCGTTTTTATTTGCTGCTTGAAACAGCCTCGGCTTCGCCTCCGCGTGCCTCCGTTCTTAAATAATATCCATCAAACAGAAACAGAACGCCGTACAACCGAAAAAATTATAATATACGTGCTTGTGCAACACTTACCGACAATCAACACCATGTTCATGTCATAAAGCTAGTCTGGCTTATCATAAAGTTAGTTGGCATTAGATAGGCAGTCACTGCTGAAGCCTGAAGGTACCTATTATTATTCGGCGTTGCTGATTTAGCACTGCGAGCTTATGCAGTTGTTATACGTGGCGTACGCAGTTGCATCGCTGGAATTTCTTACATAAACAGCGTAAGCGGAGCGATCAGCAATCCTTTATCAGGACAGTACATAAGGTTATGCTAAGAATGCAAGATTATGGCCCGCGGTCTTTACTGCAGTGGCGGATGGCGATTTTGCGCGCACAACATCCGGTTGGAAAGTTATGGGTGAAACAGAATTCCAAAAAGTTTAAATGCATTCACGTGTTATAAAAGTCTTGTTAGAAACCGATCTTCAAATTTTGCATCTAAACACACGTACACATAAAGATCGTTTTTACACCGAACCAGAGTTGCACCAATTTTTTCAAACTATGAAAAGAATTAAAATTTTTTAAATTCATTCTGGTGTATGTTTATTTAGTGCAGTCATCATAAGATAGGGTTGCAATTCAAAGTGTTTTCAAAGTCAATGGCAAAACATGTTTTTAAATACCGTTTGCTGGATTTATTATTAAGATTTATTGTATAAGTAAAATTACATTTTTGTTTTTACTTTTGTCGATCGGGATTCTGACGGAAATTTTTTAGAAAATGTATCTTATTTGTAATTTCATTGGCAATAAGTTGGTCAGGTTCAAGTTTTTTCCGTAATGTTTGCCAATATTTCAAACAATGACTTATTTTTTGTTCGTGAATTTCAGTTGTTTTGATAACGTGTAAATAGTTAATAGATTATTCTAGTTAGTTAAATACTGTAGCTCGTAGTGGTAATTTTACAATTACGATACGAAAAAATTTTTTGGAAATAAAACCAAAACCGAAGACAAAATCATCGTGGCTTAATGGATTGATTTTTTATGTAGTAGAAAAGTAAAACGTAAAACTTACAGTGACTTGCTATATTTATTTATTTATTTAGCGGCGACGTTTTAACCGCCGTTCGTATGAAACGTTTCTTTTCTGGTCTGTTTTCTGCTGATGATCGACGTTAAGGCGGAAGATGACGTCGAGCGGGCCAATAACAAAAAATTGCACAATTTTTTGAAAGTTTTTTATTTATATTTTAATTTGGACTTTTTTTGCAGATTTCGAATGAAAATTTCAGTGAAATGCCGTGGACTCAGTTGTTGTAGTCATGCACCTTTTCTGGCATCGTGTCATGAAGATCCGAATGCGATGATAAAATAACCTGAATTTGGTGCACCGATACAGCGTTTAAGCGTTTTGTCCATTTTACGAGGGTTAACCAAAATTTAATGTGTTTTAGGAACTGGTATGAGAGAACATTCATACAAATTATGAACGAATTTTTTCAAATTCTGTAGCATTCATAACTACATTACAGGGCCACCTTGAGAGGGCAATGGCTAATGTATTATATATGTACAATGTATACAAAACATTCGGCTGTTGAACGACAGCAAACAATATAATATACATACATATATACATACATATACATATATAGAAATTCGTACATACATACATACATACATACATACATACATACATACATACATACATATATACATTTTGTACATACATACTCGTACATATATTATACTAAAACGATGCTCTTAAAGCATCTCAACTCGAATTGCTTACTCAGCGCTTCGAGGGAGCTTACGACTGTTCAGGTTGGAAAACGATGCAAGGTCACGAAAAAAGGTGTGATTACAATTACCAGAATCGAGAAACACCAGTTTACTGTGCGGCCAAATCCCAGGCCTAACTTTATTAGTACGTCCCGTACGAACGGACGAAAGACCCAAAACTAAAATCAGGTTCAGAAACAGAATGGGCATCTTCCGATAAATGTGTCTAGTCATGCTACGCTCATGGTGAGCTGGTCAGAACAGGTAGTCACACATGGTGAACCGCTTTGACAACATTCATACGCTTTAATACATATAGAACTTGTTTTGGGATTTGTCAGTTTCAGTGCATGTGTACTAAACTTGTGGGCGTGCCTGTATATTAAAACGATGCTCTTAAAGCGTCTCATCTCGAAATGCTCGAGGGAGTTTACTACTGTTCAGGTGGGAAAAGGATGCAAGGTCACGAATCAACTATGATGACGATTACCAGAAGTGAGAAAAACACCAGCTCACTGTGCGGCCAGATCGCAGGCCTAATTTATTAGAACCATGTCCCGTAAGAACGGAAGAGGAAACAAAATTAAAATCGGGTTTAGAAATAAAATGGGCAACTTCCGACAATGTGTCTAGTCATGCTACGCCCAGGGTGAGCTGCTCAGAACAGGTAGTCACACATGGTGGACCGTTTAGACAACATTCATCCGCTTTAATATTAATACGTATACACTATACAGTATACAGTGTAATTGTACATGTACATGTACTATATGTATAGTACCACATGTACTACGAAACCGGTTTGTCATCTCAACGGTATAAACGCCGGTCGTCCGTCAACGTTCACGGTGACCGGCGCAGGTAGCGCATCCATGTATATACGCGCATATATACGTCGCAATACGCGTATCCGCCTTATGCGTTGTTATCGCTGCGCGTCGACCGGCAACGGCGGCTGTAACCAGGTCAGGAAAACAGTCCGCCTGTGATGATGCGCCGGTTAACCAGACAGTCTTCCCACACCGACAACACATCCCGCTGACAACTGACCGGTGCAAGACCTTCCCGATAAACACTCGACACATGCAGCCACCTCCGGCCAACAAAACGCACGTATTCCGTTCAGTCGAAGGTTAGATACCGCGAATCATTCGTTATCCTCACGCGCGGCGATGTTGCATAAGTAACGCTCAACGCTGCGCAACAAAAATGGTCAAGTTTTGCTCCGTTTTCAGTAGTATTCGGATTATTTCCTTAATAGTTGTGGCAGCCCCCCGGGTGCGCGGTTACCTCACCGGACCTGATTTCTGGAATGCGCTGGACGCCATGAACGAAATCCAGACTTGGGTATGACGCTGTCCCTGCTTTTCCTGTATTTTTTTTGCAAAATTTTTACAAAAAATTCGCTAGAATATTTTTTACAATTATTCATATAATGATTACTGTTTTATTTATCGTTTATTCACTTCTATATATAAAAATTTTGCTATACAACTTATACTTTGAGTTCTAATTTTTTGGTAAATTTTCTATATCTTGTAATTTATATATTGGTAAGTGATTTATCTTTTAATCATGCTAATATATTTTTATGTTGTGCTTAATTTGTTTACTAATTTCGAAACTAAAATAAGGAACATGCTGACCGGGTTTTAGGTCAGATGGACTTTATAGTTATGACGTGTCTTTTAAAGTTTCAAGAAGATCGGATAATAACCTGACTTTTGACGCACGACAATACTTTTAAATCTTCCCCATTTTAACTTGCCACATACTTACTCTTTGTACGGTTTTATATAATTGATTTTATAATCATTTTTATATTTGGGATTATAAATGCATTTTAAGTAGCAAAATATTTATTTTATATAAATTTTCACACAGCCGCATCATTCTTGGAAGGTGTCCGACGATAAATGGACGCCGATGATGACCCCGGCGTCCCTGTACCGGCAGGTGTTGGTCGGCAACAGCAACCCGGTGTGCACGGCACCCTACTACACCGGCAATATCCAGCAGAACGCCACGGCGGGCTCCTTTATCACACGGGTGTCGGCCACGGATCCCAACGGCGGCAACATCACCTACTCCATCCCGGACACCTCCCTGCAGCGCTTCACCGTCAACCCCACCTCGGGCGACATCTATACCTCCACCAATCTGACCCGGCGCTTCCGCTCCACGTTGGAGTTCACCGTCCGTGCCTCCAACGCTGCTGGTAAGTGTCCGAGTGATCTTTAGAGGACCTCCGGGAAAGGTCACACCAAGACGGGGACCTCCGGTAAAGGTCACACCGAGAAGGAAACCTCCGGCAAAGATCGCACCGAAATAGGGACCTCCGGAGGTCCATCCATGACCGATAGAAAAGCCTTTGTACAAAGAACTTCCGGTAAAGGTCATGAACAACCGGTTTTCTAGGTTTGTACTGCGACAGCGTGGTCCGCGTTAACATTTTGACGACCCCTTCGGCGCAAACCATCGTGACGGTGTACAACGGGTCGGCGGCGGCTATTGGGGCCAATAGTGCGCCGGTATTTTCGCAGTCGTCCTACAGTTGTACCACCAGCAACTGCAACTCTGGCGGGACCATATGCACGGTGACGGCGGGCGGGGCGGTCAGCTATTCCATCATCGGGAGCAGTACCAGTAATAATCCCTTTACCGTCAGCAACAACGGCGCGATTAGCTTCAGTGGCTCCGGGAATGTGGCCAGCGGCACCAACACCACCATGACCTTACAGGTAACCGGCGGTTTCACATGGTAACAGCCAAGGTTACGCGGTAACAGTCGACGTTACCGCGGTAACCTCCATTTTCTGGTAGTAACCAAGCGTTTTACTGCAGTTTTTTCATCGTTGCTCATCGGAGCATTTTCGCTCTTAATGTTTATGGTTAACGTAGTCTAATGATCCTTCTCATTAGGCAACTAATGCCAACGGGAATTCAGCCAGTACAACCCTGTCTATCGCCACCTCCTGCAATTACTACGGTAATTACAACAGCGGGAGCAGCGGGACGTCGTCCGCCGGGAGTTACTGCGGGTGTAACGGCGACATGAACTGCTTGCTCTCCACCATCTACAACCCGGGGTACTGCGGCGGGGGTGCCTTAATCGGCTCCGGGATCGGAGGGATCGGTGGCGTCGGAGGTATTCCCGGGGCCGCCCAGCAGGTCGGCATCGTCACTACCACTGCACCGCAGTTCGGCCAGTCACAGTATACCCTAACTGCGCCGGCTTGTGGAGCCGGTAGCATTATCGGCCAGGTCACCGCCAACAACTACCCGCAGAGCTACACTATCGAAGGTGACACATGGTAGTTTTTTTAGACAACACGGGTGTAGCTTCAGTTTATAACCTAGTACAGTAGCATAGCTGCGGGGGAATTTATTCATTTTGGTACAGTAACGTACATAAGTATTTATTTATATTTCTAAATCTGTATATAGATATGTAGTAAATAAGCACTTACGTATATATATGTATTTCGTATATATACCGTACAATACAATAAATACGCATATACTTATCTTATCTATACTTAAGTACGCAAGTATCTAAATCTGTACGTATATATGCATATGTATATAAAAGTAAAAAATCTATATATACGGCATTTTATATGAAACATGCGTTAATTTACTACATATGTTTTTATCGTCATATAAAAGCACATAACACAATTATAAAGTTGTACATCCCGTATATCTACGTTTATAACTTATTATTATCCATTTATAAATTTTGTACGATTATAATTTGTTATATACATATTCATTGCTAACGATATACGATCATAACAGGGAACAACAACTTCGCCATCACCAACGCCGGCGCTATCAGTCTCAACTACGCCATGGTGCCCGGCACCCAGTCCTTCGTCGTCAGCGCCATCAACCCGGCCGGGACGGCGTACACCCTGGTGACCGTCACCCTAACCTGCACCGGTGGCAGCGGCGCGGTCATCACCTCTGCCCCGGTGGCGCCGGTGGTCCCGGGCGCCCCGGTCCTCCCAGGAGCGGTAGCAGCGCCGGTGGCCGTCGGCGGGACCACCTTCAACAACAACGGGGTCAACGTCCCGCTGGGCAGCAGCGGTCCGGGCGCCCCGAAATTCAGCCAATCGACGTACAGCCTCCGCATCATCAACTGCGGTGTCGGCTCCCTGGTGGGGACGGTCCCCTGCCAGAGCTGCGACACCTACGCCATCGTTAACGCCGGAGCCACCGCCTCCGGGTACGGTATCACCCCCAAAGGGAAGATCACCGTCACCCAGACCCCGACGTACGGCGCCACCCAGACCCTCTTGATCCAGGCGTTCAACGGGCTCGGCTCGGCCTTCGCCAGTGTCTCCATCTACGCCGACTGCCAGGGGAGTTTCCCGTACCCGGTCGGGACCAACATCCCGCCCATCGCGTTACCCGGCGCCGGAATCCCCGGCGTCCCCGTGGCGGCACCCCCGCCGGTACCGGTCGCCGTCCCCGCACCGGCCCCGGTCCCGGCCGCGGTCCCCGCCAACTCCGGGTTCTCGACGACCTCCTACACCTTTTCCCTGAACAACTGCGATCCCGGGGCGACCGTCGGGACGGTGTCGGCCAGCGGGGGCGCCACCTACGCCATCACGGGGGGCGGCGCCGGCTTCACCATCAACCCCTCCAGCGGGGTCATCACCACCAACGGCCAGGTGACCCGCGGGACCCAGGCCTTCCTCGTCCAAGCGCAGACCGCCGGCGGCAACAGTTTCGCCACGGTGACCGTCTCCGCCACTTGCGGCGGGGGCGGCGGCGGAGGTGGCGGGAGCGGGGGGTTCTCCCAGCCCTCCTACACCTTCTTCCCCACCGCCTGCAGTCCCGGGGTCATCGTCGGGACGGTGTACGCCCGCGGGACCAACGTCCAGTACACCAGCAACGGTCTCCCGTACTGGTCGGTGGACCCCCAGTCCGGGGTCATCAGTAGCGTCACCTCCGTGCCCAACTACTCCACCTTCGTCGTCACGGCGCAGAGCGGGTCCGGAGGGACCTCCACGGTGACGGTTACCACCTCCAGCAACTGCCCGGACTACTTCGCGTACAACGTGGCGGCCTGCGCGCCCAACACGGTGGTGGTGCCGGCCAGCGCCATCTCCGGGATCCTGGCCAGCGGGATCAACAGCTTCACGCTGTCGGGGCCGAACAGCGCGTTGTTCAACTTCAACCAGCAGAACGGCCAGATCATCTCCACGGGGCAGCTGCAGTCCGGGACGTATGCGTATGTCCTGACTGCCAGCCTGTCGGCGGGCGGCACCTACACCGCGTTTATCACACTAATCGTTAACTGTAACGCCGCCACGGTGACCTTTACCCAGCCGGCTTATAACTTCATGGTGGGCTGCAGTGTGTTGCCGCAGCGAGTGGGCGTGGTCACGGTGAGTAATGTAGCCGTGACCTTTACTATATATTGAAATGTGTATTTTCAAATTCTTTAATTTTTCAACTATTTTTGTTTTCAAGCAGTTTTAGGATTGTTCTGTTTATTTTAATTTTAGAATTTATGCTCTTTACAGATAGAAAGGTTATGTTTATTTCTTATGTTTTAGAGTTTACAGACTTGTTTGTTAGTCTTCCAGTTATTATTTTCAACAAATTTTCTTAATTTTTTTTACTTTTTAAAAATTTCAAAATTTATGAAGTTTCACTTTTTTTTATTTTATAACTGTTTTACTTTTAATTTTATTTTCTATGATTTTTTTTCTGATTTTGATATTTCTAATGTTAAATTTTTACATTTTAGTTTAGTATTAATTCACTTTTATTTTGTGACCTTTATAGGCGTCCTCTTCGAACGGCGACACGATGAACTACGGTCTGGGCGCCGTCAGCCGGCTCTTTTTCATCGACCCCAGCAGCGGCGAGATCCGCACGCAGACCGGGCTGCGCCGCACCGGCAAGCACGCCTTCACCGTCAGTGCGCTGGCCGCGTCGGGCGCCACCGGCATCGCCACCGTCACCGTGATTGTCGCCGGCGACTGCCGCTACTAAACGGCATAAATCCGCTGTAGAAAGATAACATAATTTTTTTTTTATATAAATGAAGCTCATGTAAATAGAATTTAATTTCAACAGCTCCGTTGCTGGTAACGGACGCAATTGGGTGTGGTCTGCATTGTATATGGCTTTCTTGTATATACTCGTAATTTTGTAGTCTACAGTCTGTAATATATTTCTCGGGCCGGGAAAATGACGGCAGAATACCTATTAACCGACGAATAATTCAACGAAAACACCAGCTTAATTTGCGAACTGGTACTGAAATATTCAGTACATGATGGCATTCGTGGGAAGTTTAGCGTATTTTCCAACGCCGCAGTGCATACACCGACAACTAATTTTCATACAGTCACGCCTGCAGCTCTGCAGCGGCTTATAGAAAATCTCCAAGTACAGTCGGCGAGGTCAGTTGCTCTGTGTAAGCTTTAAGGGACGCGCAAGCGGCAGTCAGGTAAAATACGTGACATCAGGGCGCGTAAGCAGGTAAACGGTGTTGGTAAACCGAAAATTGGGTGTGGGTTATCAGCTTACCCCTTCGTGTAACCGCGCTGCGCTTCGACATCGAAGCGCAACCATTACCCAAACTAATTTTCTCCTGCACAGATTCAACAAAATTTTTACATCCAGCGACCCAGATCCACACGCCAAAACCCAGAATGAACTATTCTGACGTCGTACCACATTACAACATCAAAACTAAATTTTTCAGTTCCACTTTAGTTGTTAAGTTGTATTTCTTGGCGCGGAAGCGTACTCGACTGACGATTGGACGATAAGTTTTTCGCTGAGTCATGGATGGAATTTTATACGGGTTTCTCCGTTACCCGACGCGCAGCGGTTACCCAAATGCAGTTGACCTATACGATTAATGATTATAACACTGTTGAGGGTTGAATTTAAAGGTTTCAAAGGAATAAGGAGCGTGTTGACTCGTACATTGTTGACATATGCGTCATATGCGTCACGAAAAGCAATCACACCGTATGCCTGTCCGAAGTCTGCACTACTTGTATGTAAACACTTTTTACTTGTGACGGCGGTTATCATGATCACACCGTATTCACACGGTAACAAAAGCCCGGAAATGTCATCGTACCAAAAAGGGCCGGGTTGGATTGCAACGCATACAGACGGGATTACAGCCGCTGCGTAAGGTAAGGCGGTGTCCGCGCGCTGCGGAGCGATAAAGTGACGACCACCACACACACGGTGCTGCCATAGCCGCTGCTCATTGGTGGCGCAGCGCGGATACCTGGGACAGCCTAATCGGAGAACATTGTCGGTATTTCAACAAATCTTCTGTGTTGTTCTATGATAAACTGTGGCGCGGCCTGATCGGAGGTGAAGCGTGAGCTTAACTCTCATTTTTAAAGGTTCATTATGGACTTTGCTAGGCATCGGAAATGTTCTTCCTTAAGGGCAATCGCCCGGCATATGTCCCGAGTCCAGACCTGTGCAGTTATTTTTAGCTATTTAACTTAACGCGTTGTTTTCCATTTGTCGAGTTACAACGTACCCAGAATACTCAACTCATAACGTAACTCTCAAAGATTTTGTCTATGTTGTCAGTGGTAGCGTTACTCGCGGTATAACGCGAAACGCGGTGTACTTGCATGAATAACGCAACCCGCACGATCCCTGTAACTCATAACTCTAAAGGTGGGTGAATTTTCCGTAACGGCACAGGTTGGGTCGTTACGTTACTTCCCCCGAACGTTAAATTTCGCTTGTTTGCGCAGCGTATATCGTTTTAGGTCGCTCTACAGGGAAACGATTAGTATGGTGCAAGGGATGACGCGGTGCCCACTGGCGAAAGTCGACGCCTATTCTTTGTCCAAATCACTGGTTATCTATCGCCATACGCATCCTTAGGGGCGGACCATAACGACAGTGTACTGCAGACGATAATGTACTGCTCTTCCGCCAGCGGATGTTCCCGGTCCTTCGTCCGTGTTTTAGTTGGACATTGGTCGCTGTCCGTATGCCGTTTTCCTATATATGCCAGCGCAGTTAACTACAAATACCATATTAATTTTACCGCGTAGCTGTTGGAATACCTGAACGGTGTAGCTGTACAGGAATATGGCCTGTTGCGGAACATGATGTGTTACGAAGCAGACTGTCTTCCTGTACACCAGCGCCGGACACTGCCGGCGTTTTTACTGCTCAAGCCTTAAGGTTTAATGGCTTGGCCTTAATGGCCTTAAGGTTGCATAGTTGACGGTTGCACACATTCAGGACAAGAGCCCAATTCGAGGCAGCAGACGCTCACAATAGCAACCATTCTCCAGAGTACACAGTATTTCAGATCTAGCTTTAAACAAGAATACAGCAGCGTGCTTAAACACCACAATTCAGTACACCCATTCGCTTACAAGCACACTGATTGGCTAAATCTCAGGTTTCCACAATTTTATTCGGCATGTCTTTAAAGGTACCAATGCGGGCGAACGTGGAAGATGAAACACTAACAAATCTGACAGAAGTTGTTTGTACAAAGTAGCGAAAATAGCCAGAAAAATATAATACGCGCCACTGATGGTATAACAGGGCAACGTCCGCGACATCCCTTACACCTACCGCACCTGCCACACCCTCGACGGGCGCGGTGAGGTGGCGCTGCTGCTGCAGTTCGATTCGTCGTGGAGGAGTGCGGCGGCCTGTGCTCCGTGATGCGGGCTATAATGCCTTCCGCTCGCAGCCCAATGGCTGTATCCTGCTGCAGTTGACCGGCCGACAGAGGGCGCTGCGGCAGGAGGATGGGAAAACGCCGGTGTGCTGTTTCCGCGATTGGGTGTTTTATGCCGATCCGCGACAGACACTGACCGACACCGGCTGCGATACTCTCACCGACCGGATCTAGAAAGTGTCTGGAGCGAATTTCAGGATTTGAGAGTTAAACGCTTGCTTGCGCAGTATGCGTAAAAAGTGTAGTATTTGAGCTACATTCAAAATGGCAAGTCAGTCGGTCATTTAGCCCACTAGAATCTCGGTCGTTATCGGAATTTACCAGACTACGCTGTAAAGCTAGAAATGGAGAATTATCCCGTCGCAACCATACCGTTGCCAACCGCAAGGTTACAGGAGGATTTTATTGGGTTCTTTACACATACATTGGGGAAACAGAAAATCACGCTGTGAATCACCTCAGTACGTAATACACTTCGTCCAACCTCTTACCAATGCAGAACGTCTCCTGTACACATGCGGCATTGCCTCGCATTAAAGCAATACTAATTCTCTGCTTCAAGAACTGAGTGGACCGCTTTTCTTGTGTCCGCTGTCAGGTTACAGTATATCGCATTTACAATAGCTTTTAAACAAACACAGCTAAACGATCCAGTAATATCTCTGTATATTCGCCCCACTGTAGACTGTCGGGACCGCTTCCGGACGCCTAGTTCCTAACGCACATGAGCAATTTCCTGGAGAGTCACCCGTTTTCCTGTGAAAAACACTAATCCTGTCTAGCATCCTAACATCAATCGTTTTACGAAAATCTCTAAACTGAATATTCCAAATCAAGAAAATTCCTTGACTTGTGGCGGCCGGCGCCGTTGCTACCGCTCGGTGTGGCAGCAGCATGCCAATATCATCTTCGCAGCTTTTGCGAATTTCCGTGTTCTAATTTTTCGCCGCAAAATGACTTTCTTTGCACTACGGGTGCATGAGAAAAACTAAGAAAAAGTTAAAAGAATCTACAGTAATACCGGTACTGACCAACCAGTCTGCTTTTAACGACGCAAAGAAAACTGCAATGCACAATACTCAAATACGGTATAAGGCGCATTCCGGCGCTTCTCCGTTAGAATCCGATGCCGGTGATTTGTGCGCAGTGGATATGTTCCTGCTGCACACACTGTTTGCTGATTTTATTATGCAATTTGTCAGCCGTGTACCAGATGTACGTACGCAGGTCACTATTATTTTGACCATCAGTTGACAGCCGGCGATGATGAAGTAAAGGTGTATTTTTATGAATACATGACAGTAAAGGTCACCAATGCCGGCAGACAGCAAAGGACCACCTGCATAGTTTAGGAGCTAGTCGTAACAGCATTAATTAAACGTACACCAATATGTAAGATTCAGAGCGATTTGCATTGGGAAACTGCGAGAATACCGATGATGGAAACGACCACAAAGGTCAAAGGTCAAAGGCCGTGTGCAGTGTGCAGACCGCAGCAGACAAGCTGGATAATTTTTGATAGGGATCACGATCGTTGTGACTGTATCTATAAGTCGGTTTACAGTCGGGTCCTGCCAGCAACGTGCCACACATAGTTGATAGAAATTCAACTGATTCTACACGTGAACGTTGGAATTAATTTGTACGCTTTATTGACTGAGACGGCACACCAGAAAATTGCACGGTATTTTGTATGTGATTGATGCGCAGTTCTTACAGAAGACATTGCTTTTCCTGACGGGATTGCTGTACCGGTATTCTGATTAAAAACCGCACTGTGTAACGCTCGTGCTCCGTTGTACATATTACGCCAGTATCAGATCCTGGAACGGAATATGCAGCGTTGGAGGACGTTGGGACGCGTGTCCCCGTGCACTGTCGGTTTATTAATGTGGACGCTGTTGCAGTTTAATCTGGGTAACTATTATTATTGTTATTGTTATTATTATTACTATTATTTTTATTTTTGTTATTGTGACTACTGCAGCTAAACGCCAGTAACGGAGACTTTACGGGGCTATTGAGGATTTTGTTTTGTAATTTATAAATTGTATATATTCTTAATAATCCCCGCATAAATCAGGATAGGTAGATTACGTGTAGATTACGTGTAGATGGAAATTACGTGTAGATTTCAATGGCTGTTGATTGTGCATTGGGGATTCGGTAGGGAACGTGGCGGGTATCTGGTGTTATTCCTGCAAGAACTGTCTGGATCTGCAGCGTGCCGAAGTAGTGCAGTGCGGGACGACGGCCTGTCATTTGTTCATCCAGGCGCACGGTAACGAATCACTACTCCAGTATCATTCGCTAGAAAAATTTATTATCTAAATTATAGTGTTTTCGTATATAATTATTATTTATTATTAATTTATGTACATTATTTAGTGCATTTTCTTCGTCTTGACGCTGCCGTCTAAAGTAAACTGAGGGACGTCCGGCGTCTGATGCAGTTGCTACCGCTCAGGGCGACAGCGTGACGCGAATTTTATTTCGAAAGTGTGTGGACATTCCCAGTCTTTTTCTTTGTGATTTTCGTCATAAAAACGAATTTATCGGCACCATATTTTTAAAAATAAAGCTAAGAACTAATTACAAGAAGCCGGTAGCAATAACCCGTTATAGCGATGTTACATAAGCGAGTACACCCACAGCCAGTCAGCCACTGCACTACGAAACCTTGGGCATTCACTTATGCGCTCAGTACCGCGTCGCAGTTTTCACAAAAGAGAAAATCACACGAATATTGCACAATTATTTAACTGAATTAAAATTAATTATGAAAATCGCGCTTTCTTACCAATAGTTGGTAAAATATTTGGTGTATTAAAATTCGAAATACTGGGTAATTAAAATTATGTAATAAATATTTGGTGTATTAATTTGTTTTTATTAATTGGGTGTATTTTGTACAAAGTGAATCGCGGTTGACCGTTGCACCGACAGGCACCAACGTGACGGCCTCCCGCGGCTGCGGCACCATCCACCATTTGTGGCTGTCGCCCAACGAGTGTCTGGAGCGCTATAGTAAGATCTACTGTATTTAATACTGATCAAAATATCACCAAAAAAACATTATATATTTTCAAATAATCACTACCTGATTAATGGGGAAAAAATTAAAACTGCTGTTGAAGGAGGTGTTCTATACATTTTAAAGTGTTGTTTTTAGCTATTTTAGGTTATTTAAATGTCTTTCTCTTGTTAAGTATTCTAAGGTTTTTATTACAGTTATAATTTTGTAATAATTCAGAATTTTCGATTTACTTATTTTCTTGGTTTATTAATCAGAATTATTAGTAGTTTTGATCATGTTCTTATTTGTACATAATATATCATATTTTATTATGATATTCTTTTAATATGTCTGAATTGCTTTTTTATATATTTTTTACATCTATATTTTTTATAATTACTTTTAGCCCGTTTTAATTTACAATATATTCATACCTAATTTTAGCCTAGTTTAAATTTAATTTTTTTTAGTTGAAGAATGATTTATTAAGTTAATTTACAGTAATTTTAATTGACTGTAACAGATGGCAGCATTATGTCCACGGTGTGCAACTGCGACTCCTTCGACTTATGCAACGCCGCATTGCCGCAGACGACGACGACCACCACTACAACGACCACCACGACACCGACGCCGACCACCACCGCCAAACCGGATCCGGTCCGCGACGATCTACCGGAACTGATCGCGCAGCTGTCCACCCTGCTGGACCGGCTGAAAACCTATCAGACCCGCGCACAGCACTGTACATAGCCGCGCTGCCGGCAGCTTTAGGCGCGCATTGGTTTAGAACGTTTTTCTGTTCTATTTATACTTGTTTTCCTTATTCTTTTATACGACTGTTTCCTGCCGGCACTCGGCATGTCCGTGCTGTATTAAATTTACTTAAATAGCGGTATCAATTTTTGTTTCATTATTTTATACATATCGGGATTCGTGTCGCGGCTTCCTATTCTTAGAAATAAAATGCACGGAAAATTCCACAAATTCGCCAAATCATCAACGCACAATGTTAAAAACATTAAAGGTCACTCGTGTGTCTAATGGTGTGTTATTGTTAAATTTATTATTTTATTTTTAACTTTATTTATTTTTATTAGATTAATTTTCTACATTTTTACGTTAAAGGTCACTCGTTTCCCCATCGCTATAATTATTATATATTTTTAGTTTTCTTTATTTTTATTGTATTCGATTTCTTATCTTATTTTTTGATTACTAAAATTTTTCTTACCGAAATACTTATTCTGTTTCATTTATTCACGACACGTTCCTAACAACATTCCATCAACAATGAACAATATGTTGTTAACAAACACGCAAAAGGTCACTCGGTTAATCTGCCACATATCCGTTGACAAAATTCAAGAAAACTCCAGTTTAATTTGCGGAAGAATCCAGTTTAATTCCGCCCGCTCACCGGAAGGCGGCACCGTGGGGGTCGGGGGCGTAGGCGTGGCCGGGGGCGTAGTAGCCCCATTCCAGGTCGGCCAGCGGCCAGCCGTCGTAGGCGGGCGGCGGGCCCCATTCCTCGTCGCCGTCGCCGTAGCCGAACTGCCGTTGGATGGTGGTCGGCCGGGTCGGCGGCCGCGGACGCTGCTGGGCGGCGCTCTGGCCCGGGAAGATTTGAGTGGGCCGGGTGAACTGGTACGGGGCTTGGTTCTGCGGCGGCCGACCTGCTTATAAGAGGAAGCTTAGACGGATTATTTATTTCCAAGTTATTCTTTATGGCTGTATATAGACAAAAATTCACTGCTAGTACTAATTTTCCAATAATAATTAAAAATTTTTAAAAAAATTAATTAATTAAAAAGTTTTTTATAAATTCTACATTTTTATGCACTTTTATAAATGCAGACGTCTAATATTTGTGCAAAAAATAAATAATCTAATACTTTAAATATTGACCCAGTGTTTCTCGAGTTTTTCTAGTTTTCTGCAGTATTATTTATATTATTTTTTTTCTTATACGAATTATTTGGATCTCATTTAACTGGATGTTTACTATTTTAACTACAACGGTAAATCCACCGCTACCGGCATATTGGTTTGCTCTTTAGAGCAATCACAGTACATTGTGTCCGATAATTGAAATTGATTTACATATGGTGGATGTAAATTTTACATATACCTGTTTTACGATAGTTAATGTAATCTTTCTGTGATTGTCTGTTTACATTGTCATGGTTTAATATTGCCGAAAAAGAAACTGCTTTATGAACCACATGAATAGTAAAATTTAATTTTACAAGGTAGCCTCGCGCATTCGCGCTCGGCACTTAAGTACTGGAAATTATGAATATTTTCAAATGAGACATAAGCACACAGGAAATTGTAAAAATTTTGGATAATTGGGAAGGTATGGAAAATGTGATTTATTTAAGACTAAGATTGAAATCGTATATACGCTTTCGTAGTCGTATTTCATAAGACGTAATAACGTTGTAAGGTTTAATTTTTTTCGTTCGGACGTTCTTACGTTCTGACCTTCTAACGTTTTAAAGTTCTGACGTTCTGAATTTCCGACGTCCTGACGTTTTTAATTTTTCACGTTTCGACTTCCTGACCTTCTGAAGGTCTAACGTTCTGATATTCTGACGTTCTAACGTTCTGATATTCTGACGTTCTGAATTTTGGACGTTTTTAATTTTTCACGTTCTGACTTTTTGACCTTCTGACGTTCTAACGTTCTAATATTCGGACGTTGTAACGTTCTGATATTTTGACATTCTGAATTTCTGACGTTCTGACGTTTTTAATTTTTCACGTTCTGACTTTCTGACGTTCTAACGTTCTGATATTCTGACGTTCTAACGTTCTGACATTCTGACGTTCTAACGTTCTGACATTCTGACGTTCCAACGTTCTGACATTCTGAATTTCTGACGCTCTGACGTTTTTAATTTTTCACGTTCTGACTTTCTGACCTTCTGACGTTCTAACGTTCTAATATTCGGACGTTGTAACGTTCTGATATTCTGACATTCTGAATTTCTGACGTTCTGACGTTTTTAATTTTTCACGTTCTGACTTTCTGACGTTCTAACGTTCTGATATTCTGACGTTCTAACGTTCTGACATTCTGACGTTCTAACGTTCTGACATTCTGACGTTCCAACGTTCTGACATTCTGAATTTCTGACGCTCTGACGTTTTTAATTTTTCACGTTCTGACTTTCTGACCTTCTGACGTTCTAACGTTCTAATATTCGGACGTTGTAACGTTCTGATATTCTGACATTCTGAATTTCTGACGTTCTGACGTTTTTAATTTTTCACGTTCTGACTTTCTGACCTTCTGACGTTTTAACGTTCTGATATTCTGACGTTCTAACGTTCTGACATTCTGACGTTCTAACGTTCTGACATTTTGAATTTCTGACGTTCTGACGTTTTTAATTTTCACGTTCTGACATTCTGACCTTCTGACGTTCTAACGCTCTGATATTCTGACGTTCTAAATTTCTGACGTTTTTGATTTTTCACGTTCGGATTATCTGACGTTCTGTTTTTTGACGTTCTGACTTCTGATGTTTTTACGTTATGACGTATAGATACTGTATAAGCGACATACTGGGCGATGTACCTTTTATGGACGTTTGGGTACTAATTTATTACTCACATACCTCGTAACAATTATTATTTATACTAAAAAGGAAGTATTAATATGTATCCGCTATAGTCTCCGTGGTTACAGTCATCATGTTAAGTACGAGTACTTACTTTGTATTGCTGTGCAGACTGCAGTAGTGAATACTTCTTCGAGTGCTCTTTACGTTTCCTATACTTAAGACCTGGTGGAACCATCTTCTGACCACTGGTTAATTAAAAAAAACAAAAATCTATTGGCACACCTATGGAAAATATGGAATTTTTTAAGACCACACTGGACTAAAACTGACCACGCGTTGACGAGTCTATAAAAACGGCGCATAAATACGTTTTGGTCGGTAAGATTGTATGAATATAAAGATATAAGGTAACTAGGCATATCTATTTTATCACATTTATGGCAAGAAATAAATCACGAAAAAAATTAAAACGTAAATAAAAAGGGTACGAAAAAATAAAATAAACAATAAAAGCAGTAATAAAAAAATTAAATATAAAATAATTACAGTAAAAAAAATTAATATAAAAAATAAATATCCGGAAACAGAAAACAAATATCAGAAAACAAATTAATATCAGAAAAAAACAACAAAATGAATACCGAATATTAATTATCTATTTAAAAAATAAATAAAGCGTATGAAAATTACCTTGGCTAGCGGTAGCCTGGTTCTGGGTGGGTCGACTATACTGGCCGCCGCCCTGCTGGTACTGCTGCCCGCCGGCGTGTCCGAATCCCGTCTGGCCTTGTCCGAATCCACTTTGTCCTTGTCCGAAGCCCTGGCCCTGTCCGAATCCGAAAATCTGCTGCGGCCGCTGCGGCTGCCCGAACCCCCCCTGCGGCCCCTGTGGCCCCTGCGGGGGCCTGTTTCCCTGTACATACTGGCCTTGACCTTGACCTTGACCGAACTGACCTTGACCCTGTCCGTATTGCCCTTGACCCGGTCCGAAGCCGGGCGGCCGCTGGCCGAAGGGTGGGTTGGTGGCGAACTGCTGGCCGCCGCCCGGCGGGCGGTTGCCGGGCACCTGATGCGGTTGGGTGTTGCGGTTGGGCTGGGTGGCGTTGGTGTTGCTGGTGGCGCCCTCCAGGACGCTGGCGACATCCAGGAGGAGGGCGGCGGTGAGGAAGAATCCCGCGGCGAGCGGCCGCTTAACCGACGGCCGCAGCATGGTTAATAATAACAAATAAAATATATATAATTTTTAAGGATTATTCGCTGTTCGCCACAGCCCGTGTGACCTTTACAAATCGGTGCAAAATGACTCCGGATTCCAGGGATTTGATCAAAATAAGTAAACGGCAGAGAAATGTGCAGAGTATTCGTAATAATAATTATAGGGTCGTGAATCGGAGCGCTGTTCAGCATTTTACCATGGACTGTACATCGTGGGAACGTCTAGTTGCTATGCAAACGATTCTTCCAGCGAACCGTATGAATTACTCGCAAAAAAGCCAAAACAATCTTTGATTATTATTTTTTTAATTTTTAGTATTTATTTTTTTTTATTGGCCTGATGTTTGTATACGAGTACTGACAAAAGATGGATAAAGAACGGAACCCTTAGTCTACGACTCTGCATGCTGTTTATGAAAGCGGTAACTATTTTTATTCGCATTTTTTATATTTTTATTTTATGGTTATTCGCCTTTTCATTTTATTCTTATTTTTATTGGCGATTTGTTGTAAAGTTTTTATTAATAATCCTGCGCAGAATGTCCATCCACCTCTCCCCACAAACATCAAAATCGCAAGAAAACTAATATCCGCCGCAACAGATTCTCCCAAAATAAATCAGCAAAAAATCATCCGCAAAAAGCCGAAAAAATTCCTTAAAAAAAATTCCCGACATTGTATTTTATAAATTTAAAATTGTTTATTTTCAGTATTGATTTTTCTCTATTTTTTGTTGACCTAATGCTGGAATTTCGATGCAGCAGATTGACGAAGAACGAGGCTACAATGTTCTTTGATATTTAATTTAATTTCATTTATATCATTAAGCCGTTAAATTTTATCTGTATTATTGTGTGATATCATATTTTTATTGGCGATTTATTTCTAAATTTTTTATTAATAATCTTGTGCAGAACATCTATCCCCCGGGCATCGAAAATCAAAACAAACCCCATCTAACAAACATCAACATCGCAAGAAAACAAATATCCTCTTCATGAGATTCCTCCCAAAATCATCAAAAAATCACCCGCAAAATCCGACCAAAATTCCCTAAAAAAATCCCCGTGTCCGCGGTCTTCCCACCCTCAGGCGCCGACTTTCAGGGGAATCCGGGCGAGGATGGTGCGCCGGCAGATGGGGCAGATTTCCAGCAGATCGGCGCATTTCCGGCACAGTCCCTGGTGGTGGCAGGGCTCTAATTGCACGTTGGCCGGGGCGTCGCAGCACAGCGCGCAGCTGTCGGTGGCCACCGTTAATTTCCTCTGCTCGTGCCGTTTCGGCCGCGGTAACACGACGCGCTGCTCGGGCGACAGGGAGCCGGCCTGGTTGAAGGTCTGGAAGTGCTCGTAGTCGCGGGGCGGATAGCGGAAGGGACGCTGGCCGAAATTGAATTCGCACTGCTGATCTGCAAGCGCGTGGAGATTTATTTGCATTTTTTATTTCAATTATGCTATATTATTTTCCTTTCGGATCTATTTTAATCAGTTTTATTGTTTAATTTTCTTGAGTGAAATATGGTTTGCACAAGTTTTACATGTACTGCATTTTTTATTTCATTTATTTTATATTATTTTTCTTTCCGATTTATTTTAATCAGTTTTATTTTTTAATTTTCTTGAGTGAAATATGGTTTGCACAAGCTTTTACATGTACTGCATTTTTATTTCATTTATTTTATATTATTTTTCTTTCCGATTTATTTTAATCAGTTTTATTTTTAATTTTCTTGAGTGAAATATTGTTTGCACACAAGTTTTACATGTACTGCATTTTTATTTCATTTATTTTATATTATTTTTCTTTCCGATTTATTTTAATCAGTTTTATTTTTTAATTTTCTTGAGTGAAATATGGTTTGCACAAGTTTTACATGTACTGCATTTTTTATTTCATTTATTTTATATTATTTTTCTTTCCGATTTATTTTAATCAGTTTTATTTTTTAATTTTCTTGAGTGAAATATGGTTTGCACAAGTTTTACATGTACTGCATTTTTTATTTCATTTATTTTATATTATTTTTCTTTCCGATTTATTTTAATCAGTTTTATTTTTTTAATTTTCTTGAGTGAAATATGGTTTGCACAAGTTTTACATGTACTGCATTTTTTATTTCATTTATTTTATATTATTTTTCTTTCCGATTTATTTTAATCAGTTTTATTTTTTAATTTTCTTGAGTGAAATATTGTTTGCACACAAGTTTTACATGTACTGCATTTTTTATTGCATTTATTTTATATTATTTATGTCTCGGATTTATTTTAATCATTTTTATTTTTAATTTTCTTGAGTGAAATAGTTTTTGCACAATTTTTACCAAATACTTCGCTGCTTGGTTTGCATTTGCTAATTACTGAAGCGTTTATTTTTTAAATAACACAAATGGCGAAATAGATCCTCGTCGACAATTTTATTTTTTCTCTTGAATTAAACAGTTTATTTGATTCTGCATTTTTCACTTACGTGAATAAATGATTTCGATTTTTCAATTGTTATTGTACTATTTCTGCAATATTCAAGTACGAAATTTTCATTTCTTTTTTCATAATTAAATATTATAGTATTTCAAATTTTTTACATAATTAAAAACGGTACAGAAACACACACAAAACGGTTGCAAAATGTCGATTTAATACGTACAGGTCATGAAGGAGGCGGCGGCGAAGAAGCCGTTGCGGACGCGCTTGAACATCTGCGAGTAGGGCCGCAGCGGGGAGCCGTTGAGGGAGAAGATGACCTTGTACCTGGTCAGATCCAGCAGGCAGCCCAGCACGTCGCCGGCGCGCCACGGCGGATGGAAGTGGTGGTCGCACTGCGCGCAGTGCCAGATCAGCTGCCGACACCTGTAATTTTTTAAAATTGTTTTTCATTTATCCCAATTTTTTGTGCTAATCTATTACCATTTTTTCCACTAATTTGTTCCACTTTTTTCCACTAATGTATTCTATTTTTTATTGTATTTTATCCTATATTTTTATTTTTGTATTGATTTTTATTTTTGTATTTTTATTTGTACAGATTTATTAACCAATTTCCTCAAATATTTTCTGTAATAATTCATTTCGATGTGTATTAATTATTTGACTTGGTATTTAATTCGTTTACTTCATTTCAGTTTTTTTTTATTATTTATTTTCATTTTCCATTTTACTCAAATTCTGATTTTCCCACCGTGTACATACAGGCAGTGATTTACTCGCCATCCACAGTGTCGTCGATTAAGTGTAATTTTCCCCGAAAACTGGTACGAATATGACGCAGACTATCCAGTGAAAATCGCTGCGCGATTACCTTATCCCTTGCGTTGGGTATAATTACGAAAACAAACACAAATATTACAATCTGCATTTCTTCGTTCAAGCGGAACGTTGTGGACGTCAACGCGCGATATTTCGGGCAAACTTACTCGACATTTCACGCTGATGTTGCTGTTTTCGTTTTACATACAGCTATATAACAATGGTAGAAAATTTACTCCGGATTCCCACAATCAATATTTTTAATATTATAATATTTTTCTGCGAAATATACTCTGCATTGTCGGCAATCCAATCGATATTTTCAATATTTTTCAATACAGTATTTCTACGAAATTTACTCCGCCTTTCGGCAACCGAAAGTTCTGTTTTGTAAAAACAGAAATAAAATTGTATAAATTTTCCATAATATAATTTAAAAATGTCGGCAATAATTTCGAATTTTCATAAGATAAACTTTTCGCCACTGAAAAAAAAAACGGCGAAATTCCCACAATAATTCTCCTTGGCGGCCAGATAATTCTTCCCCCATTTCCTCCTGCCCAGCTTCATTATCCGGCCACCAACGGCGCACACACCACCGCAGCCCGGCACACCGTCATTTCCCTAATCTACCCCAATTAATCCGGCGATTTATTTATACATTTCTTTTTCTTCCCCTGTCAATCGTCTTAACGAAGGGGAAATTTCCAGGCCGCGCGTATCTACTCTGATATCACCATCATCACATGCACACCGTGTCGCGAACGGCGCTGGCCTTTGCGTGTTGACGCTATGATCCGGGGGCGTCCGGGGGGATGTGCCCTTTAGCGCATGCACTCAACGACGCGCAACACTGTGTAACATATGACCAGCAGCGCCTGGATGGCCGCTTGACATTTTCCCTATTTTTAATCCGCCAGCGCACTCCACTGCGGCACTTTGTTGACGGTGCTGCTTAACCGCTTCGTGTTGACCTTTGTCAGCAGCGGCTGCATTCAGCCGGGGTTATGTCAACATTCCCTACGTTTTATCCTATTTTTCTTCTGTTTATCCTGTTTTTCTTTTTCCCTCCGATAAGCGGCAAAATTAAACGTAGCAAAAATTCCATTTTAATGAATTACAACAGACACCTGAGGAAATTACTGTAAAACAAAACATCCCGTCGTCTTGGAAAATGCATAGGCAGATATTCTAATTTATTGCTGACTGTCTACTAATTTTCTTAGGAATTTATTCATTTATCTTATTAAATTATTTCACATTTTCTTGAGAACATTGTATATTTTTCTTTACCTAATAATTTACTAACAATTTATTTGCGATCTTTTATCGGTTTTTTAATTTTAAAATAAGCTGCTTTTCATATTAATTTTTATTATTTTTTCCAGTTCCTTTAATGAATTTTAGTCTTCTTTAAACCATTTTTCTCGCCATCACCATCGATATTTAGCTAATTAACTGCACATTATATATATATATATATATATATTATTTCATCGGTTTGCTTTCGTACTAGTTTTCTTATTATTAATTTTTATTACATTTTCCACCCATTTAAATGTCGGTGAAAGAATTTTCTCTATGGCTAAATTAATTCTAGTAAATTTACAATGTGACAATTAATTTACTGATTAATTTTAAATCGATTCCTGGCAATCGTACCCGTCGTAGGCGATGGAGAACTCGTCATCCCCGATGCCGAACCCGTCATGATTGAGGAACTTGCTGTTTTTCGTCGCCCAGCCGATCTGCATGACGCCGGTGGTGATAACCGTGACCTCGTAGTACCAGATCCCGCTGTCCACCTGGAAGGTGCAGCGCACACTCTCGAAGGAGTTGCTGTCGTTGCGGGCCATCAGGCCGGCCGGGTTGAGCTTGAGATACTCGCTCATGTCCGTCTGGCTCAGCATGGCCCGCGACTCACTGTTGTCCACGAACTCGTAGCTGAACGGCCGGCCCGGCCGGACGAACACGTTGTCTGCCGGGGAAAAATGAAATTAAACAGCAATGACGCTAGTGTCACGCCGCATCAACACGGGAATGCGATACGATTTGTCGAGTCAGCAGTACAGCGACGCGCCGGGCGACTCGCGTGAGATACATTGTGCAAATATTTTGAGAAAATTCCCGGAAACGCTCGGCCTTCATGCCCGTCACCATAACACTGGATAACTGAATACTTTTCAAATGGAGCAAATAAATAAAACTAAACTACTCCAATAAATTCGTAAAGAAATATCACTCATAAATTCGTAATAATTGTTTTCGTATACATATTTTTCATAATTTTTTTAACTGTGGTTATTTTAGAATTTATTTACCACTTATTCTCCATACATTTTTCAAATATCGATACGGTAAATTTATATAAATAAATTTGAATTTCGACTTATAAACTTAAAAAAATATAAATTTATAATTTTGTTCAGAACTGGTGCCCATAAATAAGCATAACTGCCAACAAATTATCAGCTTTTTCATTAATGTTTCCTGAAATTACTTTTTCCACATCTTTTGCATTTCATTATTTAAACATTTATTTCCAGTTTTTGTATCTATTTTATTTTTATTTCTATTATTTTTTAATTCCGTACGTCGAAATTTATTTCCAGTGTTTTCTATTTTATTTTATTTTTATATTAAATCACCACTCACGATTTTTCAAATTAATTTGAAAAAAAATACCTTTAAAAAATCGATACAATAAATGCGGCGAAACAGGGTCTTACCGAGTGTCCATTGAGCACAGAACTGAATTTGGCATTTGGTGGCGTTGTCCTTGTGGGACAGGCGCTCCAGCCTGAGAAGCGGATGCGTGTCGTCGTCAAAGTCCTTGAGACGGGTGAGGATGAGCCGCTTGTTCTCGCCGGTCAGCGCCAGCTTCTCCAGCGCGATGATGGCGAACAGCACCACCTGCGGATGCGTCTCCTCAAAATCCAGATTACACAGTAAATACTCCAGCACCGCCTCGCTCAGCATCGACGCCGCAATCTGCCCCGGCAGTTTCGCCGCGAAACACCCGATCATCAGGCCTACATCACGCCCATCGGGAAATTAACTTATTGCTTCGTTAAATAATAAATGATTAATTATTCATTCACAGGTTTCTTATTCTTGGGAACACACATATTCCTGAATTTTATCTCCTAAAATTCCTGCTTTTTTGGAATAATTAATTATCATTAGTTCATCTTAATTATTGTTATTTATTACCTTAATTAATTACTACTATTTTTTATTTTACCATGAAATAAAAATAGTAAAAAAATGCCAAATTACCGCAAATGTTTTCGCAAGTTATGGCGTTCAATAAAAGCTTATGCGTCCATAGTTGCTACCTGTATTGCCATCGGACTACGATATTTCTTACTTTGCTTATTAACACACCGCGTTCTTAAATTACAAAAAATTCACCACTAAAATACCAAACTCTCAAAAAATGTCTACTTAAATGAAAAATTCTTTTTTTTTCACAGAAACATTACTTCTAACAATTACTTTCGTGAATGCCACTTTTCAAAATTTTATCATTTATATAGAACCGTTCAAAAATAAGCACAGTTTAGTACCAAAACAAATCTTAATACCGTTCCATATTGGCTGAATTATTTTTTTTAAAAAACAGACATTTCTCCAATCATGCGAATTATTTTCCATGTAATCCGTTACACGAATTATTTTCTATTCATTTTTTTCCTAAGCGCAAAACCGATGTATAGTCTACAGACTGCAGAAAATTAATTTCGCTGAATCACGCCTGTCATCATCCCGGCAACACTACACCGGGCCTTTTCTTCCCCATTTTAATCCCCATCCCTCGGCCGTTTTTGCCCTGATTTTAATCCCCGATATTGTCCTCGCCGGGCCGGATCAATCTCCCCGTCCTGCCTTACGTAATATCGAATAACACCATTCACTCGCGCAGCCTTCAGGGATCAACACAATGCATCAAAAGAGCCTTTTTCCCGGCTTTTCTCCCATTTCTCCCGATGATGCCTGGGGAGCGGTGTTGAATCAGCGCACCGAATGACCTTGGTGGCCCCCCTGCCGCCCCCGCGCCCCGACTACCTGGACCGTTGTGTTCTAAGCCAACACAATCACGGAACATTTCCCCGGCCATTTTGACATTTTAACGAGATATTCGCGCGCATCGCCCACGCGGCGCCGCTGCCTACACGTGTTGCGACAGGCCACTCGGCGTTATATTCATCTCTATGCCTTTTCCGGCTGCTTTTCGCTACTCGGTCAAAATTCAAAACTATCTCTAATTACCGGCAAGAACTAATGACTCTGCTGGCCTGTTTTCAAATTACCAAAAATTCATTATACAACAATTTTTCAAATAAAATGATGTCGCGGTCAATCAGCCCTGAAATTTGCAAAAAAATGTTATAAAATTAAATCCAGTAAAATACAAACATTAAACGCTTATTAGCGAAAAACAGATCCCGGTGAATATAAATATCAACATTATTTTTAGGTCATAAAAGATTTTAACAGCAAATGAAAATTACAAAGAAAACAAATTATTCGAAAACTACGTGTACTTCAAACAAATCAAAAATTTGCGAAAACTGTCATCGCCGAAAACATTTTATTAATTCCGCTATCAAATGCGTCTATGATACTTTGTAAAAACAAATCTCTTGTTCTGATTTACATTTGAATTTTTCTTCAGACTGCAACCAACATAAATTCGTATTAATTTATCCGTTAATTTTTCAGTATTTTCAATATACAAACAAATATCTAAATCTTTCCTAAGCCTGCCATGATTATCGATCCGCACTTACATATTTTTCAATTGGTCTTTATTCTCGACTTAAGGTCAGCCTAAAATGGCCGCTTCTGCCCTCAAGAAAAAGGGAAACAACCTTCTTAATTTACCAGCATTTAACCTGTCTGGAAAATATTTTTTATTCATTTTATTTTCATTTTATATCTGAATTTTTCCTAAATTTTTAATGATTTATCGATCCGTATTTATTTATCAATTTATTTTTACCCGCGAATTTTAAGGTCAGCGTATAAATCGCCGCTTCTGCCCTCGAAAAAAAAGGAAACAACCCTCCTAATTTCCCTGCATTTAACCTGTTTGGCCACTGCAACAGGAAACCCGGGCACTCTATTCATTAACCCGCATAAACCCGGATTATGCACTCTGGCATGATGCGATATGTCGGGATCATCCTAATCGCTCCTCAATTAGCTCCCAACAACATTCATCCCGACTGGAGGGTTGCGTGACACCAGGACCCAGCACGCAGCCTGACGCTAATTTCCCCCGTCACAACGGGTTACAAAGCGCATCGATCACGGCGCCGACTAATCGCAGTTCGCCGTGCCGTACCCAAAAAACGGCTTATCAATCCGCCGGGTGAAACATGTCCATTAGGCCGCTGATCCGTTAAAACACGGAACTGGCGTGTTTGTGCATTCAAGTGCTTGTCTCTCTTCAACATTAAAAATTTTCCCGCTTTTCTACTCACAATCAAGTATGTTCTGATTTTTCCCCTTGACCTTTTAATCAACAATTAAATCAAACGCCCTCTGCTTAAAAAAACTGGCAAAAATTTGCATGGTTTTCCTCGAGAAACAAATGACATTTACTGGTCATAGTTAGAAAAATATCCAATAATAAAATAATTTCCGATACCCACGGATATTTCTGTATTATTCAAACTTTAAAAGTTAATGTCAATTTTTAAAATAAAAAAACATGCAAATTTTCCTCTTCAAATTTGAAGAAGATTTCCGAAATTCGATGTTCCTTCGAATTTTAAAAAATAACGAACATTATAAACGTGAATTCAATAAAAAATATAAAACATTTTCCACACGGGATTCCGGCAAAATTTATTTAAACCGATATCACTCGTAAAAAAAAAGACTAAGTAAACACCAGCTACAATTTTCCAAACAAAACGGCTATAATTTTTTTTAATATTTGTAACACGAGTTTTTTGTTTGCTTAAGCTCCGAAAAAAACCAGCCGCAATCTTTTAACAAATAAATAGCTGATTTAATTTAATTCCGTAAAATACTAAATAGATTTATTTTAGTTAGTGAGGTCTAAATTAATAAAAATTTATTAGTAAATTTGTTTTTTACTAATAGTCAGAAAAAACTGGCCGCAATTGTTTTTAAATAAATAGCCACAATTTTTTAATAACATAATTTTCAATTTTGACGACTTAATAACCTATTCTTCGAGACTTACAGATATTGCGGTGCTTGGCGGGATGCTGGCGGCCGGCGAGGGCGATATGGCGGTTCAATCTAAGATGCATAAGGAAGTTGCTGATGTCCTGCTTACTGGGCAGCGGACAGTTGTCCACAATCAGCTCGGCGACGGCCGGCCCCAGGGCGTCCTCCAGCGGCACACTGTTGACCAGCGCCTGCATGATGGTCAGCCAGCCGCTCTCCGTCCCGGCCACCTCGTGGATGCGGTACAGCACTTCCGGCGGCTCCTGGTCACTGCACACACACAACAACATCTTGTCCTGTCATTTCACAGCATTTTTCCGGTGACAACACACCCGTGCAACTAATTCCAGTAATTTTGCGGTGAATTTAATAGAATTTGACGACGCACAGGAAGAAAATGATGGTACGTTGTATGCAAACGTATCCGTGTTTTTGTTGCGGTTTGTACGCGGTCGCTACAATTATCTATCAGTAAATTGTAAGATTTTAAAAACACCGCAATTTTCCGATTAACTAATTATAGGTCATTCAGCCAGCCACGCAGATTACAGTTCCGTATTGCGTAACGTGCAATCAACAAATTAAGGAACAGCTCCCCTTGATTTTCTTCCCAGAAACGTAAATATGAAAACAAACAAACTGCTAGTCAAAATAATAACACCGGCACAGGCTGTAAAAAATGATAACTAAATTATATAAACTTAAAAATAAAACTCTACTTTTTTAGACCAACTGAATGTTTTTATAAAAAAATGTACTTCTGATTGTAGGTGAATTTGTTTAGATTTAATATGGTCATACATCATATTTCTTAGAAAATATTTATTGCACAATGTGCGCTAAATAAATTTTTAAAACATCCAATTCTAATTTATGAAAGTTTACGTTTTCGCTATAAATAAACAGCAAGCGATGGGCAATTACACCAGTATTTTATTCAATTTAATTCAATTTTAACTGGTCATATTTATATTTAAAATCGAGTAATGCCTGCTTTGTGCGGCTAACAAATTTAAAAAATGATTTTTAAAAATATCCACTTTCTCGGTTTATAGAAGTTTTTATTAAAAATAAATAAAAGTTGATGGACGATCATAGCATGATTTTATTAGATTAAATTAAATTTAATTGGTCCTAATTAAGCTCAATAATTTCCCTTGTGTAAGGTTATCGGACTAGTAGCTACAATTATTAATAAAATTATTTCTCCTCGAATTTGACACCGACGATCGTCGACACTCATGCCATGTGATATCCCTGTTGCCAGCGAAAACCATCCGGATGCACGTTCAACCCGATGGAAAAAACATTTCCCGCCACCACGGCAGGTGCAGCGCCGCTTTTTCCTGTCTCTCCCTTGTTTCTTCCCGGCTCATCTTTCGCCCAATTACACGCTTCCCTAACCGGATTCGCGCGGGAGATTTTTTTTCCAATTTAATTAATAAAATATCTCCACTTTCCTTGTTACATTATTATGTGCGGGAGGATATAAAAAAATTCCAAGCACAGACAATGACGCAGGTCGGCGTATGAATTGACCAGCGGGAAAAAACCTGCAGTCGGTACAACGCAGTGCGCGATGTCTTGTAAAAGAAGCGGCACAAACTGACGTCAATGTCATATGCATGCATGCACACATATATTTCCCATTAATCTAATCATTCTCCATGCCCGTCAGATGCGGTTAATGTCACATAATTAACTTATCACATAACGGTAATTATTCATGCATTTTTCGACAACATTTTTCTCCTATTCCTCGCTGTTTTCCGAAACAGGAGAAGCTGGTCTCCGTGATAATATTTTTCAAGAAATATTTTCCGAAATTAAAATTATCTACTTCCGTTGTTTCAAATTTTTTAAATATTTTTCTCAAAAATTCCTTCATTATTTTCAAAATCATATTTTTTGTGGATATTTTTCAAAAATTTCCTGATTATTTAAAAACAGGAGAAGCCATCCTTACGAAAATATTTTCCGTAATTTATACACTATTATTTACATTCTATAATATTTTCTTAACAATTTTTTCGAAAATTTCCCAGTTATTTTGGGAAGAAGGAGAAGTTCGAAAACAACTCTCCAGTCGAAAATAAAACTTTACGATCTACATGTACAGCATAGGACCAAAAAGACGCAGAACCCCAATTCCCGGAGAACAATTTCCTGTGAACTATTTTTCGAAAGTTTCAATTTGGTATTTTACCTGTTATATGCGATATATCCGTGACAATATTTTTCGAATATTCCCCAGTCATTTGAAAACGTGGACAAACAGTCCTAAAGGTCAATATTTTCCACAAACATTTTTCCAAATTGATATTCCATAATATTTTATCCGTTATATATACTTTTATAGCTTTTTCGTGACATTATTATTTGAAAATTCCCTTATTATTCCCGGAAACCTAAGAAACAGCAGAAGCCATCCTGAACGACATTATTTTCCGCAAATATTTTTCAAAAATTTCTTGATCACTTTCAAAAACAGGAGAAACATTCCTGAAGGACAATATTCACCAAAAACATTAAAACAATTTTGAAATTTATATTCTACTATTTTATCAGCTGGATGTTCTATTTTCGTGATAATATTATTCTAAAATTCCCTGAATATTCCCAGAAACAAGGGAAGCCATCCTGAACGACATTATTTTCCGCAAATATTTTTCAAAAATTTCTTGATCACTTTCAAAAACAGGAGAAACATTCCTGAAGGACAATATTCACCAAAAACATTAAAACAATTTTGAAATTTATATTCTACTATTTTATCAGCTGGATGTTCTATTTTCGTGATAATATTATTCTAAAATTCCCTGAATATTCCCAGAAACAAGGGAAGCCATCCTGAACGACATTATTTTCCGCAAATAGTTTTCAAAAATTTCTTGATCACTTTCAAAAACAGGAGAAACATTCCTGAAGGACAATATTCACCAAAAACATTAAAACAATTTTCGAAATTTATATTCTACTATTTTATCAGCTGGATGTTCTATTTTCGTGATAATATTATTCGAAAATTCCCTGAATATTCCCAGAAACAAGGGAAGCCATCCTGAACGACATTATCTGCCGCAAATATTTTTCGAAAATTTCCCGATCGTTTTCCTGAAGGACAACAATGTCCATGTTCTCTGCAAAATTTTTTTGCAATTTTTATTCCATTACTTTATCTGTTATATATGTACTATTTTCGTGATAATATTATTCGGAAATTCCCTGATTATTCCCAGAAACAGGAGAAGCCATCCTGAACGAACGACACCATTTTCCGCAAATATTTCTCGCCCATGCCCTGATTATTTTTAGCTATAGAGAAGCCATCGTTAGCGATTGCCGACTCGACCGGCGATTGATACACGCTAACAATGCGTGTTTATCAGAAAACGACGAAAACGAAAATTATCCCAGCCACGGCACACCAAATCCCCGGCAGCGCTCGCGCGGCCCAGCGTTGTCCCCAACCCGCAAAAATATTTACGCACTCCTGCCTCCCGACAACGGGACTGAACCAGGCTGATGCGCTGCCAGCACTTGTCTCGCTAAGCCGTTCATTGTCAATGTCAGAACCGCATTGTTCGCGCTCGGCGCTATCGGGCACCGCGTGTGTGCTTGAATAATTAAAATCACACACAAAAAAGCCACGGCTTTTGGACTTTTGTGAGGAGAGTACACGACAAGCCCCAATTAAGCCGGCATCGCGGAAACGTTTTTCAGAGCCAGCCGACCCGAAAACCAATCAAGCGGAAACTACGCACGTTTGCTAAATACTTTTTAAAAAAATAATAAAAACTGTAAAAGAAATAATAATAAAAATAAAAAATTTTACGGAAATGAACAATGTTATATAAAAATTGTAGTTAAATTACACAAATTTTGCTGAATTACTACTTTTACAAGGAGATACGAAATTCTACAGACTGGCGTTTAACTGACATTGCTGACATTGAGTACTAATCATTGCTGATTGTCTAGCATTCGTTAAAAAAATTTTTTTTAAAAAATCAGCAAATATTAAAGATGAAAATTCTGCAAAATTTCGTTGCCAGTCATTACAATGTACTTGTTAATGAAAAACCGGAAACAGTGTTTCACCAATAATAAAAATTAAAATTCGGAAAAATAAACCCTACCTGTCACCGTAACGTATTTTTTTAAGAATAATAACGGCGCTACAAATGTGCCAGATTGACCTAACCGGTCACTGTAATGAATTTTATGAAAAAGAATAAAAATCGCCCCGAAAATAAAGAAGATGAAAATTAAATAAAAAAGAGAATTCAGGCGAAAAATATAAAATAAAAAAGATAACACAATGCTGCTGCAAACGACTATCCTGCGATTTCGTTAATCGTTGCACTTCTGCTTGTTGACAGAACCCTGCAGGCACCGGCTCTAATCCACGCCCTTTCTTCAAGTAAACCATTAAAACCAGTCCAGTAATTTTCACCGAAACACAACCCAACAAACACTGGAATATCTTTCCAACCATAAATTACGATATTATTATTCCTCTCGAAAAACTTCCGTAATAATTAGCCGTGCAACGCTCACAGCGACACTTCCGGTCGCTAATTACACGGCTAATGGACACCCTCCAGAAACGGTGTAACCCAATCCCTAAACAATTCACCGTTCGAACGCAACAATTGGCCAATTGACCGTTCGCCTCACACAACAATTCACCGAAAATCAACCGTCTAATAATTTCTTGTACAGGGAAGATGGGGAGAAAAGTAGCCCCATTCCCGAAAATCCTCATCCTGACCTATACCACCTGATCCCGCGCGCGCGCGCGCTCTTCCCCGAAGCACCATTATTAGCATTTCCGGCGTTTTCGCGTGCCGCTTGACGTCAAAGTGCAGCGCGGATTTTAATGGGGGAATATTAAATATTTTATCATTTTCACGATGCTGATGGGTTATTTAACGAGGACGGCTATTCGCGGCGAAAATCTTTTATTAAATATTGTTTTTCTTTAATATCCGTTGAGTACGGTTACATCATGTGAAAACACCCAGTGGAATTAATTTAAGCCGGCTGCGTGTTCGTTCAATCAACTAGCGAGATTACAGCTCTTTTTATGGTGAAAAAATCTACGAAGAATTTTTCATTCTTTCCATTTTCCGGGGAAGCTCAAGGTCAAGCGCGAATGAAATAACATTCTCGCTATTATTCTTCAAATTTTCTGTTCTGTTAATTTTACTAATCTTCAAATACTGAAAATCCATTCCCAGTGATTGCAGTGAACGATAAAAAAATTATACAGAAAATGCTTAAATAAATTCATCAAACGCTGAATCACACTAAATTCCCAGCCACACATTCCAAATTAATTTCCAGTCCGTTTACGGTAACTGCCAGAATAATTCCAACGTTGAAACGTAAAGGAAACGAAACCACTATCCTATTAATTTCCTTTGCACAATTTAATTCCTAATATCAAAATACTGAAAACTATTCACAACCTTGAATATCCTTGGAAAATATCGTAATTTACGATAGAAAAACACATTTTTTCTGCATTTAATATTTCCAACTTGAACTGCTAAGGCACTGCGTACTCATCATGTCATCGAACTTACCAATAAAATAAAATTAGCGTAAATATTTTATCAGATTTCACGTTAATACGAATTTATTCAAATAATTTAAAATAAAGAATAACTGATTCAGCAATTTAAAATAAAAAAAATCAATAAAATTATCAAATAACCTATTGCCGCGAAATAATTGTAAAAAATAAGAAAATCCTGGCACAACGTATCTAATTATAAAATATTAAAACAATCTTCACCTCTGTGAAAGTTCATCAAAAAAGCAATGACACCGTTAAACGAAAAAAAGCATAAAACTCATGATTATTGATTTAACTCGGTGAACAAATAGAGCAGTGTGTAAATTGGCAAAAATCGCGTGATCCCAACTTACTTATCGACCAGGGTGCGGATGACGCGCAGGGCCTCCAGGACCATGGCATCCTCGGACACATGGCGCGTCCGCGAAGCCAACAGGCCCAGGATCATCCAGGGATGGCTCTCCGTCGTGCTGGACCGTCGGCGTTCTCCGTCCTCCTCCAGGGAGTCCCGCGAGGCCGTTCCCCCCACCAGCCCGTTCCCCGTCAGCCCGGGCGGAGCGCAGGCGTCGCGGCGGCGCTGCCGGATACGCGGCATACGCAGACACGCGTTCCCCATCACACCAGGAATTTTCAATCCCGAACAGACCCAAAAAAATCACCAAAACAGAGAAAAAAGATCAACACTAGTTAACGTGTCCCTGTACACTATCGGTAAAACAGTGCATGGGGTACGGATAAACAACGGCATGCGCCGTGATTACGCGAGACATGGGGCTTCTGGCATGGTTGGTGGGAGCAGGCGCTCCTTGATTAATGGATAAAAAGTGTCAAAGGATGGAGAAATGAGCGGTCTCGATGGCAGGCGGCGAGTGAGGTGCAGAGGGAGATGGTGGAAATCACGGGAGAGCGGGAATGAACGTGAGATGCACTGCTGGATCGATGCAGCGTCGCACTTCACACACGCCTCGGCGCTCTTTGCCTGCCCTGCTGTATAACAGAATAAACGGCCGCCGTTTCCACCAATACGGGAAGATAGTGGATGGATCAATACAGGAGGATGGCCGGGAATAAGGTGCGTACGACCGGGGAAGCAGGATAAGAGAGCGGAACGCTCGTAATCACGGAAGACGAGGAGCTGAAAAAACAGGCTTAAACACGTTAAGACGTGAATGAGCTGTGCATTTATCAGCTGATGAGGGGCGGTCGCACTGTATACAGGAAGTGGCAATATTCTTCAACTTATAAAAATGCAGATAAAATTCACAATGGCATTGGAAATCCGGGAAGAGTTTTGGGAAAATAAATGCACAATGTGACAATGGAAATTTACTGGGAATCCGAAAATCAAAAATGAAAACAGTGCAGGGATGACGGTACGAGTTGTACGATACAACTCTGTACTACGTCACCACAGGTGTGCAGAGCCAGCCAGGTGGATATGTGGCCAGCGTGGTGTTGTGTTCTTTTAGTGTGTGAATATGCACAGTCTCGACTGGCATATTTTTCTCTTCCCTTTTGTGCCCTTTCCTCCGCAATGTATTGCATTCACTTATGAATAAAATTCCCATTTTATTCACGTGTGTTGTCTCATATTCATTCGTCATCCGGGATACGAGGATAAACCGTATTCCCATATAGCAGATCTGTGAAAGATCTCGTCTCTAGAAGAGCCTCGATCTGTGCTGTTTACAGCGCAGACTAGAATCATATCTTTGATCCCATACCTTGACGGACTGGATACCATTTCCGTTCTGGAACACGTGATAACATGGAGGAAACTATGTTTATGTACGCTGATCGACCAAACCCTCGTCAACCGTCAACTGCTACTGGCGCTACGACGCGCCAGCAGACAAAGAAATTGGGAGCTGCTAAAAGTCGAAAAACGACGATAAGACTGAGGAATCGTCCAGTGATGACGACACATCATCGCAGACGACTGCGAGGAGAATTTTCCTAGGACGAAAGCACCCAGCAGACAACATGGAAATTCCACCGGAATTCCCGCTGGGAGACGGCAGCGATAACGAACGAGGAGATTCTCCCTGGAATGGAGATCAACTCGACACGACTATGATCGAGGCGAATGAAGACAATCTGAAAGACATCATTGAAAATGTTGAAAACGAAATACCGATAATCGGCGAAGAAAACCATAAAACAAAAAAACCGGAAAAAGAGCTGGACGAACCAGCAACGGAAAAATCAGCGATGGAAGATTCACAAAATACAACCACCGATACTCACGAAGAGGAAGCCATGGACAAAGAAGCCGCCGATATGACTGAAGCGGAATTACGAGACGCATTTTACCAAGTCGTCCAACGAAATACGCACCTCCGAGGAGAACTGTCCCAATTAAATGAACATTACGAAGAGACGTTGGAACGCCTTGAAGAACTGGAGAAAAATCATGAAGCCATGGAAACAGAGTTTGACGAAAAACATAAGGAGAACGCGAATAACGAACAAAAGAATAAAACATTAACTGCTGAAAATGAACGTTATAAGAAAGTCATTTTCAAAATGGACCAGCTACGAAAGCTGGATAAAAGCAAACACGTAGCCGAAATGGAAAAATTACGCAAAGAATTCGCTAAATCGTTGAAGGAAAAACGTCACGAAGACGCGAAGGCACCGGCCAAACAGGTCAAAACAACGGAAAAATTTGGATATTTTAAAATGGAGCGCCGTGACGCGGTTGGCAGAAAATCACCTTTCGAGAAGCCACGTGAAACGCGAGAGGTTTTGTACACCAGAGATCAAGTGGATCAGACAGTGGAGAACGCGCAGTATACCGCTTACGAGCAAGGATATCAGGAGGCAGTGGAACAAATGCAGGAAGAAAATTTCCGCTTAAATGCAACAATTCGAGATCTGACGAACAGATCGTTGCAAGCCCGTTCCACAGCACCTCCACCTCCCCCAAGACGCCCACCACCTGTCAACACAGCACCAGTTACAGTTCCTTTACCACCGGGAACGATGCCCGTTAAGGACGTTACGGAATTAATTAAAGCGGCGCGCGCCCCGATTCCAATTACGAAATATAATGGAAACCGGGAGGAGTTTGACAGTTTTATTATAAAGTTTCGCCGTGCTGTAGTGCAAAATGCCTGGGATGAAGCCACAGCTGTAACGCAGCTAGGAGCGGCATTGACCGGCGAGGCACAGCAGTGGTATAATCTGACGATCAGATCGCAGCCACACCTGGATAATATTGAAGCCTGGTTAACGCTCTTGACTGAGCGCTTTACTGATAAGAATCGGGCTACGACAGCCTTGAATGAGCTGACAACACGTGTCTGGCAAGCCGGAAAAGAAGACATTGACACCTATTATCAGAAAATGGTATCTTTACGCGATATGGCCGGTATGATCGGATCGGATAAACAACTCTGCACATTCCTTACGAAAGGAATAAGGGATTATCCGCAACTACATGGCCTTGAAAATTAAAGATCCGAAAACGCCAACGGAATGGCTTTCGTATGTCAGAAGTATTATTTCGGACGATCCGAAATATGTAAACGGAACTGACAAAAAGACTGCAACAGTTAGTTTGGTAACCGTCGACGGAGAAAGCTACGCCGTAATTAACGCAGCAACAGCTGACGACAAAGAGGAACCGTGGAAAACGGTTACGAGAAAAAAGTGGAAGAATGGCAACGGAGGAAGCCCAAACGGTGACGACAGCCGTAAATCCCCCACGCCATCATCCTCACCGCCGAAAGGGAAATTTAATCGTCCTTGGAACGGAAATCGAAAATTTAATAACGGCGGTGGAAATAACAATAATAACGGCAACTACGCTCGCAACTCCTTCTATTGCGATAATTGTGAGATAAAGGGTCACGAAACCCGGCGTTGCCGATTTGCTGGAGTCGCGAAAATCGACAACCCTACGTTCTGCAATAACCATCCCGAAATGGAGTTATTCTACATGAAAACTCATCCGGAACACCAGCGAGCAGCAACAGTAATTGCGCGCCACGCAGCCGGAGCCGATAATGCGGACTCGAACGGCGGAAACCGGGGGAATTTCCGTGGTGGCAGAGGACGGAGTGGATTTCGCGGCGGCGGATACCGCGGAGGAAACCGTGGGAACGGCAGATATAATAATAATCAGGAGGACGAACCTTCACTGATTTAAACGGTAATCCTGTACCGCAAGATGCCGCAGCTGGTAATTTAAACCCGCAAGGGAACGGCCAGTAAATCCCGGCTACGCTGTTCCCGTACCTCCGAAACCGCCGGATAAAAATATGCACACGGATTTTGAGGCGACGAACGCCGAAGGAATAAGTATTCACGGATTCACCGTGAACCGCCCTCCACAGAAATACGCCGAAGTAAATTTATTAACGGCATTAAATCAACCGGAGATTGCACCGGTGCTGACGCACAGCATTCAAGTAGGAGGAATTCCAGTGGACGCAATGATTGACACTGGAGCGGAGACGTCCTTAATTTCGCAACAATTTTGCGAATTAAATAAATTGGAGACGTATAAATTAAAGACGCCACTTTCCATACGCGGAATAGGCGGTATACATAATTTCCCCGTGCAATACGCTTGCACAGTGCCCGTCTCCATGGACGAAATAATGACTGGCCATTGCTTCTACGTGAAGCCAACGCAGGATGCCGTTAAAGTCCTCCTTGGACAGGATTTTCTGCGGAAGATAAAAATTGTGATAAGTGGAAGTCGCATTGTGGTGACAGAATGGATTCCACCTAACGAAAGAGGGCCAGTGAAGAACGCTGCCACGAGTGCAAATGTGGATGCGTACGAAACGCAAAATAATACGGCAGTAGAGATAGTGTCATCTCTCCCTATACCGGTGGCACCGGTCGAGATGCCACTATCTCACAACAATAAGGATCAGAAAGAAAAAAATCCCGATAAAGAGGATCTTGAAGAATTAACGCGAAGAGCTCGAGAATGGCTACGCGAACAAATGTCGGACGAACCGGCATGTGATTGCATGGACACAACCATACAGCCCACAACAAGGAAACCGTACTTCACCCGTCAAAAGATAAAACTACCGGATAATCGTGTTAGCGAACCGGACAGCAATAATAGTGTGATCGAGATGTCACCAGAAGAGCTGAAAGAAATGCAGGAAGAATATGATGTGAACGCGGTGGAAAAAGAGCTTACGAAAGCTGCAACGGTGATTAAAAGGGCAAACGAGCCAAAGGCACGCGTTAAATTATTAAAAGTCTACGCGACTGACGACTTCAACGTGGACCCTGGATACACGTGGATATCGGCAATGCCAAAGAAATACGATATCGTACGAAACGAACCGTACATTTTCTCGCCGAATCCCGCTATATTCTCTGCAACGCAGATGACCCCAGTACAAGGACTGGTGAAGCCGGAAAACCGGATAATCGATATATTTATGACCAATTTCAAAGACAAGCGGCAGATTGTACGCAAAGGCACTTGGCTTGGAATTTTGGAAACGTATGAAGAAATACAGGACGAACCTGTAGTTTCCACTGTAAAAGTAACGCCAATGACTGCCGATGAGAAGAAAGAAATGGATGAAAATATCGCCGCGATGCATTTCGGTCCACAAATGAGTGATGAAGAGAAAAGAAAACTGGTGGAATTATTTTACGAATTTCGAGATGTATTTCCATCGAAAAGCCGTCCATACGGGACAGTGACAGTTGCAAAGCACCATATTGATACAGGTGACGCTAAACCTGTGAAGTGCCCGCCACACCGTACGAGCTGGAAGGGAAAAGAATATATTTCTGAGCACGTGAAGGACATGTTAGCGAAAGGCGTCATACGACCATCAAAGTCTGCATGGAGTTTTCCAGTGGTACTAGCGATTAAACATAACGCTGATGGACATCGTCTAGCCGGTTGGCAGAATACGAGATTCTGTGTCAATTATATTCGCCTTAATAATGTCACGCGCAAAAACAACTATCCCCTTCCAAATCCAGATGAATTACTGGGAGCCGTGGCCGGCAACGCTCTTTTCTTCACCTTTGACTGTCACCAAGGATTTTGGCAAATTCCTATGGACGAAGAATCGATACAAAAGACAGCTTTCATAACGCAGGATGGACTTTACGAATTTACGAGAATGCCTTTCGGCGTCTGTAATGGTCCTGCGACCTTCCAAGCTGCAATGGATACTACGATACAACCATTAAAGGCGATGGGATTAGAAGGAATTTTCGCATTTTTAGACGATCTAATATGCGCCTGCAAAGACTTGATGGATGGCATAATGAAACTACGAGCACTATTTGAATGTTTACGTAAATCTGGCTTTACGCTAAAGCCATCGAAATGCCATATCGCCAAGGAGGAACTTCATTTCCTCGGTCATATCGTATCGAGGGAAGGAATTAAAGTGGATCCGGAGAAGATTAACGCGATTAACGCAAGGAAAAAGCCGACTGACGAAAAGTCGCTACGTTCTTTCCTCGGATTCGCGAATTATTACCGGAAATTTATCCACCATTACGCGAATAAAACGCGTAATTTATACGATTTACTGAAAGGCGGAAAAGACGTCAAGGCCGATTGGAACGAGAAGCACGACGAAGAGTTTGAACGACTCAAACATCTTCTCACCAACGCGCCAATTTTAGTAAAATTTGATCCGGAAAAACCCGTGGTTATAGAATGCGACGCTAGCTACGTAGGAATTGGAGCGATACTCAGTCAGGATGGAAAACCGGTGGCTTACGCAAGCCGTGTGTTGAAAGACGCTGAGAAGAAATACGCACCTACGGAGCTGGAGTGTCTTGCGGTCGTATTCGCTGTAAATAAATTTAGACATTATGTTGATTACAGTGAATTTACGGTCAAAACGGACCATCAAGCGTTGGCAAATCTCTTACGATCAACGTCGAAACGGGATGGAATTAATCCGCGACTTACACGCTGGGCAATTGCTCTGGGACGATACCAGATAAAAATTGCATATCGCCCTGGAAAAGCGAACGATAACGCGGATGATTTAAGCCGAAATCCCATCGGACAACCATCACCAGACGAGAATCTGGATGAACTGCCAACATTCGACGCGTATAAAGACGAAGGGATGAAATTAAATGATTATGAGCGGTCAACAGCACGAATAAATGTGATTACGCTGGACGACCCAGCTGATCACGATGCGGATACCGAAGAAGACAATTTTATGTTCTTACGAAAAGAACAGGAAAAGGATCCCGTAATTTTAAAGAAAATTCTAAAGCTGGAAAACCGCGATGCGACGAAGCCGTTGCCGAAAGATTATGACACATACGAAATGTGGCATAAAGTACTGTATAAAATATCGGAACGAGATGCACAAAAATACCGTCGATTCATCGTTCCACGTCACATGAGAGGAGATATTTTACGTGCCATGCATGATTCCCCTTCAAGCGGACATCTTGGAAGAAAGAAAACGTATAAGGCGATAGAAGTACGATACTTCTGGAACGGCATGACGCAGGACGTCATCGATTACTGTGACAGCTGCAAAAGATGCCAGATGCGGAAAATTCTTGGAAAATTACCGCCAGGAAAACTACAAGAAGTGAAAGTCGGTGAACCATTCTTCAAAATTCAAATGGACTTAAAAGGCCCGTTGCCGATTACGCGGAAGAACAAAAACCGATACATCGCCGTGGCCATCGATCACCTAACAAAGTTCGTGATAGCAGACGCGCTGCCCAATATAAAAGCTTCAACAGTCGCTGATTTCTTCGTGAAACGAGTGATACTGCCATATGGAGCACCAAGGATAGTCGATACGGACAGAGGAAGACAATTTACGAGTAAACTCTTTGAAAGGATTACGAAAATCTTAAAAATCGAACGACACCTTGGATGCGCATACCACCCGGAAGGACGCGGTTTGGTTGAGCGGCAGATGCGTAGTATAGCAGATTCACTCGCGATGTACGTGCGGAGAGGACATGTACGAAATTGGGACCAGTTTCTTCCATTTGTAGTCTCGGCACGAAACCGAGTACCGCATAAAACGACGAAGATGTCTCCGTTTCGAATGCTGTACGCCAGGGAACAAGTAATTCCAGAAGATATCGTTACGCAAACGAATCTTCCCGTCGACTACGAGTCAGTAGATGATTACGTAAAAGCGACAGCAGATCACCTCGCACGTGCACACGAAATAGCGGAAATATTTATTGAAGAAGAATTCCAAAAGAAAGCGGAATTATATAACCGACGAAAGTCTACGCCTACGTTCAATATCGGTGATCTCGTATGGATAAAGCAAAATCAAAAGAAGAAAGACGAAGTAGATACGCTACGAAAGCAGTATCTGGGACCATACGAAATTTTAAAATTCCCATACGGAAACACGGTCACAGTAAAATGCCAAAAAGACGGAAAAATAATGGACGTGGCAGTTGACCGATTTAAGCCATACATATCACCGGACATCGAACTGCGGAAAATTCCC